TTGCACAAAAAATATATTTTTTTATGAAAATATCTCTTTTTTCTAAACAGTGAGAATTTTACGAAAAGAGTGCAATATTACTTATGAAAAATGCCTAATTTAATGATGGGAAAAAGGCGAATAACACCATAAATTTTTATGAAAATGATTTTGACCCTCATTGACCCAAACCGATTCCAATGGTTTATGGACCATGCTTTGAGAACCATTGTAAATAAATGCTCGCCAGTGTAATTCTTTTTTCAACTTAAAAAATATTCATGCATACTTACATATTTTTATATTTGTTTATATATGTCTATACTTCTGGCTATGTTTATGGTAGTCCACCTAAAAGAAACCCTTTCCGCTTATATTAAACTAAGAATTTGAAGAAGAGATGTTTCTCTGTTTCTCTCTCAGAGTTTGTTTGGCTAGATTGGTGTTCAGTATTTCCTACTGGCCTTACTAACTCTTAGAGATTACAAACATCATTTTTTCTAATTATCGAAAGATTATTTGGATCCCATCAAGCATTTTACTGTTTCTACTTTATAGTAGTACTTTTGCTGCGGTAAAATATTTATTATAATAAATACTATACTATATGGCTGCTTCCACAGGAAAAGAAACCATAAACTGCAAAGTCTCTGCCCATTAAAATGAAATTCTTTGATATCCTCGAAATCTTTGTTATAAAGAACTTCAAATCCCAATAATTATCCGCTTAACTCAACAACTCCCAAATCCTCAAAACTCCACTATTTCCTTTTAGAACTCCGAGCATTCTGATTTTTTGGCCCATTTCTGAAAATTTCTCTCTCATATTAACTTAATCCCTCTAAGGTTCATTATAGTTCCCTAATAACTTCTTGAAATCTTTTACATCTATATGCTCCCGGAAAACAAATTATTTTCTCTAAAACCTCACCAAAATCCTCAGTAGTCTTTTATCAGAGCTCATTAATAGCACCCTCTTAAATCGTTTTATTGCCCTATTATATTGCCCTACCCAGTTATAATCCAATAATCCTTCCTTTATATTTCTTCACCATCAAACTTCCCTATGCATTTTTATTGTATCCCAACGCTTAGTTCATTATCCTTCCCCCCATCTTGAAACCTTCAGATCGAGTTATAACTTCTTATCTCGCCATCGCTTTTCTGCCATATTTTATCATAACCCCTCATCAAGCTTTAAATGCTTTAAGAATGCTTAAAATCTCATTGCATTCTCTCGCTATTCCCTCGTATTTGTCGCTTGAATACTGAAAAACTAGTTTTTGTCTAAAGGTAACACTTTATTGCAATACAATGTCACCTAAAATCACCTTTCCACTCTTGGTGCAATTAATTTATTCTTTGCACCACACCAAAATATAAATATAAATATAAAATATAAACATAAAATAAATAGAAATATAATAGAAATATAAATATAAAAAATAGAAGTATCTTCTTTCATGGAAATCAGAGGCTTGAAGAAGTATAATGGAGTATTTTAAAAGAGTATTCTGGAGATTTAACGGATAAAGCAAGGAAAAGTATTTAGTGTGTTGAGAAATAATGGACATTACAATATTTGCGACAATTTTAAGGCTCATTTATTTTATTAAAGATCAAGTTTTTACCAAGTTTTCATTGCAATTTTTTAATTTCGACTGATTTTCATGAAAAATATTTCTAGTTAATTATTTGCTTAGTTATGAAATAAACGTGACGCCTATCTTAATTTTTATCTTAATTTTTAATTAATTAATTTGAAATTTCCTTTCCTTATTTCTCGCTTTTCCTAAAATGGCTATTAGTCCATGTAATAATTTCTTGTGTTAATGCATTCACTCAACGGTGAATGCATCCAGAAAAATCTATCTGATTGCTGAATCGCGATCAAATCACCGCTGTCATCATGAACGATTGTACTACACCGTGTACCACAAATGCGAATTGATAATCACTGAATTGCGTTTTAAAAATAAAATTTCGCCTTAAGCTAAACACAATATTTGAAAATTCGAAAAACTATAACTATTTTTCACAATTTAAATAAACGATTATATAAAATAACAATAAAATAAAATAATACAAATAATAAGGCAAATATTAATAATACAATAATACAACAATAAATACAATACAGTAATACAATATAACAGAACAATGCAAAATTTTTTTCATAAAAGAAAAAATTCCTTCAAAAATAAATTTAAAGGAATCGTTTTAAATTTAAATGCTTTTTAAAAAATTTTTGAAATTAAGATTTTTATTGAAATTATTTATTGTTTTTATTATTTTTTTCGCATATTTTCGTAATATATTTCGATAATTAAATGATTGTTTTTCGTTCTCCATTTACACACGTTTGGCATGGAAATATCTTCGTTGCATCAATTATTCGAATTCAGTTTTAAAAAAATAGGCCAATTGCTTATGTTGCAACTTTCAAAATTTTTTTATACAAAAAAATCATTGCTGAAACATTGCCGAAATGATTCAGCGATTATTCATCTAAGATAAGATTTGCTAGAAAAATTAGTTTATAAAGTTGAATTAATTAAAAGCACCACCACCACAAATTTATAACCAGTGGAAACAGCCTAGCCTAGGTTAATGGTACTATGCTGAAAGAAGATTATATTCCGCGTACCAAAAAACTTAAGACTTGAGACTCGTTGCAACATTCATATAAAGTATCGCCTAGGTTATTACTTATTTATCCTAACTATTTTCTGAATTTTCCAATGAATTCTAATGCCACTAGATGAGAATTGAAATTTTTGAAGCGATCGGATAGAATGCTCAAAATAAATTTTAATCCTTATAGAACGATAAAGCCAAAAAAAAACTATCGGTTGATAGACTGATCAAAATAACTGATAAGATACCAAAATTTTAAAGCACTTTACAACTTCCAGCTCACATAAAATCAAGTTTTCAGTTTGTACAGTCATGTTTTCTTTACCTTTACATCATCTTATTTATTCATGCTTGAAAAAATCCAATTTCAAAAAATTGCAACTTTAATTTAATTTAATTTGTGCAATTTGTGCAACAAATCCTTGCAGTTATAGAATAACATGCTTCATTTTTTTTTTTTAATGAGTCCTCACCAGTAATAATTAAACTCGCTCCACTGACTTGTCATACTCGATAAATATGCCAGGGAGTCCCTTGACGATGGAAGTGCAGGTGAGTCGCCAGCATCACCCTACATGCTATAATTATAATTTAATGAATATATGTTGAAGATTTCATGTAAAAATTATATTTAATTTTCAGGAAATCTTTAGTCGTAACATTTTTTCTGTGATAATTTCAAGAATTTTCTCATATCGAGGATTTCTCCTTTCTTTTTAAAAAAATTAAAAAATTAAAAATTAAAAGTTAAAGATTGAAAAATTAATATTGTATTGTTTATTTTCTCCATCATTTTTAATTTAAACTTTTAAATTACAATGATAAAAGGATGTGATAAAACTAAAATTAAAATTTAATTTATTAATGCAAAATTTATCAATTTTTATTTTATTTTAATAATAAATAATAAATAATAAATAAATTCTAATAAATAATAAATTAATAATAAATTTTCGTTTCGATTATTTGAATTTCCTCGTAGATCAAATTCTTTAAAATTTTCATGGAATTTTAGCATCTTTTTTCTTCAGTTTCTAAAAAATGCACCATTTCTGATTTGGCTATTTAAAAAGTCAAAGTTAGAGGTATCTAAATTATCCCTCTTTCAAAAAAACAATTGAGAATAGGTGAGTCACCAGCTGATCACCACGTTCATAGTTAGGGATTCCGTTAAGGATAGAAATCGAGAAATCGAGTGCCAGTTTCTAATCGGTTCACTTTTTAGGGAAAAAAAGGCATAATCATAATAATCATTCAATATTATCACTCTTCATTTTCGAGTCTTTTCAGGTGAATTTCCTAACATACTTTATTTATCGAGTAAGTTCGGTTAAATAAGTATTTCTAGTAAAAATTTTGAAATTAAATAAATGAAATTAAATTAAATTCTTCATTCAGCATACTTCAATTTCCACTTTCAATGCAAAATTGATAAATAAAAACTTATCAAAATATCAGTTTTGTTGATGCAAAAAAATTTTTAGCAAGCGTAAATCATAGGAAGTGAATTTTTACTAATAATCTATACTCAATTTGATGAATTGAATTGCTCATAAAATTAAAATAAGTAATTTTTCGATTAATTTGAAATTTATTCATAGATTTTAATGAATTTATTTATATAAAAGAATATAAAAACTTATTTAATAAGAGATTATTTCTGCTATTTTCAGGTTTATTCTTTGATAATTATCGTTGCCATGCCAATAATAATAATAAAAATTTTTAAATGAAATTAACTTGAAAATATTTTTGTTCGCATTTATTTCAATTTCATTTATCTTCAATTAATCTCGAAGAATGAATTTTGTTTTTTCTTTTATCGTCTTTTTGATAATTTTTTTATCGCTTTTCTTATTAAAAATTAATTAATTAATAATTTAAATTTATTTAAAATTAATGAAAATTAAATTGAAAACCAAAACAATTTTTGCATTTGTTTCGCTGAAAATAAGCGAGAAAAATATCGAAAATTTTTTTTTAAAAAAGAAGCATTCGACCTTATTAATATTTTTTATTTTCAATAATTTTGAAAAAAGTGATTTGGATTGGCTAAGATAAAAGTGGAATTCACCTATTCTGGAATAGACTATTTAGGCTAAGACGGTGAATAATTAAATAGCCAGCATCATCAAGATATTTTAACTCCTTTCAGGAGTATTTTCGAAGTACCATTGAGTCTCTAACGCTTGGCCACCACTAAATCTGATTTAACTTCAAATATTTTGTATTTGCTTTATCATTTAATTAAAATTAAATTAAAATCAGTTTGATTAGTGATATTTTATTATTATTACTATTCATAAATTGATAATTATAAATTATTTTTCTTTACATAATCTCCTCCTTTGAATTGCAAATTTTTTCAGAAATTTTAATTGAATATGCCAAACGATTGTCTTAGCAAAACTTGTAAATATGTGTTTCTTGCATTAAATGCCATTCTTTGCGTGAGTTTCTCTTGTTTTTACTGAAAAATAGCTTAAAAGCTAAAAATATAAATATGTTTTTAAATCAATGAGTAATAAAATATTATGAGTGATAATAATAAAACATTGATAATAATAAAGCACTGCATTACTTCTACATAGTCCATTGGCCTTTAGAATAATCATGCGAAAATCATGCCGTTGAGTGATTTTAGAGAATAGAAAATAATAATGAATTAAATTAGCGAAATCAATTTTATTTATTTTTCTAAATTAAATTTTCGTTGAATCCTCATTAAATTAATAAAATTTTAAGTTTTCAAATGAATTAATTAGTTGAATATTAAAGATCTGAAAGATTTGAACATAGTTTAATTAATTTTTTTAAAAACAGAGAAATGCTAATGATTTAATGCGATGCTAAATGAAGCATATAATTTCAATTCTTATGGTAAGAGTCAAAAATAAGTGAAATCTGTAACGGTACCAATTGCACCTCTATCTGCGATTGATTAAATCTGGTTGAATGTTGCGGCACCAATTGCACCTCTTTCTGCAATTGATTAAATCTGGTTGAATGTTGCGGCACCAATTGCACCTCTATCTGCAATTGATTAAATCTGGTTGAATGCTGTAGCACCAACATGCATTTTTACTTTCAACTAACTTTTTGAACTCTTTAATCCTAGCAATGAATCCATTCTAGCACTCAGTGGAACTAGCTAGGCCAAAAATAATTAGGGCCTAAGAATAACGGCCTAATTGTATTAAAAGTCAATGAAATTTTCATAAGAATTTTAAATGGTTCATAGGATTTCATTTTAGAAAAGATTTTTTTTATTTATTTATAGATTAAAGCAAATTTAAGTTTTTTATTAAACTCTTTTTTATTTAATTTCTTTTTTTTTGAATTTAAATTTTTTTAAAAATTTTATTTTATAAAGAAGTAGTTTATTTTATAGTTTTATAATTTATATCTTTTTTTAAAAGATTAAATTTTCTCATAAGAATAAAAAATAAAACACAATTTTGCAGCAAAATAATTTTTTTATAAGTGATTAAGTTTTATAAGAGATTTTATCAAAAATAATTTTAAGGAAATTATTTTTCTTAGATCTTTGGTGCTGTTATATGCGCTTTAAGTTTATGGATGCGTTTCGATATAACAATTCGACAAAAATTTGTAAACATTTTATCACAATGGGATCCAATAAATTATGATATTGCTGAGGTAAGACGATCGCCGACTTTCTTCGATAATAAATTTTATATCGACAAATTTTATAATTAAAAATGATTTAAAATAAATTATTGAAAAAGTTTGTAGTATAAATAATTTATAATTCATTAATTTTTCAAATGATTTCGCTTAGTAATCCCACGTTGAAGATGAAATTTACTGGTACTACTTGAGCTATTCTAGGTCAAGCGATTCAGCTTTGACAAATTTATTCGCTTAATCGGAATGAATCTAGTTATTGAAAATTAAATCTAAGCATAAATCTGAACTTTTCTAAATTTTTGCAATTCATTTGATTTCTCATCGTTATATCGTATCATAGAATCGTAATAAAAGGATAATATGATAATGAATAAATGCCTTATTTTTATAAGTGATAAAATTATAGATAAGAAATTTTTTTTGAGTATCTAAATATCTATTTTGCAATAATTTTTTTTTCGTTTCAGTATGATATTGCTTTATATGTTATAGCAGGAATCGCTTTCATTCTATTCATATTTGCTCTTTTTGGATATTTCGGAGCATTTTGTGAAAAATTATGCGCAATACGAGTGGTTAGATACTATCTTAATTTTTTATAGGCTATAATCAATTTATCGTTTTTGCAATATCTTCCAAGATTAATGCATGAATATTAAAAATTCCTATTTTTAGAATTGGTTAGCTTAGAATTAGTCATAATAAAACGGTAGATCATTCATTCGAATATAAGCAACATTACAAAAGGGTAGATTATGCATCGAAACATACTAGAAGCAGTGGAACAATCTTCCGTACATAGAAACAATAGATCGCGCATCTGAATATATATAAAAAACATAATACAAACGGTAATTCATGTATGAAGTTAGAAAAACAGTTTGAAATTCGCTAAGATTATTAATTTGCAAGCTTTTGCTTCTGGATTATTTCAGCAGTTTGAAACCATTAAATCTATTTTTAGTACTTTTCTTTGATATTACTCTTACTTTTACTTGAAATCGCTGGCTTAATATATTTGCTGATCGACCAAGAACAGGTTTGTTTATAATTCGATTTTCTTATAATAAATTTTTCATTTTTAAATTCAAATCTAAATTTAAATTTAAATTAAAATGAAATTTATAAGAGCTAAAAATATTGAAGTATTAAAGTATGTGGAATGAATGTTTATTGCAGGTGAAAAATCTATTCATAAAAATATTCAAAGAAGAATTAGTTGATAGATTTTATAAAAATTCTTTAATACGACAAGAACTCGATGAATTGCAATCACAAGTAATTTAATATTAAAACTTATTACTTTTTGCATTTATATCTATTAGAGTAATTTATAATTTCAGTTGAAAAGCTAATTAACATATTTGCTAATTTGAAGCGAATAGAACTTGGGAAGGCCGAGTGGTAGTGTCGACTCGTACTTTTATTTTTAAGAGATCCTACAACGAAAGTTGGTAGAATTGGCCAGAAACTATGTATATTTGGTTGTTATCGATATTCTAATTGATAAAAGAATTCATAGTCGACATACCAATGCAATTATCTCCTATTGAAAGGGATTATAAAATTCGATTAAAATTCGACTAAATGCGATGCCACAACTGCATGAAGATTCATGCAAGTATTAACCACCCTGAAATATGCAACGAGGATTCCCTGAAGGCATATCAAGTACCACTTATCCCAATTCAGGTTTCCAGAATCCAGAATCACGATTAATACTTATATAATATTTCTGTATACAAAGTGATATAGTATACAAAGTGATAAGTATATAAACTAAATAGATGGATGAAATTTTATAAAGCCAATAAAATTTTTGGAATTACTACTTTACTCGGGTAGGGCTGAATCAAATATAATAGACATTGCATCAGAATCCAAATAGTCAATTCAAAAATTTTACAAAATAAAATTTTTAAACGAGAAAATTTTGGTATTATCTGATAGTTTATTTTAAAGAATATAGAATTTTAAGGCACATTGTTGTGGTGCTTCTGGATGCGAAGACTACTTATTTGCTCCATTGTCGTGTGGATGTTCACCACATGTGCGAGTGGTTAGTACCATTGAATAATCCAATTTATATATATATATAATTTATATATATATATATATACAATATAAGCAATGTAATATAATTTTATGTAATTTTTTCTCAAGTGAATATCTTCAATTTGGTATTCGTTTATTAAGATTAGTGCAATTGTTATTTTAGCTAAAGGCAATAAACATTTATATCCTTTATATCCTTTCATTTATATCTTTTGACAAGGGTCATTAAAAATTGAAATAGGCGGGTTTACTTGAGAATCATTTGTAAATTCACCGCAAAATAACGATGAGATTTCTCCATTAATTAATTTCATTAATGCCTTCTAATAACGAAGAAGGCAATTATGGCCTAATTAAGATGGTAATTATCAACTATGAACAATGAACTATACATATAAAGTTCAGATTCTCATTCTCAATATATTATTAATAATGAATGTATTTAAAAAATTTTCAATTTTAGACTGGATGTGCGATTAAACTACTGAATGCAGTTAGTGAAAATATGCCTGTTATTTTAAGTATAGCAGGTATCATCATAATTATTCAGGTTTTTTTTATTTTACTGCATACAAAGTAGGTAAAATATTAACTAAAATATTAAAATGTGTGCTGGCCCAGTGTCGCCTTCAGGCAATTATTTTGATAGAGAAAGTGGGCAAAATGATCTTCTCTAACGGCTTACTGCCTATTTTCAAGCTCTAAGGCTGTACTAGAGAGGCCATTATTGAGGAAAACTCGCATTATCATCTACAGTAGTAAGAAGAAAATTTTTTATATATTAATAAATTATTTGTCCATTTGTCTTCCTCGAATCTTTTACATCTTTTTATTTTTAGTAATTCAGTGAGAAATTGAAGTATTTTAATGAGAATTTTCCCTAAGATTTTGAATAATATATTTCTAATAAAAAAATGAAAATTTTTATCAATTTCAGTTTCTCGCATTAATATTTTCATGTATAACATGCGTCGCAATTAAACGAAAACAACATAATTAACGCGAGCGGGAGAAAAAATGGACAGAAAAATATTTATTCATTAAGATTAATTCATATTTTCTCATCAAGAATTTCCTTTCATTTTTGTAGGAATTCATAATATAAGCGTTATGGAGAAAAAGCATCGATTTCAGCAATAATTTTTTTTAAAAAATACTTTTAAAAAATTTTAACATTCTTAAATTTATCCATTCGTAAATATTTAACTTCCTGCCATTGGTCACAATTTGTGACAGCTTTCATTCTAAGGTGAGGCAATTTTATAGGAGAGCCACTCGGTGGACAAAGGTATAGATAGGACCCATCGTCAAGGAGTAGGAGTATGGACTTATGATGCTTGGGCTCTGACCTATATGCTTCTCAGCTATTCAACTATGCTGCATATGCACAGCATATTTTCATTTTTTTATTTTTTTCGTTATAGGCCTTTAATAATATCATTTAATGATAGAAAAAAAGACAAGGAATGAAGAAAGAGTGATTATAATTTTGCTTCGAAAACAAAGGGCAAATTTTGTATATCAAAAATTTTTTGGAATTTTCGGCCGAAAACTTTTCATTTCTAAATACTTTTAAAAGCAGGAAAAATTAACCACTCAGCTATCGCGCATTTCGTCAATTAATCATAAAATTTTATTCATTCTATTTCTGAGAGTAAACAAGGCAAATTTGCTCGTTGGAATGAGCTCAATAAAAAAACTAAGGAAGAACAAAAGATTCTGAGATTTTATTAAAGCAAATAAAGGGAGTAACAAGTTTTTGTAGTTATTAAATCTTTATCACTGATAAGCATTATTCTGATTATCATCAGCAAAATAAATTTACTTTTACAAACCAGTTTATTACAAAACACCTTTGGAAAATTTATGGTCTTTTTCTATATATTCAATTTTTTGTGAGAATTTTGATTTAAGCACATTCAAATTGATAAATGATAATTATAATAGTTATAAATAAGGCTCGATTTATTATTAATATTAAAAATTTAAATATTGGAAAATCTCTAAAAGACCTCTTTCGAAATTGACCGCGTAACATTTCGAAATACACTCGTACGAAATGAAATATATTTTCAATTGTCACAAAAATTCAAAAATATATTAGAAAAGAAGCAAAGTGATAACTAAGAAACAAAGTTTAAAGTAAAGCCTTTTTCTAGAAATCCTTCATTTTTGAAAAACGCAAATATTTCAATAATTGCTGCAATAAGAAAAATAAAGATTTTTAAGAAACAAAGACAAATATAACTGATTACTGATACATTGATAAAACAGCGTCTTCAAAGGCACTTATGAAATATGGATTAATCTAATTGATTAGCAAATCACCACTAATAATACAAATCGAATTGAGAGATGCTTCGCTTTTGAATCCAATTTGAACCAGAAATGGTGCATTTTAGAAAAGAAAAAAATAAGAAGCAGCGTAATAAAATCGAATATAACTGAAAAGAAATTTTAAGCCTTTTTTTTCTTTTTTTCAAAAAGCGATTAATTATTGTACAAATGAAAGTTGATTAAAGTGACGGTGGAGTCGGATGACCAGTTCGTAAGCCATAAATCATTTTTTCAGTAAGATAATCAACATCGTTTGTTGGTTGTGCTTTATCAGCTTGTCGGCGTATTTCTATTAATTTTTCATTGAAATTCACATCTTTCGGATTGAGAGGATCTCGATGACGATTTGCTTCACGTTGCGATATTGTTAAATCTATGATTTGCAATAAAAAATTAATCAATTCGAAATGAATTTTTTGTTGGAATGAAGAAAAAGTTGTGGTTATAACAATTGGAATAAAACGAGCAATTGTAGAAATGAGAAATTCTGAGCTAGGCCTAAGCTTCAACTGCCACAAAATTCTTCGGAGCCTAAGGGACAACGCATCGAATTCCTTAGTTAAATCTCCATATATAAAACTGTCAACTTAAATCCTAAGCAACAAATCTTGTTCTTTTGTCTATTTTCCCGATGCAAAGCAGAATATACGACAACGATCTAAAAGACTTTCGAAAAAATTCGAATCAAGAAGATAGCGCAAAAATTTATTTTAGAACGATTTTTTTAAGAATTTTTTTCTGGGAAGCGAGAACCAATAAATTGTTTTCCGAGAATTTTTTATTATATTATCATTGCTATATTCCTTTTAAAATAAATTAATAAATAAATTAATAAATTAATGAATTCTAAACACTTCTGTTTTTTGTCTAATTCTTTCTCATAAATTTTTGTATATAACTAAAATAATTATAGTATAGTAAGTCGGTTGTAAGGGTAGAATGGCTCAGTGAGTTGTCGTTCTCACTTTAGAGTTCCAATGCTGAGGTTCCACTTTTTACAGGTGGAGCAAGCCCATAATTCGGGTTGTTCGTAATTCATTTGTATTTTAACGCTAAATGATTCTCTGACAAAATTTTTCTTATTTTGACACTCAACGAAACGAGATAACCAAAAATGGTAAAAGTTTTTATAAAAAAAATAAGACTATAAGCCTATTGTAATTCAAATCAGTAGTCCGTCCAGCCATTAAAATTTTTCAAAATTTTATAAAGAATTTTTTAATTTATTTATGAATAACGGTGATAATTTTTTTATCATTTGCAGATTGCAATTTCTTCCCATGTTCAATTTTTTATCAATTTTCTTATTTATTGATAAGTTTTTTAGACGATTAAAGGTGATAAATAAAAACGATAAGATAAAATAAGATAACGACGATGATAAAAAAGTGATAAATATAAAGTCATAATTTATTGCTTAATTTTAGTTATATTAAATAGAATATAACAAACTTTCATCTCGAAGTTGTCGAACAAAATTATTCGGATGTACCGTAGATTCCGAACCTTTATAAGGTGGATAGGGTGCGAATCTGAAAATTTTCTTTAATTATTTTATTATTATTGCCTTTTGGCTAAAATAAAATAACTAAAATAATTATATTCGCATTACTTAAAAGTTTCATTTCCTATTTGCTTTTCTTTGTTATTGAATGTCAAAAATTGGCTTTTTACGTTCAACCAACATATATGATAAAAAAATAATTTTAATTATAGAAAAATATAAAAAAGCTGAAAAAATCAATCAATTATTTTATTCAGATTATTACAAATATTACTAACTTTTCCTCTGTAGTTGTTGTATAGACTTTACGAACAAATCGCGATGTTGTTCCCTCGTCTGTTTGAAGAACTGCAACAGGTGTTGTAGTAGCGTATTGATGAATAAGCTCTCGAGGATTTGTTATTAAATATTCCGTTTGCACATCATATTTTTTACCATCAAAATTTGAACCATAAAGTCCCGTTGAAGCAGCTGAACTCAATTTTTTAACGACCGTTTAAATTCTCTAATTTAATGATAATCTGATAAACATGATAAACATAATCACTCACCACTTAATCTTCCATCATTCAAGCCCGAGTGACTACTGTATCTATCAAGCCCTTGATCATGGCTTTGCGATCGACCTACAATTATCATTTTTATCAACAATTATTTAGAGAAGTTGGTTTTCGATGCAAAACTATATTTAATCATTCGTTAAGTTGAGAATTATTAAAGGTAATACCATAGCTCGCAAATGGATCTGAATATGTTGAGCCAAGTGTACCGTAATGATCTCTTGAGCCAATTGTATTAAATGGATCTATAAATATCTTTATAAATAAATCATAATCAAATTTCATTCTAATAAGAAAATAAATGGAAAAATACAAGAAAAAAAAATAAGCAAGCAATTGCAAATAAGGTGGAAATAAAGTCTAAAAAAGGGCAAAAAAGAAAAATTTACGGGGAAAAAATTATATAGTGCTTTTTTCCCTCACCATTACCGGTTAGACTCGCTTCGCTAGCTTGTCGCACTAGACAAATAGGGAACTCCTTAGCGATAAAAATACGAGTAAGCCCCCAGCGAAACCCAGACTTCCGGACAAATTTACTCCTGCGAGAGCTAGAACATCGACGTTTAAAATTGAGCAACAACCCACTGAGCTATTTCAACCCATTATAGTACTAAAAGGATAATTTAAGATTTCTTTGGTTTAAAAAAAATTTATAAAATTAATGCACCATGCTTATCACTGGGAACATTTCCTGAATGTTGCGAATCTGTTCTATTAGGCCCATAATTTCTGTAATTCGCATCACTATCAACATAGCCTTTTGCACCATGTTCACTACCTGGTGATAAACATCTAGTATCATAATTCTTTGGAGCGCTCGTATATGTAGGATCACCATAAGCAGAACCATGACCATACGTTAGTCGATCACCTGATTTCAAATAAAACAAGATGATATCGTAAATGCAGTTCTCAAATTGCATTAAACTTATCGAACTATCGAAAGGAAACGAAATGGGATAAATGGGAATTACAAAATAGATCGAAGCAAAAAACCATACTTGGAGAAAGAGTTCCAGCTGTTCTTGAATTGCGGCCACTACCATAATCACTATTCTGCTCACTTCCTAAATTTTATCTCAAAATTAATAAAAAAAAGGGAATTTCAAAATTTATTATGATTATATTATTAAATTTATTATAATCATGGTACCATCTTAACTTTGAGCGGATATTGCACCCACTCTAAAATGCAGTTTGCCGTTTAAGCTAAAACATAGACTTAGAGATAAAATAACAGTCGCTTTCGGAGTACCAATTCATGGACTAAGCCTGCCTTTTTGAGTGATTCTAATGGGAAATGGTAAGCGCTCTTAGAAATTATGCTTAAACAATAGTTTTGGAGCTCGTGAGAAAAAAAATCATAAAAAATCATTAAAAGAATTAATAGAAGTTTTAAGAGGAATTAAAAGACTGTTTTATCTTGGAACCTCTTTAGGTGACCTTAACACCCTTCCTTCTCGCCCACAAACCCTTTCTATGAGACCATTAAACAGTTTTGTTGACAAGAAGTCGAATATACTTCCATAGAACGCAGACTTGAGATGCTAGGACAATTTTTGATTATTATTAAAAATCATTTAAGCTTTGGCTGTTAGCAAAGGATTTACGAGCCTCCTTAACGATATTTAGCAAATGTTCTTTCCTCTATTATGTGAAATTAATTTGAGCTTTACCAGAAGTTATTTTTTCATAGATATTATAGCCATCTCGCCCAGGTTCGCCGCGATCATAGGTTCTAACATGAGTTACAGATATTCTTGGTGACACGTCTTTGGGTGCATGTTTCATTTCGACACCATCTGCAGCAACTACTCCATCTCCAATAGGTGAATAATAAATTCTTCGCGGTTTCAATGATTTCGGTAAATGTTCAGGATCGGGAATTATCTACAAATTTAAAGTGAAAACTTAAGATATATAAAAAAGGTGAGCAACAGCGGTCCTTCTTAAATTCCAAATATATAAGAAAATTTTCGATAAGTTGAGAACACCACTTCTCCTCCATGCCATTTTTGAGGCATAAGTTCGATTCCAGAACCTGGACGATCACCATAACCTGAAAATCGACTTCGTTCGGCCTCGCTGCGTTGCTGTGCTCGCTGTTTTTTTTGTTGTCTGCTTGTTTCAAAACGAGTGTAATGGTCCTAAATTTGCTAAATAAATTGAAACCAATAAGTATCTCTTGAAATATCTCCTTACGCGATTCTCAAAAATTTTTTTATTAGAAAATTTCCATTATATAATTCAAATTAATTTTTATTTTTTTGCCCTCTAATAGGAGATTTTTAAAATTTTTCAAAATTACTAATTTATGAATGTATTGAATATATCATTTGTAATGGTTGATAAAGAACAAAAGAAACAAAGTTGATAAGTTGATAAAGGAGGAATTTAATGACAAAAACCCGCCATCTCGATTGATTTAGATTGAGTAACATATATGTATTACAAATTTGTTTTTCTACACAGCAAATTAAAATTAAAATCTGGTAAAAGGTTTATTAACCGTCTGTTTGTATGGTGCACTGTATGTTGGACTAATTGTACGATATTGATCATTTCGATTTAAATTGCCGGAACTACCATAGTGAGACATATTATCTTGTCGATCTTCTTCAGTAGGTGATAGCGATGATAAAAATGATAGAGATCTCGTTCTTTTAACCGGTTCGTATGATGTATCAGACCACTTTACCTCTTTTCTACTGAAACAAATCATTCTCAAAAACACTAAAATTTATATAAAAGATAAAATAATGCAAATTGAATTTTTCGTTTTATAAAAATGACTCGGCAAGCAAAATGCATTCGATTTTCTAATTTTTTGAAACTAAACTAAGCTAAACTAACCGATAAAAATGATTGGATCTCTATCATCCTTGGACGAAAATTTCCTTGTAATTTAAACCAAAGTCAGTTAAATCAAAAATAGCATTTATTAGAATAAAAAGCAATATAATTTAAAAGAAATCTTTTAGGCCTTTATTTTCTATTTTAAGCTCGAATTTTACCTCCGTCTTCCACTGTTTGCGTTAATTGAATTATACGATTGGTTGTCGTTCAATAGATTTGAAGAGTTACTTCCTGAAATTCCGAGTTCTATAGCTTTGCAATTGATTAACAATTCGATAGATTTTAAAGTCTATTAAATAAATAAACAAATTTTTTTCGCACCAAAAATTTTAAATATTTATAATTTTAAAAATATAATTGAAATAAAATATAAATAAAATAATTCCTTCTTGATTTTCTTCAATACGAGAAGAGCGTTGATGATTCGTTGGTTCTTTGAAATTTTCCGTGGAATAACTTTTATTTGGATTAAAATGAATACCACTATTTAATTGATTTCTTAAATCAGCGTATCTTGAATACTGTTTCAGTTTATGCTTTCGAGAAGACGGTGAAACTGAACGTAGAAAAACTGGATTAGAAACATGCATTTCGATTTTAAATAAATAATAAAGAACTGCATTAATAATAAAAACTTGTTTTAGCACAAATAAAAACGATAAGCGAATGCTTTCTTGGAACTTTTAAAAATTTTTTTAAGGCCATTTTCAATAAAATTATTCGTTTATATTGTCAACGACACTATAATATTATGTTTAAATAAGAAATATTATTAATATTATATTATATTATTAATATTATTATAACCGTTCTTTGAAAAATCGAATATTAGTTAGATTCAATTTTAGATTAATAAATTTGCTTTGGCCTAAAACTATGGATATGTAAAATTTTTCTTAAATCTCCTAAACGAGAAATAATTTTTTGCAGCGATTTACGATTTAGAATTTTTATGCTATTCTCGAAGATTTTTGCGTATTTAAATCATATGAATTGAGAAAATTAATAATGTTTTTAAGACAATAATTAAGTAATATATTTTTATATTTTTATATTTTTGAAAAATTTGCAGAATTTTTATTCATTATTCAAATATAATTTTATACTTATTATTTTACATTACATAAATTTATAATTTTAAAAAATTTATATATTAATGAAGAAAATTTTTGAGTGCTCATCAGGTTTAAACTAATTTTGCCAACTTGCTCTTCGATCCCCATCAACCTCTCATAGCTCATCAACTCCAAGAAGGATCTACACTGGTTTGGATGAAATCTACTCCAAGAATTATCTAAGCAAGAGTGATGATGGTAATTAAAACTTTTCTAAGATTATTGCACATTGACTGTGTAACAAATGCCTGAAAATCACGACTTATCATTTATCATTAAAACAATTCAAACTAGCAGATAAATCGCAACATTTCAAAGCCAATTCATCAATTCGTTCAAATGATCAATGATTAACATGATTTAAAAAAAGAAAAAATATTCGCTGAGTACCACCATTCAAGTTGCTAAGACTCACCGTCACGATATCCGTATCGCAACAAATGGGAATTGGCGTCAATGTATCTTTGAAGTTCGCGATCTTGAGAACGTGATAGCTCGCAGCGATTCACAAGATTGCATCCATTCAACAGCACTGCCTAAAATTTTAGAAACGATCGACTCAAAAACCTTTTAGTAATTCAAGAAATTTCACATTTTGCGCTGTAAATTCATATGATTATTGAACTGATTAAAAATATACGACTTAAGATTGTGAAAAAAAGCTGATTAGATTAGAATAATCAATTCACGATAAATATCAAATAAGCTTGGCATAAATAGTCGAGTTGCATTGCTATTTCGTTCGCATCGAGCACCATCGGTTTTTTTTACGTCGACAAGAATAAGCCTGTGATAAAAAAAAAAACCATTCGTACTTCTATTTTCATGTGTACTTCATGTGCACTAGTCAGTGGAGCTAGCCTAACCAGAAATAATGAGTGCTAACCACTTGAAGATTTGTCCTAAATTATTCAAATAGTTTAATTCAGTAACACTAACAACATTCGATATTTGTAGTTTGGCTGTTAAGATTAAACTACTCGCTCAATCGAAGATAGGAGTACATAAGGATAACTCCAGTATTAGCTTTTAAGCCGACTTTAATGACTAAAGTCTGTCTTATTCAATCAAACTTCCGATAACTCCCAATAGTCTTAGTCGAAGCAATATCGGAACCACTCAAATTGTTAACATAATATTTAAAAAAAAGAAAAAAAACAATATAATTTACATGAACAATTAGAAAAATTTTCTAAAAGCAAAAATTCTGCAAATAGCCAAATAGTTAGAATTAAAAAAATTAAAATTAAATAGAAAATAATCTGACAATGCAAAGTTGAATTTTAAAAAATGCCAAAATTTTTAAATTTTATAATTTAAAAAATTTACTAAAATATTTTTTAATTATCACTTTTTATTAAAGAAAATTTTTAAAATTTTTCAATAACATTTCAAATATTTTTTCGAGTAGAATTGTTAATAATTATATTATAAAATCAAAATTGTAAAAAATTAAAAATTCATAAATTATGAAAAAATTTTCGAAAAATTAATATTAGCAAATCGCAATTGTTGAAAATTTTTTTTACTATTTTTTTTACTAAAAAACACTTTAAAAACTTTTGTTAAGCAAATGGTTTCAGAAAAAAAAAATTTAGCTGTTTTTTTTCTATGAAAATGAAGTTAAAGCAAAACGATAAAACACATGCTTTAAACTAAAAATCTTCACGGCAAGCAAAATTTTATCGAAAGTTAAATAACAAAAAAAAGAATTAAAACTTTTTTTTCGTTCTTTCAACCAATTTAACTAACTTTTCTATCGAGAGACATCACATGTCGAATAAAAATCGCTTATTATCGATGGATGAATAGACGATTCAATCTTAATTTTAGATTTTTTGAATAAATTTTTATAAATTTTTTAAAAGAATCGAAAAATCGCGATTTGCTATATTTATTTAATTTTAATTCATTTATTTTATTTTATCTTAAAATTTTTTAATAAATTTTATTTTTCAATAATTTAATTTTAATTTTAATTGAAAAATTATAGTTCATTAAATCGTTTCGTTTCACTATAAAACGATTGAGCGGCTCTTCGTTTCAAACATATTTTCCCTAATTCCCTAATATTTTCCCTAAGGGTAACAATCTAATAAAGGGTAATAATAATAATATTTTTATAAATGAATTTAAAATATACTTAAATGATTATTTTGATGCAAATTGATTGCAATGCTTTCATTTCACTGATTTTCTTTCTTTCTTGTTTCGTTGAAAAAATGTCGTTTCAAAAGAAGGAATTTAAGAATCTCGCTTATTATTGTTATTAAAAATTAATAGAAACAAAGGAGATTCATATATATTACAAAATATATAAAAGCCCTAAGGGTAATAACGGGCAATTCTCATTCTGCGGGTCGAGTTGCTCTCAAGTAGAATCCTAGAAATCTACGAAGTTGTATCTTAGCTGTTATCTCAGTAGTGCACTTTTCTAGACAGAGATTTCTGAAGTTATTCCTGGAATTTGTTGGAATCGCTTTTCCATAGAAATTATGAAATCATGAAAAAATTATTAATTATTAAAGAATAAATCTAACGAAAAATAAAGATTTAAAGAAAAAAATAAGAAACTTAAAAAAATAAAATCGGAGAAAATAAATAAAGAGATGATAAACGAAATAAGCGATGAATTGTTGATAAAAATAATCTTAGATGAGGCGAAATTCGTGTAGGTTGAAGCGTTTCGCGTTTTCGATCACTTTTAAAAACAAGAAGAAGAAAATTAAGCGGATAGAACGAGAAATTCTAAATCAAAACTAATAAATAAATAATAAAATTAAGCGATAAAAAGATCAATGAAAATACAGAAAGGAATATGCGATAGGGAAATATGTGTATAAATTTTAAGAACTCGCAGGAAAATAATATAAGTCGACGAGTTGGCCGAGTGAAAATTGTAAGTTCGAGAGAATCGAATATCGTCTAAAACATCGAAATTAGATGCATTATAAAATAAACGATGCGATTGCTGATTTTGTTGTAATATTTTGGCCAATCGGATCACACAATTGGATTTTCGCTCATAAAATAATAGAAATAAAAAATTTTTCAATCATAAAAATTCATTTATTACTGTAATAAAGCACGCATATGACTTTGACCGCCCTGCTTGTTATTAAAAATAAACTCATTTATTTAATAGGTTGCATCTGATTTATATATATATAAATTTTGATGATCAATTTTATTAAATATTTTTATTTAACATATATTTGCGATATTTCGCTATAAAAATTATACAAGTTCTATTGAATAAGACAATTGCGCAAAATATAGTTGTGAGGAAGGCCTATGCGGCAATGGTACTTAATTTGAAGAAGGTTGCTGAATATGAAACAATAATTGGAGCGGTAGAAATTGATAAGTTGGTCTTTCAACTTTGATTTCACGAACAACACATTTCATATTTAATTTTCTTCTATATTAGTGATTGGAACATAAAATTTTGATTGTCTAAGTGGATATTCAATTAAGAATACAATGAAATTCCCTCAAAAACTATGCGGCAATGGTACTTAATTTGAAACACAGGCATTCTCGTGGCTATATAACATTTTTATAAGGTCAAGGATCCTCCCCTGCCATTGGACTTTAAATGTTATCAATGAGATAATATATATCATCGCATTTAAACAATGATATTTGATTGAACATATCACAAAAATTATGTTGGCAATTTTGCCTTGGAGAATTTAAACCGAAATATAAATATTTCGGTAGAAATATTTGCCTACGAAGTCATTGTTGATAATACGCTAAGCAAACTGGAATGCATTCATTTGAATTCATGTTGAATTTTTCACATACGTTGAACGAATGAAATAGGAAAATAAGAAAAATAAGAGATTTTAGGCTAATTCAAGGAGACCTAAGTAAGTTATGCAGCCAACGCCAATCAGCCTAAATCAATGAAGTTGTAAAGTCGTCAACTGTAGAATCAATTCAGTGAAACTCAGCCGACGATGCAGTTCGTTTAAGCAATCACTGCTAACGTTTCTACGGTGAAATTTCCATTAGAAAAAAATTCCTCGTTTTCTTAAATTTATAGCATTTTAAAATATTTATATCCTATGAAGTTTATTCCTCTTTTATATTGATTTCGAATTATAAAAATTATCGAAAGGAAATATCGAAAATTATCGAAAGGATTTCACATTTTGAAGCATATTTTCAAGATTTCTCGAACTTTCATTCTCGCTAATATTTATGAATTATTTAGTGGTACCAGAAATTTTATTGTGCAGATAAAATTTAATCAAAATCCAGGATGAAACCATAAATCACCATGAATATTGCCTCGGATCAAACAACATATTACAAATTATCAATGCAAATGAAATTCGAGGACTCATTTTTAATTCCGCTTCCTTTTCTAACACCTCTCCTCACCACTACTAGCTAGGATAACTTCGCTGGCTACAAGGATAAATTTCTTAATCGACTGGATTTTTATCAAAAAATTTATCGATGTTGACTTAAAGTTTTTGACACGATTAAGAAACAGGATAATATGCCTTTCTTGCAACTGTCATAAATCATTTAGATATCGCAGTTTGTTTTTAAGAGCGCTCTCTATTTCAAGTTGGGCTCGCTCAGCTGATAATGTGTTATCAAATATTGTGTTATCAGAAAGTCATTCGGCAATAGGTGTATAAATTGGTCACTATCATCATCAACCAGAACTTTTTAAAAACAAATTTCCTCCTACCAGGAATAGAACCACTAAATCAGCACTCCGAAACGAAAGCAAAGTTAGGAAGCAGAATGAAGGATAAAGGGAAATCGGAGGAAAGAGGATATAGGAAATAAGTGGAAAAGAGGAAAGATTTGCAAAGGATAAAGGTATAAGCACCAAGCGGTTTTTTGGAGTGATTTTATTTTCTCTTTTTCAATTTAGGATGGCTCAGTGGGTTGTTACTCAGTTCGGAGCGCCGATGCTGAGGCTCTATTCCCTTCAGGAATAAGCCTGTACAAAAATCCAGGTGATGCTGGGGACTCACCTGTAATTCTATGATAATTCCATTTTATTTTCTCTCTTTTATTTTTTGAAGCCAGCGAATTGCTTAACTTAGTGTATAACCGCAAACGGTGGAACTCTTCTTCTTCTAAAAGTTCCTCTCACAATAACTGGGTGGACTGGTTAAGGTGGTTCCGCTGGTAACAGGGGCAATATTTCGAAGCTGCTCGATCCGATGCCAGCTTTGACTATAGTGGAACTGCGGTCAAAAAGGAATAAAGAACTCCCAACTCCCTTCCACTCTAATTGAATTTTTGCATTCATTTCGTTCTATTTTTCCAGTTCACGCTAGCAATATTTAAGATAATAAAATGGGCCGTATTTTGTGATGGTTGTAGCCGTATTATCTGATTCTCGATCTTGATCAGCTGGAGTGGTGCCAGATTATTTTTTAAATAAATTTTGGAAAACTATTTCTTGAAATTTGAGCAAAAAGGGGTGATAATTTTACTGATAAAGCTGATTCGGTAAGGTTAGATTCATTTATGGACTTGTGAAAAAAACTATTATGGTGTATATACATATAAAATTATCGAGGATTCATTGATAATTCATCTACATAAAAATGGTTTTCTGTTTTCTGTCTTCTGGTTTTTTTTTTTGAACGGTTTTCGAAAATTTTATTAGTCAAATCTATCGAAATCAACCGAGAGAACCTTGCTGTATGACGATTTTGAAAAATGATTGACGAATTTTTTCAACAAATAAATCTTTTGTTTTATATTTTAGATAAATGAATGAGCGAAACTATTCAGCGAAATATCATCTTGAATTATGTATGAAGGAAGATTTGGATTATTCAGTTGGTAAATCGCATCTTCGCCTCGCTTCGCTCTACAACGATTATGAACAATTATCGGCTGATGTCGGTTATTTTTTTTTTTCTCAATTTCATTTTTTTTTGAATATCGAAAAAAATATGGCAAAAGGGGCAATGAATTGTAGTGTTGTGTCGAAGCCTTCTTCATTTCTTTTATTTCCCATTTTTTTAAATGATTTAAAAATTTTTTCTATCTGTTTGCTTTTTATTTTTTATTACATTTTTTTGGTGGCAATTTTAGTTTTTTCTTTGTAATTTTTAGTTCTAAAAAAAATAAATTTTTTTTTAGCTATGCGAATTACAATTTAGCATAAAATGGAATCGAGCAAATGAAGCTGCCGTTGTTTTAGAACGATTGTTTGTTTTTGATTTTTATTTCTTTATTTTTTTTATATTTTTGTTTGCATTATATATTAATATATTATATATTGATTTTTTATAATTTATATATATATGTACATGAATTATATAATTTATATAATATATATATATATAAATTTTATATATACATATATATATATATAAAATTATACGAAATATTATAAATTATAAGTTGAAGTTTATTGTATATTTTTCTATTTCAGTTTAATAATAATATTTCATATAATTTTAACAAAACCTATCATTCAATTTCAAAAAAAATTGACAAAAGGGAAATTATGAAAGGGAAAAAGGGAATTTATAGTTTTCTCGAAGTTTTATATTCATATGTTTCCTATTTATCTGATTTACGGATCTGTTTTTAATTTTATTTTATTTGAAGCTATGATCATCAGTGATTTTCAAATTTAAAATTTCTCAACATTTCATGAAATCCTTAGGAAATTTTAAGCAATTAGAAATTCTAAAGGTTGACAAATAATGGGCTGAATTTAAAAATAAAATGATAAAATATCATTTAATTGAATGTGACATAAAATTGAATGAAGCTATATTATTCAAATAGATTGAGAACTGCATTATCAATTTAACCGATGAATAAATTAGTGGGCATAATTTTTTAGGTAAATTTTTATTAATTATGTTTTATAGTTATAATTATTGGTAAATTTAGAAGTGATCTTTTTCACCGTTATTTTATTTCTTGCTTCCATAATTTTTTAAAAATTTTTTTAAAAAAATATTCAGAGTTAAATCTCATTCATCCGATGCGGTATGGACTCTCATTCACAAAATTTTTTTGAAAGGATCATCATGCGCTGTTTGTTCTGAACGAGGTATCTTTTTTCCTTTTTTTTTGCGATATTCTTTCTTTTAAAATTATTATTTATTATTAGAAATTATTATTATTTAAATCATTATTAGAAATTATTGAAAAATGAAAAATTAATTATTTACAGAAATCTTCACAGTCATTACTCCAGAACTTTATGATAGTATCGTTGGTGGATTGACGAAGCGCTTTGATAGTGATGAATCACTAAAAATTAAAATGCTTTTATTTGGACTTGAAGTTTTAATGGAGGATAAATTAAATAGAATTGTTGTTAGTTGTTATTTAATTTTTATTTTTTTCATTTCATTTTATTTATAATTTTTGAAACGTCTCTGATTTTTTTCTCTGAATCTTTATATTATAACTAATTAAATTATTTTTATTTTATTCTTTACTACATTTTATTTCATTTATTCAGTAATCATAGCAGAACATTTGTTAGGATTTTTTTAGAATCGTGCTTTAACTTTCTTCACAGAACGGGCGAATATTGATAAGGATCTTGATAGTGGTGCTGGTAAATATCATGTCATTTTGGGTAAGTATTAGTGTATATTGGGTATATATTTGATTATGAATATTTTTCGTAATGATTATTTTTATATTTGGACGTTTAAGTTGTTTTTAAAAAGAGGAAAAACGAGTCGCTTAATTGAGAATCGCTTAATTGAGCGTTATATTTGAATTAATTTGAATTATTTTTATCATCTTCCTTTTAAGGATTTTCATTAGCCTTTTCATCTTTTATCCTTTTGTATTGATATATCAGTCAGTATTTACTTGTTTTTCTTTTAGGTGTTATCGTTGCAAAATTACTGAATAATCGTAATTTATCACAGATATCTCCCAGTCGCCTGTATAGTGTCATTGCTATAACGCTAAATGTTGCAGTCGCTTGGCCTCTCCATGATGATAAATGGTTCGAAATATTAACGTCAGTCAAATTTTATAAAATTTCAGAAATTTCAAAATTTTAACTTTACAATCAACATTATTTTCAGTTTGAACTGATATTCATTAATTATCTGCTGTGGAAAGCTGATTATTATTTTTTACTTTTCGCTTTTATTTTATTTTTTTTAGAAAAGGATGAGGGACATTATGTGGAAATTTGCAGAAAAAAAAGTCATTTTCTTTTTGAAAAATGAATTTAAAAATTTCTATTTAAGGAACATATCACCCCTTTACCTCACTGATGCTAATAACTATCATCAGGATCGTTGGTATATACTAAGCGGATTGATTGATCGATATATTCAAACGTTTGAAAACGATATTACAATTAATCTGCAGGCAAATTTGTACGATATTTGAATTTGTAATTTCTTTTCTGAAATTTTTATCTATTTTAATTCAACTTTAGTTTTTTAGAAAATATCCAAGTGGATGTGGTGGACTTGTCAAATGTTTCGATAAAGTTATAACTTTGAAAACGGAGACAAAAAAATCTGTATTATTGTTCTTCGTGTGGTTGGCATATTGTATCTGGAAAACATTTAATCAGGGTCATTGAATATTTAATTTTATTAGAAAAAAAAATCTGTTTTAATCTAAAAATAATCTAAAAAGTTTATCTTCCCTATTTTTTTCCCTATTTTATTATTATTTCCCTATTTTATTTTTTTGCAAAGAATTTTTACATTTTTATCGATTAATCTTCGATATTTTTCTTTTTTTCTCTCTATTATGCATCTAATTTAGATGGTTCTACTGGCTGCTATGATGCCTTTGGGTGTGAACCTAAAATTAACTGCTTTTCTTATCACCTTTGTATTCAAAATTTCTTCTAGTCTCATTTGATGCCACCACAAAGTATATAACTTGGCTACTTTATCTTAACGGCTTTATCTTCTCTCAGTGGTGTTATCTTCGATACATATGGTGTTTTTGCAATTAAATGAACGACAAATATATAGAATATCCATTAGGCAAGAGTATACAAATAGAGAGGTATTAGGAGGAAATTTTTGATATTTTCTATCTCGTTAGGATTTCTCCATATAGAAAAGTGTATATTCCTAACTATTACTGCTCAGTTTTGTTCGTCACAAGTTGGTGCGAGGTGTTTAAAAGCAATTTACGAGATGTTAATTAATCAATGATAGTTTTATGGAAATAGTTGCGTAATTTTCGATATACTCTTTTAGCGAAAACGAGAGCTTTATCAGTGTATTTAAGATATATATATATATATATATATATATTGTAATCTAGATTGGTCTGCATATTCTTGAGTTTATAAATAAAGTTGGTTGCAGAACTGGAAATTTGAGGGAAAAAATCATTGACGCATGTAATTCCTTATGTAAATGATTGAGCCAGCTTCCTATAAACGTATATAAACGTATGCTGAAAAAAATACGTTAATAAATTGGTAAATCTTTTCTGAAACTGTTTTGCTGCGTCATTATATTCGTTCGAATCGCTATCATAATTATATCAGCGAATTGAATCGAAGTTAGCAGCGAAATCATTGAAAATAAGAGGGTTGGTGATGTGCTGAGTGATACATTTATTCGTAGTAGGAAAATTTGGTCAGGAGATCAGCGTTGTGTGCTAAACCCAGCTTAATTAAGAATAAATATAAATTTATTCTTTTCACTAAATTTTTATACATCTTATATATTTGTAGGCAATTTTCTTGCTTGGATCCCTGAAAATGATTGGTCTGGTGATGTTCATAAAGTGATCCAAAGTAAGGCAGATGTTGGGCCTGATAAGCCAACACTTACAAAGAGAGCTCGTACTAAAGATCGTAGAGATATTGGTTCTTTCCCTAGTACCAGTGTACTTAAGAGGTCGAAAAAAGAGGTGATTTTCCAGAAAGTAGTATTGATTTTGATTTTAAAAAATAATATTTGGTTTTTTCCTGTATTTGATAATCTATTCATGAAGAACCTTTCAGAATTTTTTTGATTGTTTATATTTAAAATTTTGCTCTTAATTGAAATATTTTTCAGCTTTGTGATTCCTATGAACTTTGCAGTGCAACAATTTTAGTTTTTCTGCAGTCTATGAATATTGAACCCGATGAACATATGCGTTTTGCTTCTTCTTTCCCAGATTTATATCAATTTGTTAGCGAATCACTTTTATTCGAACATCGAGTCGACGAAGCTTTAACGCATTTAAATGATGTACATTTTGTAATGTTTTGAATTAATGAAAAATTCTTTTTTATTTTTATTTTTTCTTTTTTATTTTTATTTTTTATTTTAATTTTTCTTTTTCGCGATCCTAATATTAATGTTATTAAATCTTAATATTTAGCGTTTATCAAGAGGAATGAATACCGAAAAATTCCTTGGAGTATTATATTATCATCTTGCATGTGCAAATTGTTTGCAAAAAAATTGGACTGCAGCGATGGAAAATTTAATCGAGGCGTTGTCAAGGATTGAATTAACGCAAACAATTAACTCTTTTAATTATTATTTTTTTTCTACTTTTTCTATTATCGAAAGACGATTTAATAAACGAATTTTAGATTTTATAGGTTAAAAATAATTACCATAATTTAATCTTTTATTTTTTTTTATTTTCTTCTAATATTCAGTCAGATAAATAAATTAAAATAAATAAATAAATAAATTAAAAATAAGCAAATAAAATTAATATCAATTAAAACAAATTAAATTAAAACAAATTTTGAAAAATTTCCCCAAAATTTCTTATTTATGCAAAGTACTTATGGTTTCTAATTTTATTTTCTTTTTAGGTTATTGATCACTCCATTAAAGATAGCATCGCTTCTTCAAAGGTTTTTTGTTATTTGCATTGATCGCTGAAACTGAAAATTAGCTGAAAACTGAAAATTCGAAAACTTTTCATTTTCTTATTTATTTTCTTATTTATTTATAATCGTTTAGATACTGTTTGGTTGTTCAAAATTTTATTATTAGTGAATTGGTGTTAGATTGGTGCTCTTTTGTTTTTTAAGTTCAATCTGAATCCATTTGAGACTTTTTCGTTTTCTGCTGTTATTTCACAAACATGGTGAAGTTAATTGATGAATCCCTGATCTATAGCACTTATATTAGCACTAAAACACTAAAATGCACCAATTAGCACCAATTCTATATAAAGAGGATGGTTCCTTCGAATTCACAAATATTTCTATCTCCAAGATAAAAAGCAGTATTGGGATGTTATTATATTGATTAATGGTTAATGGAAGGAACCAAGCCAGAAATGATACCTGTTATTAGAAATAGAGTGAAATATTTGTAATTAAAAGCTATTTTTCAGTCGCTGTTTCTGTCCTTAAGCGAAAGTGAATTGGCCAGTACTATATTTGATATCGCCCACCATATTTTATATAAGGTTATTTTCTTCAAAAGATTATAGTTATTGCAGATTCTCTAAAATAAAATTTTTCTGCCTATTAGCTTATGAACGACCACTATACATTTCAATAACAAAAATTCAGTAATTCAATAACTATTCAAGAATTTTAGGTATATACTTCAACGGCAGTTAGCCATGATAATGACTGTATATTAGGATCATTAATGGTTTTGTCGCAGATTAATTTTGCCTGGAAGGGATATCTTTGTTTCAATCGCATAATGCGATATGTTGAAGCAAAAGTAAGTATTTCATCACTGTGAAAATATTTCATAAATTATCGTTACTAAAAAATTGTTGATATTAAAGTAATGTTTAATTAAGGGGTCCTTGGTATATCCAGGAATGTTGAAATATATTACAAATATAGCTATTCTGGAAGAATTAGCCCGTGTGCAAGAGTATTGTTCTGAATATGTTTCAGTTCAAATTGCTTCACCTCAAGGCAACAGGTTTTTTTAATAGCGACTTTAAACACTTTTATGTTTTATTAAAATATTTATAGGACACTAGTTTTTTCAAAATTTTTTATGATCATTTTATGAAGAAAAATTTTGAAGAAAAATGTTTAAAATTTAAATACAATAGTTATTTAGTTATTTTTATTAAAATTTTAAATTTTGAAGAAAAATTTTTAAAATTCAAATACGATAGTAATTTTTTATATTAAAATGATTTATATTTAGATTTATATATATATAATGATTTATATAACTGATTTATATTTTTCGTTCAATGAAAAAAGTTTACAGAAGAATCGGTCAGTCAACTAGGCATAGTGTTAGAGGAACGAAAGATGGTCAAAAACAATCGCTGGAAGATCAAATGAAGAGGTGGAGAGAGGAACCTGTGCATGTCGTAAAATCTTATTTTATTAAAAATAAAGAAGATATAATAAAAATGCTCGAAATTCGGTAGTTCTTTTTTATATCAAATGGTTCGAAACTCAAAGTGATTTCATTTTTTTATCATTTTGTTTTTAATATTTATTGCTAAAATAATCGTTAAGGGGCAATTTATTCGAGTTGTCAGTTGCTAACGATTAGCACAAGAAAATCATAGAGTAAGGGGGACACGGATTTCGGGACGCCCATGTGACACCAGTAAATTTATTTTCTGAAAATCTGATTACTCATCTACCTATCTTCAAATGACTAGTGCTCTTAGAAAAAAATTCTTTATAGATAACTCCATTCAAAAGAACATTGTTTCGATCTTAATTCCTAAACCTTATCATTAAAAGTTGGTGCTAAGGAATCGCCTATGTTTCACTTCTCAAAATAGGCAGTCGTTGGTAAATGCTTTTAAACGATGAATAAATTCTTCCTTATTGTTCCAGTTTTATTGTTATTTTTTCAAAATGAAATTGTGCAAATTTATTGTAAACTTAATTTCAAACTTATCTTTTAGAAGTGTTTATTTATTAAATTATAAGTTTGTTTTTTAATTTAGTTAATTGTAATCGTAAATTAATAATTGTAATTATAATTTAGAAAAAAAATTTTTATCGTTTTTATAATGCTAAGAATTATTTTAACTTGTAACTATCATTTATTATCTATTTTAATTTTAGTTTAACATTAAATTTAGCGAGGCAAAGGGCCGTAGGCCGTCTTCAGAAAAACAACAACAAAGAACAAAATAAATAAATTGAACTTTTTAGCATAAATGCCTTACAGAATCGTCGTTAATTTTTTTTATCGTTTAGTTCATTTTGTCAATTTTTGTTTCTATTGTGGTCGTTTTCTGGTACTGCTATAAATCAAATCAGGAAAAAGGAAATAAAAATTTCTTCTGAGATTCTCGGTAATTTCTCAATAGTCATATACGTCCTTTGATATTTTTTGGGAATTGCGAGTAGAATTCTAGTCAGTCAGATAGCATTTATTATACTAGTGAATAATTTTTGCAGATTTGTTGATATTTTGCAATATTTGAGGAATTCATCTCACAGATCATCTTGATGCTATTAAAAACGTGATGGGATAGGAGTCTTTAGCAGGAGGGGTAAATATATTCGAGCCGACCTACATCTAAATTCCATGAATTGGAATTATTCATATATCAAAGAATATCAAAGAAAATGAATAGCTATGCATGTATAAACCTTGTCTAAAAAATCTCTAATATGTGTTATCATATCAGTGATAAATGGGAAAGAAGATTAGAAGATAATTAAGGTTTAGCATTTAGTCGTTCATGAATAAAGAAGTAAATGAAATTTTTTCCGAGGTTCCTTTGCAAATTGGATTATGCATACGATTATAAAAAAGGTGCTAGTGATACCTTTACATTTTCTTAATTTCGTTGTGGTACCCGAATATTGCGTGGTATTGAAGCACATATTGAAGTAAACTTTGTTTGAGAATCAGTCGTACCGCTTACGAAATTATTGTCTGCTTTGTGGGAATCTATTGACTTGCACTCAAAATCTCTGCTGAATCTTGCTAAACATCAAATATTCCCTCAGTCTTGCAAATTTCACTTAAAATTAAATTTGTCACTTAAATTAAATTAAATTAAATCACTTAAATTTGTCCTTTGACCTTAACTCATTTACAACACCATTTCGAAATGTTCATCTAGAAATTCATGTAATTCATTTTTACAACTGTTATAAAGCACAAAATAAAGTAAGGTTGCCGACCATGAACGACCTTTTCTTATATTTTATATGTATTAAATCTATATTTTCTGAAAAAAACCTAAAATATACAGCGTTAATTTAACGTTAACAAAAATTTTTCGTAGTTTGATCATTATTATTATTATTTTATCTATTTTTAAAGCTTTAAATTTGATTTATAATTTATTCCAAGGAATTTTTAGCAAATTTGGACCTTTCAATTAGCTATAGTCAATTCACCAGAGATTTCGGACAGAACTTCGAAGCTGGAACGGCGAATTTATCATATTCCTAGAAACAAAATGGAAATGTTAGAAAAAAGGCGCAAATAAAGCCGGAAATAAAGTAAAAATAAAACATGGAATCTCCAAACAACCATGCCTCTAGTAAGCCGGAAATAAAGTAAAAATAAAACATGGAATCTCCAAACAACCATGCCTCTAGTAAAGCACTCGAAGTTAGGAAACACCCATATTATTTTATTTTTTATTATTTTTGTTTTATCTATTTATACTTCATACTTCATATTTTACAAAATTTTTTGCATATATTTATAGTCATTTTATGCGGTACAACGGATATATATGCTAGTAATTTCTTATTACCCCCAAAAAAACAGTGATGTGAAAATATTTAATATTCAAGGTCCAATTAAAAAGATTTATCGGGGATAAAGATTTATAAGGTCATAGAATTCTGAAACAATTCCGATACCAGAAAAAAAATAAAAGTAAAAATCTGAAATAAGGGAATCCGATACAAAGTAGAAAAATAAATTAGAAATACAAAAACCAAACGTATAAAAACCAAACAATATTAGAGGAAGAAATTATGACAAAAAACCATGATTTGCCCTTAAATTTCGTAAAAAACAAGATAGAGAATGGTTTTATCGATCAAATGGCCCTTTAGGAGAGAAATTTCACTTCAGTGAAGCCACAAATTACACGAAATATCAAGAAAGGGGAAACTCACAAAAGACAATTTATATAAACAGATCAGTGTGCACAGCATGAAGTCAGGCGCTTTCCTATAGTGATCCAAGATGTGCACAGATTGACCTGTCGGGATTTTGGTTCTTATCTATGAGCAGCTAGTGTTTGGAGCCTCTTGTGTTGTTCCCAATGTCTTTTTGAACTGTATTCATTTACTGGCTCATATGGTTATAAAGTTTGATGATGCTTGACAGGATCAGATGGAAGAGAAAATGAAAATGAAAAGAAAATGAAAATATGGAAAGAAAATTCAGCAAACAAAATAGTATGTGACAAAAAAAACAGTATGATCATATCAATTTACCTGAGCTTGAACGCAAAATAATTCCATTACCGCAATAAAAGAAACTACAGGAGTACAATAAATTCAATATATTTTTGTATGAAACCTTCATCAAACGCTGGATGCTTCAATATTTTGCAATATCATAATATGGAAAATTTCAAAAGGTGCAATCTATTCTAAATGATAGACTAACTAGCAAACTACCAATTTTGCGGTTATGCAACTACTTTCACGGTCCAAATAAATAAATGAAAGACAGTATTGCAACTGAATCATATTAATGTCTGAAAACAAATAATGGAACAAAACGTTTAAAAAATTTTGAAAAAATGTTTTGAACAAATATCGAATATAAAACTGAAAAATTTTTTGCAAAATTTTCGTAAGAATAAAAATTACATATTGAACGACAAAATTACATACTAAATTAACAAAACAAAACAGTTTTTAAAATGCAAATCAATTCTAGAGAAGATGCTAACGACAAAAGATTTGAGAATGGCTATTCCTTTAAAATAATATGAAAAAATATATGGCACCTGTAGCGTAATTCATTTCATTCATAAAATTTCAGCGAGAAAAATCTGTATAAACAAGAAAAATCAACCAAACCTAAATAAATAAATGAAAATATTTACAAATTTTTTCCAACTTTAAAGATTTTCAAAAAGTTTTATTTTTTATTCTTTTTATAAACGAAAATTGCTATTGTTATCATTGTTGTTATTAATAATGCTATCATAAAACTATAAGTATTATTTATTATCGCCATCACTGTTAATGCTGCTATCATTATCACTCATATTACCAATATCATTAAAATAACCTATTAATAATTCTGCCAACTTCATCACTATATATTATCAAGTTCCAGAAATGACTGAATTTAAATATCTATAAAAAATTTATAAAAGCGAATTATATCAATAATGTGAATTCTTATAGAAAATACCTTTATTTTTCCATACTTTCATTCCTATTTGCCAAAATTCAGCTTTCTTTCCATCTAATTTTTTTTGCTATTTGGTAAAATTTAGAGAAAAAACGATTTTATAATGAAAATTTCTCGCGAATTACGAACTCATCTAAAAATGAAAATTAATAACATTTCTAAAATACATAAACACCATATCAATTAATTTAAAAAATATTATGGAATATATAAAAGAAATCGAGAAAGAGAGAGTACTGATATAATTTACTGCAGCAGATGAACAAAATAAATCCTATATTCAGCTGGTAGTTGATTTCAATAATCACACTTTTCCGATTAGCATACAAACAAATGAACACTTACTTTGAGATAGTTAAGGCCTATGAGATGTTTTGCCTTATTAAATTGCTGAAGCCAAAATTAATAAACCAAGCATACCCAGAAATATCTTTCGAGAGATATGGCGTTATTTCAGCGACTATTATCAAGCAATTTAATATAATAATTATATAATATAATAATTATAATATAATAATTACATTTATGAATAAATAAAACATATAAGCAGTTATTTAGGCTAAATAGAGGCCTAAGAAAAAAAATTTTGCTAGAGTAATCACGAAGGGATAGAAATAACGCCACATCGCCAAGTTCTCGGTAATTTGCCTAGTTTTCTTGGATATTTGTAAGGCTCTCAATTTGATAACTTGGAAATAACTGAAGCCACTTCTTCCACCATTTAGGATACCGTTGACACCCCTATGCAGGTGTTGTCCAGGTGTTTGAATTAGCCCTCATTGCTTTCGGCACTATCCACCACGCGGTTTGAAGAAGAGGGAGAAGGTAAACGAAGAAAGAGCAAATACGCACGCCTAACGGCGATATTATAAATACAAATAGTAGAATCTGGGTGAATCGTCAAAAAAATCAACAAAAATTATTGCTTTATTAAAACGAAAAAAATTAAAAATGCGCGACGAAAAAAATAAATTCGAAGATAATGAAATAATTTTAAATTGTATTTTCACAAAATTCACTAAAAGAATTCAACAAAATTATTAATCACACGAAACTGTAAATAATAAATTTTATTATAAATAAAAACAAATAAAACAAGAAAAATTAAAGTCGATGGAAACGCTAATTTAAAAATACCGAAAAATAAATTAAAAAAATTCATATAAAACCCCACCTACAACAAAACAAGGCGCCTAGCAAGTACCACAACAAGAAAAAAGGTGAGAGTAACGAACTTTAACTGAAGAATATCGCTTTAAGATTAAATATATTGAAAATCAAACTTTAAAAGCAGAAAATTACCTGTGGATTTCTCTTTCATTGTATTTGCAAGCGCTGTGATGATCTGTGGTACTCAAACTGTGGTACTGTGGTACTCTACATATGCACAATACCTTATCGACAAGTTGAGAGCGAAGAAATGGCACAAGCAAGCAAAACGCGGAGAATATTTTAGTAAACTACAAACAAAAAACAACTGGTAGCTCTAGAAAAGTCAAAATTTATAGATTTTTAATGAAATTTTTAGATAAATTTTACCAAAAGAAAATATGGAATCAACTCGGTTATAAACTGTAAATAAGAAAAAGCTGCAAATTTCCTGGAAAAGTGAAAAAATTGCCGGCTAATCTAATTTTTTTGGCCAAACGTTACCCTAACACTTTTCAGCTTTTATGCTTTCTTACTCTATCCTATCTAACAGTCTCTCTTGCTAGCTTCTATTTTTAGCCAAACGTTATCCTAACACTTTATTCCGACACGCTATTTCCTTTTTTCTATAACATCTTTAGTTAGGTTCGCCCTAATGACCTGGCCTTGGCCATAAAAATAGTAAGGCCAGTAGTGAGCAGATTCATGCGGAAGACATCCTAAGACACTCTTGGCCAAGCAATTTACTTAAATCAATTTGTAGTAGCGTTCCGATTCCATCTGAAACATTTTGCTAATACCACGCAGAAATTTATGAAATGAATTTCCACAATCGATCTTTGAATCTCACGAATCCAGAAATTCTCTGCAACGATAAGCTGAAGCTTAGCAATTGAGACGATTTTTAGTGGACCTGCGGATAGTTTCAGTGGTACGTTTGCCGACGAAATTTTTCGAAACAAATTTTTTTTTATCGTCTCGTATGCTAACCATTTTCTCTTGCTTGGCTAATTTTTTTCACAAATAAAAATTTTTATAGACATAAAATTTATCATTATTAATTTTTTAATTTTTATAAATTTTTATAAAATTTTTAATTTTTAAATCTAAAAAAATTTTTATTATTATATTTATTAAATTATAATTTTTCCAAAAATTTTTTGATAAAATTTAATTTTTAATTAATTATAAGTTATTCAACTTATATTTTTTAATAATTTTTCTAAATTTTTTAAATTTTAGAATTTAATTTTTATAATTTCTTTGCTTTTTCATTTTTTATTATTCGTTTAGTTGGTTTGCGTTGTACAAAGAGAGAATTAAACGTAATAAATATTTATAATTTTTAGAGTAATTTTAGAAGAAGTAAACGCATCGAAAATACTTCGTCATAGTTGTAAAATTTTTTAAATGCTTTAAAAAAAAAAACCTATAAAATTATATAGCAAAGGCGCATAATTTGCTTTATTATTGCAATAAATTTTCATGGAAAATTTTTGTCAGCTTAATTTTCAAGAAAAAATTCCAATGAGATTATTTTTGATGTAATTGAGAGACTTTTATAAATTTATTTCACTGTTCCACATCGTTTTTTTTTGAAGCTTTTTCTTCTTTTTTTTCTTTTTTTCTTAATTTTCATTTCATTTTATTTTAATAATTAATAATTTACCTATTAAATAATAATTATTAGTATTTATTTCATTTCAGTTCAGTTTTACTTAACCATTTTTATATTTTTATTTTTTTACATTTTTAATGTGCTAAATATATGGCGCTTGTCGCATTGCTTGGCTGATAAATGAATTTTTCACCATTTTTCGGTCATTCGAATAGTTATAATCGGTTTCGTTCGCGTAAACGAAATTTATTTTGTCCATTTTCTCGTTATTCGAATGATTCAAAAGCAATGAGAAAAACAGAAAGTGATTTTCGAAATACATTATCAATATTATCAATATTTGTATAAGTGAAAAATTTTCATCTTTGATTTTTCCTGTATTTTTCATTAATTTTTATTTTTTAAATCTTAAAAAATGGCTTTATTAATTTATTTATTATTTATTAATTTAATTGTAAATTTATCAATGTGAATTTCATGTTTTCATTTATTTATTTTTATTATTGTTGTCCTTACTATTTCATATTTTTTTTTACTTATTTTTATTCATTTTTTTTCTAATCTTTGGATATTTCTTGTTTTTATTTTTAATGTAATTTTATATTTATTTAAATTACTATGATTATTATTTCCTATTTTGCGTTTTTTCCAAATTAGTGGAAAATTTTTCTTATTTTTTCAAATTTTTTCTCTTTTTTAAACGAATTTCCGGAACGTTTCTTTCTTCAATTATTTTATTTAATATATCACTGTGAGAAAATACTTTTGCATTAGAATATTATTTCTAGTTTAATATTAGAAGTGAAATAAAGGTAAAATTTTAGATTCCAACATAATGCGATAGTAATTTGGAATATCGTTGATGGATTTGAATATTTTATTCGATTGATCAATTCAATTTTTTTTACTATTTTGGCGAAATAGTAAAATATTTCCGTTTATGTTGCACGAATTGGACGAATTGCACGAAATGGATGCACGACAAGCTGCGCAATTCGGAAATGAACAACGACTTAGACAAATGTTAGATGATGGCGAATGTACGCCGAATTCGCTTGACGCCGACGATTGCTCTTTGCTACATTGGGCTGCAATTAATAATCGGTTTATCTATTTCTTTATTTAATTTTTAATTTTATTCATTTAATTATTGAACTTTGAAATAAGGTTTTTTTTTGTTTTTAATTTTTTAGTTGTTGATTCTTTGATTTTTTAATTTAATTAATTTAATTCGATTTTTAATTGATTTAATTTTTATATAATATTTTTTGCTTCATTTTGCTTGAAAAATTTTAATTTTTGAATTTGTAAACAACAATCTTTTAATCTTTGAACTGTTTTATTCGTGTTGAATTGTAGTATCGGTGTTGCTCAGTTGTTGTTAGAGCGTGGTTGCAGTGTTAATGCAGTTGGTGGAGTTTTGGCTTCAACACCACTGCATTGGGCTGCGCGACATGGACATTCTCATATGGTTGCATTATTATTTTTGAATGGTGCTGATCCGAATTTGAAAGATGTCGAAGGTAAGTTTAATATTAATCTTTTTCTTTGTTTATTTCCGCCGAACTTCGATGATTTATGTTTTTCGCTTATTTTTATTTTTGATAGAACATGAAATAAATTATTCTTTTGGCGAAATTCTAGAAAAAAATGACTGGAAAGAGTTTTTCGAAATAGATTTACATCTTATTTTCTTATTATGTAATCTTTTCAACTGTGCTAATAATAAGCTGATTTTTTTGAAGTTTTTTAGGTTTTACAGCTTTACATGTTGCTGTTCAGTTTGGACGCACAGCAACTGCTGCATACTTGATTGCTGTAGGTCAAAATGTTGATGAAAGAGATGAAACCATGATGTCACCTCTGATGTGGGCAGCTTACAAGGTATTCGTCACTAAATTTTTTTTAAGAGCTTTGTTTTTAAATTTCAAATAATATTACTTGTACGAAAATTATATATATAAATACACACATACATATAGCATTACCCGGATTTTTAGACAGGTTGAGGAATAGAACCTTAGTGTCGGCGCTAATACAAAAAAAAGATAAAGAGCAAAACAAAACTACAAAAACGTGGGTTTTCTTATCTGAGTCATATTGTTTTAGCCCCCATTTAAATTTTTTCTTCTCAAGTCCAAACCAAAACAAACCCAAACCTTACCCACCTCACAATCGACAATTGCGCATTCTAAATAAAATAAAGGCTTTATAAGTAAACCAGAGAAAAATCACATTCAAAATAAATTATAATCTAATCATTAAAATAAATAAGAAAAACCCACAATAAAATTTTAAAGACAAAAAATAAAGACACAAAACCACAAATTTAAAAAACACAAAAATCCCCCCAGAATAAGAATAAATAAATCCAAAAAACAGATATAAAAACATCCCATCGTAAGGGACAAACCTTACGATTAATTTTTAACTACTAAAATTCCCAGCAAATAAAAACTAAATTTTCAACAAAAAATTAATCTGATTAAATAAAAATAATTTTAAACAATAAAAGGCTAAAACAACCCTTACCGCAGACAATATAACTCCAACCACAAAAAATAAAGACCCAATCATAAAATTTAAAAGACAAAAACACAAAACACAACCATAAAAACAAATCCAAATCCCCAAGACAAAAAAAACCCCAAGAACAAAAAGTTTGAAAACTAACAGTTAAACTTAACTTAAATCCGCAAAAAAAAATAACTAACCAAAAAACATTATACATTATTAATAAAAAAGGAACACATAAACCCAAACTAAAAACTTCAAAACAAAAAAAAGAAAAACCTATCAAACCAATACTAATAATATAAACAGAATAAATAGAATAATAGAATAAATAGAATAGTAAAAAGATAAAAAAAGATATAACCCTAAAACAACAAAAAACCATAATACATAGAACCAACAGCCAAAAACTCAGAAAAAAAAGACAAAGAAGGAGGAACCCCTATATTAGATATAAAAACTAAACACAATAAAAAAACAAAAAACAAACCACCACCAAAAAACCAATAAACCATACGACTAGAACCACAACTATAAAGCACACCAACTAAATAAAACAAATCAAAATAGCAGAAAAACATGACCCAATAACATTGAAAACCCAGCACCTTTACCAATAATACACATATTAACCAAAAGCATAAGAAATTTTTATATTTTCATTCTTATATGAATTACAGAAGAATAAGCAGCTAAAGATTTCCTCTCATCTCTTTGAAAAATACAATTATAAGAAGAAACAGCTATATCCAATTAAGCAAAAAAAAACTATAAAAACCTACACTACTTATAATACGAACAAAGCCAACATAACCAAGTTTAAATAACAGCATAGCCAATAGCATCCTAGCAACAGTAGAAGCCTCAACATGAGCCTTAGGCAACCACAAATGCAAAAAGTAGACAGGAGAAACAGTAATCTAAGAAAAACAATTAACTCCCAAGATAAAATTAAGTCATAATATACATAAAATAAATTAAGTCATAATATACATAAAAAATAAGAATTAAATAAAACATACAAAGAAGGAAAAGAACAAAAAATAGTATAAAAAAGCAAATAATAATCAGCCGCAACCTTCTCAACTTGAGAACCAAAACCCAAAATCATCAACAGAATAGGAAAAATCGACATTAAAAATATATAAACTAACAAAACCAGAAGAAAAAAAAACAGTACACTAATAAATACCAACAACTTAGACATATAATTCAAAAACAACTCAAATCTCTAAAGCCAAAACAAGAAATAAAATATAAAACTTCAAAAACACCATTAAAACATAAAAATAAAAATTACAATAAAAAAACCAACTATAATCATTCAACAATAAAATTATAAAAAACATTAAAAAACAAAAATAAATACAATCAAAAAACATTAACAAAAAACGAAAAATCCAAAAAAAATTACTGAATTATCAACCCAACTGATTACAAAGCAGCTATTCTAAAAACTAAATCAGCGAAAAAGCCATCAATAAACAAAAAGAAACAAAAATAATCAAATCAAATCAACAAAATGTCAATAAACAATAGAAAATTCCAAACCCATATGATGGTCCCTATTAAAATGATCCATATACAAACGAAAAAGATTAACAAATAAAAAAACTATCCCAAAAAAAACAAATAAAAAATACTACCATAAATGCCATCAGACATGGAAAAACCTGATCTATCATATTCCATCACTTGAAAAACCAAAAAAAACAAAGCTAAAATTCAAGTCAACAATAAACCATAAAAAGAATCATGATTACACAATGCACTATTATGACACCAAGTAACAATACTACTCAATCAAAGTATTTAAAAGAGGAATCCCCATAGGATTAATAAAACCAATACCCAAAGGACACCAAGACATACCTAATTCCCTATTGGGAACCAAAGAAGAATCAAAAAAACCCAAAAAATCATACTTAAAACCATTTATAACACTTTTGAAAAAAAATTATGATAATTATGATAATCTTCCATAAAAATATCCTTACACCAAACTATATCAAAACAAACAAAAAATATTAAAAAACAACCTAAAAACAGCACCATATTTCAAAGACCTAGACCTAGATAAACTCATCACCCTACAAAAAACCGTAAAAGGATACCCAGAATAAGACAAAAGGTGATAATTATGTTTCAAAAAATACCAATAAATCTATCAAACCTTAATTGACTATATTAACAATTATACTAAAAGTGTAAAAATATAAAAACTTAAAAAACAAATCCTGAAAAAAACCACAAACACTAAAACAAAATAAACAACACTGCAAAAAATTCTAAAAAAAACATAAGGTCATTCAACTGGACACTGACCCAACCAACTCAACAACAAACAAAAAAAATCAAACAAAAAAATCAACCAAAACATCAAAAACACTAACATAACTATTAATAAAAACAAAAATAACAAAAACAAAAATACTAAAAACTAACATAACAACACCCAAAAACTTATTAGGAAAAGCACGAAGAATAGCATAAGCAAACAAAAAATATCACTCAGGAACAATATGAACAGGACTCATCAAACAATTAGCTAAAAGAAATATTTCAGGATCATTCAAATAAACTAAAGAAGAAACGAAGAAACTTACACCAAAACCTGATAGTCCAAAACTAACCATTCTTATTAAAATAAAGTGTAATCCGCTTTCACAATCCCCTTTAAACCGTAATGATAAATAATACACTAAAAGCCTAAATCAACAAAAAACAAAAAAAAACATAAACAAATCAAACAAAAATCAAAATCAACAAGAATCAAAATCAGCACAACTCAAAAATACCACCCCATAAAAAACATAAATAAGAATAAACAGCAGTAAAAAATAAAAAAACAACAAAAAATTACCAAAAAAAGACATCACAAAATACTTAACTATAAAAACTAAACCCAAAGGAAAATTCACAAAAACAAAAACGAATTTCCAACCATAACCCACTAGCACATCACTAACCAAAAACCAAAAAAAATAAGTAGAAAAAAATCAAAAAAACCATGATAAGAAACACCAAACAACAATAAAGAATAAATAAAACAATTCAATTAAAAGATTCAGTAGAAAAAACAACAAGACCCTACCCAAACTAAATAAAAAATAATAATAGATAATAAAGATAATAATAAAAATAAATAAACTAACAATAAACTAACAATAAACAATAAACTAACAATAAACTACTTTAAAACTACTTAAAAATAAATAAAAAAATAATAATATTTGTCGCTTAAATTTTTTATGAAGCGTTTTAAAAATAAAATAAAATGTTAAGGTGTTTAATCGAGATCCATTACGTATGCTTATCACTATGGGTGCTGATTTATCTTGTCGTGATACAACATATGCTAATACTGCTTTACATTGGGCTGTTATACAAGGAAATCACTCCGCGATCAATATTCTTATCAAATTTAATGCTGATTTGACTATTCGAAATCGTGATAATGAAACTCCACGAGATATCGCTATACGTCGTGGTGATGCAATTAGCTTACGAATGTTAGAAAGAGCGGAACGCAAAGCAGGAATTCTTCCATCCACATTCCTCCAGTCGATAAAAGAAAATAATGTAATCATTTCTTTTATAAAATTTCATTAATTCTTAAAGTTTTTTGTCAGTTAATTTATTTCACGCTGCTTTTCCTTTGTATAAAAAATAGTATTAAATAGATTATTACAGAGTTTTATCTCAAAATCTATGTTGCTTTTGCCGCTTATCATTATAATAACGATTGGATTAATTTTAAATTCGAAATTTTCTTATATTTTCAAAACTTTTTGCTTATTATTGGTTATCTTTTCTACTTGGCTCACCTACAGGTTTTGATTATTTTATTATATTCTATTATATTTAATTATATTTATCTTTGTTAATGACTATTTTTCATTGCAAATTTTAACATGCAAGTTTTAAGTTCCTAACTTTTTTTGTAGAATTTCAGGGTTTTGCCTAGCTCAGAAAGTTGCTCTTTATTACCATTGGGCTTGGCAATTGCTTCTAAAGTGTTGTGTATTTTTACTTGGTTATTTTATTTGCATCCTTTTGCTGGATGGCATATGCAAATTATATTTTTTTTTCTTTCATTATCAGTTCCGATTTTATTTCTTCGAATTGTTTTTGCAGATCCAGGTGTAATCTCCGTCACACATGAGGTTTTTTTCCTGTTTTTTTTTAAAAATTATTACAAGAATTTATGAGGAAGTATATAATTAAATGTTATATAATTAATTTATTTTGTTGTTATTGATAATATGTTCTTTTTCAAATTAATTTTCTGTGAAATTTTTAGGAACGTTGTAAAATGATACGGGATATTTGGGAAAAACAACAGGTAGCTGCTTCTTTCTGTGCTACTTGTTTAATCCGAAAGCCACTCAGATCGAAACATTGTTCGATTTGCGATCGTTGTGTTCGACGGTATATTTTATATTATTCAAGAATCGTTACTTTTTCATCATCAGTTAATCATTAATTTCTAAGATTTGATCATCACTGCCCGTGGATTGCGAATTGTGTGGGAGAAAAGAATCATTTATTTTTTTTATTATATCTTGGCGTTGTTATTTTATCATCATTGTTGATGATTTTTGGTACTTTTTATTGTAAGTTTATTTTTATAAGTTTTTCGTTCATAAAATTCATTTATATTTGATTCTGCTGAAATAATAGGGCAAAAATATTTTAAGTATTTTCCAAGATATTTTTGCTTTAGAAATATTTTGCTTGAAACAGGAAAAACAAGCGTTAATAAAATGAAATTCTTAATACAATTTAGAAAAATTTTAGAAAAATAGATGTATTAATGTTAAGCGAGCGATCCATTGAAAATCCGATTTACTTTTGGTGCTACTCATGTTATTCCTTTTCTTGTAAGTATTTATATTGAAAAAGATTTTAGATTTAATGAATTCTTGTGGAGAGATCTCACAAATGACTATTCTTTATTGTAATACATGGGTTACTTATATCGCATTTATGTCACTTTATCATTTTATTTGGACTGCCAGTCTTTTTGCAGTTCAAATTTATCAGGTTTGAAAATTTTTTTAAAATTATTTTTCTGATAAATTCTTCAAAGCAAAAAGGAATTTTTATAATTTCGTTTTGCTTCAAATTGTCGAAAGTAAGAAATGCTGGCCGGTTTTTTCTATTAAATTAGCATCATTAGCTTATGAATCATTTTGCTCTCAATAGTTTTTTTTTTGGATAAATTTTAGCATTTAACGACTTTTAAAGTTTTGCCTCCACATGTACATATTAAAAAAAGAAATTTGCAGATCTTATACGAGATGACCACCAATGAAAGATTAAATTCATTTCGATATAGGTATCTTCATAAAAGTGTCGATAATTTATCTACTAGAAGCCCTTTTTCGTATGTCTTTTTGTTTTAGTCTAATTTAGACATGAAATATTCTTTTAACTGATTCTTTATTTTTGAAATATTCTTTTAATTGAATTAAATTTACATAATTTATTATTTATTAATTAATAAAATAGAATTAAAACAATCGCTATGGATCCTTTCCACAACATCACTGCGGGCAATAAAAAATTGTAATCATCCTTAATTAATTTTAATTCAAGTATTGTGATAGGGAACTTCGGAAAATTTGTATACACCGATTACATAAAAAGGTTTAGTATAAAAAGGTTTTCCGTGAGAAATTCTTGATAAATTTTTATTAGCAAATAGAAGAATGAGCATTTGTAAATAATTATAATTAAAAAATAATCAACAAAATTCTTAGAAAAAACGTTACACATATATACATTGCTTTCGCGTCAAAAAATTCATAGTATCCTAATCGCAAAATTTCCATTATCAAATATAAAGGTTATGTGGAAAGACTCAAAAAATTTTACTAACTTATTAAATTTATTTTCTATATATTTTTAATTTTCTATATAAATTATATTACGTTTTTGACTAAATTTACATTATATTTTATTATATTTATATTAAATTATATTATAATTTATATTATATTTATATTAAATTACTTACAAATATTTAATCAAATAAATATTTAATAAATAATTATTTACAAACATTTATAAGAATAATCAAAAATAATTTATTATTATTATTTTATTTTAACAAGAATTTTATTTTATTATTTTAAGAATTTTATTTCATTCTATTGGAAGGAAAAACAAGAAATACAAAATAAATCAAGGAAGTATCTGAATCTAAATTTAAATATTAATAACTTTGATAATTAAGATAAATCAAATACATATACATGACTTTTTGGCAAATGTATCTCATTAGACAAATTGTAAACTGAATTTAAAAAATTCGATTAATTATAATAAAATAAAAACTTACAGGCGAGGGAAATTACGTAATCTATACAATTTTTGCTGTGGTACAATTGAGAGCTCCACGGAAGAAGATTATTTTAAATAACTTTTATCTTTCTAATTAAAGAAAATAAATGGCTTTGCAGCGGTGAAAAACGCAAGAATGCGATAGTTTTTATTGTAATAAATTAACATATTTTTTGCTTAAAAATTCAATTATTTGTGATGCTGTAGTGTATTAGATAACCTGAAAAAATTATTCAGTAAATATTAAGAAGTATTTGGAAAAATTTTTTTATAGCATTTTTATATTTTATATAGCATTATAAATAATTGCAATATTTTTTATAAATTTTTTAGATATTCAGAATTTTTTAGATATTTTAGTTTTTAAAAATTATTTTGTGATGCCTTTTAAGCTTTTTATATTTACAATTCACAATAAGCTTAATGCTGAAGTACATTTTTTAATGCGCTTTAAAATATTTCGAGATTTTTTGTTAATAGTAATTAAATAGTGAATAATTAAATTATGAAATAATCAAATTATGAACACGTTTACATAAATATTTAATATTTAATGAGTTTAATGTTTATAAAATTAACCATTCCATCGCTTCATCCAAACCATCTCCTTTAATAGCTGAAGTTTTAAATATTTGAAAAGTTCTCGTTCTTAAAGCTTCTAATCCTAAACATCGGTGTATTTCAGCTAATGATAAACATCCATTAATATCTTGTTTGTTTGCAAGGATCATTAATGTAGCATCTTTTAATTCCTCTTCCTGAAGTGCTTATTTATGAATGAATTTAAGAATGAATTTAAAGGAATTTTCATTTCCAGATAATTTTATTAAATTAAAATATTAAGGATTGCGTCTATAATATAAAACAAATATAAAGAATAAAAAAATTAATATAACTTCACCATTTGCCTATCATATTAGTTTAATTAACTTAAAATATAATTTTCAAAAAGTTCTTTTCCGCCGTCTTCCCGAAAAATTATGCCATTTCTCAGGTTTATATAGTTACATTCTATAGTATAACGAATTTGATGAAATAGAATGGCTCAGTAGGTTGTGGCTGAATTTGGAGTGCTGATGCTTAGGTTCTATTCCCCGCAGGAGTAAACCTGTCTAAAAATCCGAGTGATACTGGCGATTCACCTATATCGCCATCGCAAAGAGACTCCCTGGCATATTTTTCCAATGAGATAAACCAATGGAGCGAGTTTAACCAGCAATGGTGAGGACTCTAAAAAAAAGAAAAGGAAATTCATCTAGTGCTTCAAAATAAGATTACTTTAAAACAATTACTTCAAGCATTGATACAAGCTCCTGTTTTGATATACCTATCCTGTCCTTATCTGCTGAATCAACCACGTATATTATAGCATCAGTATTCGCATAATAACACCTCCAATAAGGGCGTATTGAAGTCTGTCCGCCAAGATCCCACACCTGTAGAAAATAATATAGTTAGCTTCCTTCAGTTCAACTCAAACTATCCGTGAATCATACTTTAAAAATACAATTTCTTTCGGCAAAAAAACCTGGAATTTTAAATTTTTGTAGGTGACTTGTTCAACATTAAAACCGATTGTAGGAATTGTTGTCACTACTTCACCGACCTGAAAATTTCTATAACCATTTTTTTGTTTTATTTCCATTATTTATTTACATTATTCGTTCAATTTAATTTTAGAAAAAATAGAGAACAAGCGAGCATCAAAAAGTAAGAATTATTATCACTGAAGGCAAATTACTTGTAAACGATAGAGGATTGTCGTTTTCCCAGCTCCGTCAAGTCCTAATATCAAAATTCTTAATTCTTTTTGACCAAATAATCCACGAAAATAACTGAGAACTCCACCTAAGATAGTATTTTATTTTTTAAATAATTCAATATTTAATATTTATTAGTAAAAAAATTTCTTTCTTTTCTTTTTCTTTTTCCATCCTTTTGAAATCATTTTTTTATCAATTTATCACTCCTCCATATTCAGTTGTTTAAAAATTTTATAAATAAAATTATAAGGCAGAAATATAAAAAACTGATCAAAAAATAAGAATTCACATGAATGAAAATTTAAAAAAAAAATGAATAAAAATAACATAAACTTTTATGAATAACAGCGAATATAAATGTAAAAAATATGTTAGAAGTAAATAAAAATAACAATTAGATAGAGATAATAATAATAATACTATTATAATATATTATAATGTAATAATATTGGCAACAAGAACATTGATAATATTAAAAATTAGTAATGCAATAATAACAATGATAATTAATAATAATAATAAAATAACAACAACAATAATAATAAATAACAAACAATAATATCAATGATAATATATAATAATGATAATGAAAAAGAATAATAAATAAATAATGAAAAGCAAACCCATTAGGAATCGATTCAATTGTGTCTATAAAATAAATAAATAAAAGTAGCGAAAACAACAAATTCTATGCAACGAATGAAACGCTGAAATATTATTATTAAATATTATTAAAAAGAATCTTTAATTCGAAACTTTCAAAACGTATAAAACAATTTGACGAAGAAGCTCACGTAATATTTTCACGTGATATTTAAATAAATAATATATAATTGTCATTTAAAAATGACAATAAAATAATTATAAAAATGAGTTTAACAAAAACCAAATTTGCGCAAGAAAAATCGATTTGATTTACTAATTATTTTTTCAAAAAAAAAAAAATTTATTTGAAAATATGTATAAATAATTTATTTCAATTAATATTAATTAGATTCAAATGCGAAAAAAGAAAAACTTCGTTTTTGCGGAATATTGCGGTAATTAAATAAATTTTCTCACCATAAAGAAAGCACTCACCAGTGCGGGAGGCTTAGACTCCCCCCTCTGGCTTACAGGCTTAGACTCCCCCCTCTGGCTTATCGGATCAGCCAAATTTTGCCAACGCGCAAACCTTCGGTGAGAAGGATGCAAGTGAGTCACCGGAGTCACCACAAATCAACGATTTAAATACAATTTAAAATAATTAAAAATATTTTTTGAAAAGAAGGACACCCCTCCGAAAGCCAAAAATATATAAAATATATAAAAAATATTTCGAATAATTTCGATATTCAAAGATGAAATGATTTACTGCCAAAAAACGTGTCAAATTTATTTTCATAATTTTCGTTTTAAGACCGAAATTTTCAAAATTTTTTAGTAGTTTTGCCTTTGGGTGCCCTATAGGATTCTGGTGAGAACTACGAATTCCGCTGGAAATTTGGTTTCTACAAATTTTGTGGAACTTATAAATTCTTTTGGGATTCGCCTTAGATTATCACAAAGCTATTTTAAGATTGTGTTTTTTTTTTTTAAAGAACCCTCACCAGCACTCATTGGATTCGCTTCGTTGGCTTATCGCACTAGGCAAATAGATGCCAGCGAGTTCCTTGGCAATAGAACAACAGGTGAATCGCCAGCATCACCCGCACTTTTCAACATTACCTGCGGGGAGTGGAACCTCAGCTGCGAATTGAGCAACAATCCACTGAGCCATTCTAGTGCTTACGATCCTACTGCTTAGTCATATTTTGCAAAATTTTGATCTTCGTTAAGGATCCTCTGGAACCTGTTTATACACCGCTAAATATTAAGTGCACCACGTATAATAGTTTATTATAATTGTTACATTCAAAATTATTTCTTAAGAGAAATCAAAAACGAAAAGTTAAATTCTTAAAAGTATTAAAAATAATCGAAAGGCAGTATAAATCAAAAGTACGTTTTTTATCATCGATTTTAATCGTAATGAAATGAATTTATTTATGAAAAAAAGGAATAAAATTTTATTTCAAAAAAAAAAAGAAATTTGATAAAATAGAGATTAGAATTCATTAGAAAATTTATCTTAAAAATTTATCTTTAAACTTATCATTTAGTATCAATGATGCGATTCTATTCCTTCACAGAAAGAAGTAAAAATCAAAATGATAAAAGTGATAAGTCTCTACTTCTATTATCAAATGAAAATTTATGATAAAATTTATCTGATTCAACAAATCTGTCGAGCGAATCTAATCAGAAATGGTGAACGCGATTTATTTGCAATCTTTGCGTTCCTAGAAATATATGAAAAATTTTGAAATTTTTCCCCTTTAGGATCATTTTAAACAATATATTAATTATCAAGATTTGATAAAATATGGAATATCAACTGACTGCGATCACTTATCTTCGATTCGATTCGTGGATTATTGGAAGTAAATTTTTTAGTTCTAAAAAATGAGCAGTATTTTAGGTACCAATATGCATAATTATTATCAAAATCGTTCTTTCATTCATTCTTTATAATTTTTATTGCATTATATATACAAGAAGCTGATAAAATGCCTCTTTTTATAAATCCGTTGAGGAAGTGCCCGATTTGCCCGATTTTAAATATCTTGGGTCCACCCAATTACCAAACGGCCAGGCAAAAGACGATATTGCAGCCCGGATAACGACAGCTAGAAATATGTTTCCGGTTGATGAAACCTTTATGAAACCGTCACGAAATCACCATAAAGGCGAAAATCCGCATCCATATAGCTGCATTTCGCTCAATCTTGCTATATGGTTGCGACATAATCAATGGAAGTGTAAGATATTAGGAAGCCACTATTAACCACTCATGTCTAAGATATATTTTATGGGTCCATCGAGTGAATAAAATCGCACATGATTCATCATTGCTCAAATACCACCTGTATTAATTATCACAAAGCGTCGACTTCGCTGGTTAGGCCACGTTCTTCGTCGACCACCAGGAATTGACACATATTTCGCTACTTGCCGAACCCTGTGATGGTTGGCTCAAAAGAAATGGCTTCTATTACTACTAGCGGTGGCATCGGACCGAGCAGCTTGGAGACGTCTTGCCCTTTTAACCAGCTGAGCCAGCCTAACCAGTAATGGTGAGAGCTATTAGAAGAAATTACTAAAAATTATATGCCAATGTAAATGTTAATGCTAATTTAAGAACAAAGCGCTTTATTCAGTTTTCTTTGGAAATCATTATTTTCGTATAATTTCATATAATTATCAAATCATTGATAACGATAATGGCAATTGAAAGAATCGAATCTCAGACCGCTTATGGCCAACCATTTACATCGATTTATTGACCAAGTCGATCACAGCGCAACATTATGTAAATTAAATAATCGAAAATTTATGGCAAACCATTTAAGTGATTCGTTTTGCATAATCATATTATTTTTTAATTTTATTCAACAATTATAGTAAAAAAAATCAAAAATTATTGATTTAGAAAGATCGCGAAAAGTCATTTCAGGTTAGTATTTCAGGTTACAAGTTAGTACCACTCTTAGTACCATGCGAATGCTTTAGTTTTAACGGTACAGTTAATAAAAGCTGAAAGAGAAACGAATAGAACCAATAACACATCTGTCGAAACATTATCATATCAAAATATCATTCTTATTTTTCTATTTTGTAGTTCACTTTTTATGTCATTACAGTTTTATACGCTATTCTTTGCAAATTCGAATCTTTATCCATTTATTTTATCAAAATTGATAAAATTATCAGTGATTAGAGTTGACCAATATGATTCTTCAACTTGAATTTTTAATCCGCCTTCACATCACCTATTATTGTTTAAACCTTTTCATTATCATAGAATATAGATCTTATCATTATTTTTCTTGTTTCTAATAGATTTTATATGATTTTAAATTAATTCACTTTTAAAAATTTGCGTTTGAAATTTACAAAAAAAGAAGATTTTATGTACTTTTAATTCCATATGCAACAATTATAGAAAAAAATTTTTATTATTTTTATCATGATAAGAATGAAAATAGGAGTAACGAAGGGGAGAGAATTAACATAACTTTATACACGAAATGGCAAATAGCCTGAAACTCAAACATATGCAGGTGGCGGTTTACCAGAGCAACATGATGATAAAGAGTGGTTACTTTTATCATTTAATGTCACTCCATCGATGTGAAATGCAGATGTTAAATGATCTAAAGAATCGTCAGAATCTGAATGCATATTTGATACCAGTAAACGATCACGCATTGCTGCCGCTAGTGTATAAAATGCTTCATCACAATTGATTCCTGTTTTCGCACTTATCTATAAATAATTTATTATTATTAACAATGATAAAATTATCATCTAGTAGCTCTTATCATTTCTATTTTGCCTAGTTCTACTAGCTATTTGCAATAAGAAAAATTCTTCGTTACTATAGGATTGTTTAGAAATAAAAGTAACGATGGATCTTTTTTTCAGCAAAATTTGGATTAAATGATAAGTTTAGAGAAAGGAATCAAAACGATGATAATAGCTGAAAAGTTTAGTCGAACCATTAAATATCGTTCGAGCATTCTTCGCTTAATGTAATTATAAAGCAATAAAAATAAAGAAATAAATAAAATAAATATTTTCAATCAATGAAATGAAGAAAAAAAATCATGGAAACTATTAAAAATTTAAATCATTTACACATGAAAAATATGATTTTTAATGAATTTTTCTCTAAAATCCCATTAATTTACGTTGTCTTCAAGGGCGTCTTTTCATAAAATTTAACGAATGCGAAAATCAAAATATTCGAAAATGACTATTTTTAAAGGAAAGGAAAACGGAATGGACTTATAAGTGTGTATATTTATACGTTTTTTAACTTAATTTTTTTTTTTTATTATTCGAGTGGTTAATTTTATCGTTTCGAGGGTTTTGTTAAATTCTTTGCATCGTTCGTTTGTCGTTTATACAAAAATTTCTATAAAAATTACTAACGAAAACTTGAAAATTGTTAATTTGTTAATTTAAAAATTTTTTTAATTAATTTTTTAAATAAAAAATTGACTGGAAAAATCGAATCCTTTTTTTCTTTTTTGTTCTGCTCAATTAACTTAAATATTCTTTTAAATTGAAAAAATTTGTCTAATTTTTATGAAATAAAATGAAAAGTGAATTTTAGTCACAAAAAAAAAATAATTTGATTTTCATGAATATTATTTCCTATAAAAAATGGATTATTGGTTTTGTAAGAATTAAATTAAACTACAAAACTACAAAATAAATATAAAAATAAATATATAAATAAATAAAATAAATAAATAAAGTATACCGATAATATCGAATAATTCGATATTATTTCGATTAAACTTAAGCCATTAAGCCAGATTTCTATTTTTTGTTGTTTTTTCTGGGAATATTTTGGGAATCTCTTAAATCTGCAAGTAAAGACGCAAGTGGCGCTATTCGACCACCATCAATTCGCAGGCAATTTAAACGATTCTCATTCTAATGGCCAAACCAGATGTGGATAGTGCTGCTAGCAAGACGTGATTAATTTGAATATTGTCAGAGATCGCTTTAAAAGATTGCTTTGTTCTTCAAAACAGAAATACGACACAATTTTGGTTAGTAAAATGATAATAATTATTTTTCTGAATTTTTCAGAATTTTTCGGATTTTTCAGAAACAATAATTTACAATAGCTATACTACTTCATATAAGGAGACGCCAAGTTGCTTGGCAAGTGATTCGGCCTGATCGAATTCCACTTTCCTCTCATCTTCTAAATCTGCCTTATTACCGATTAGCATTAATACGGCATTTGATGGAGCATTCTTTTCTACTTCCTGCAAAAATTTATAAGAAAATCAACGAAAATAATATTAAAATATTTAAATTTTTCAGAAGATTCATTTCAATATTTCTCTTCTTTCAAAAAATGATTGACAATATAAAAATTGAAAAATTTATTCGAAGCGACATCTTCATAGACATACAGTATGTTCGATAAGAGCTCACCATTTCTGGTTGGGTTCACTTCTCTGGCTTGTCGGATAAGCCAGAGCTACTTTCTATAAGTGCTCACCATTTGCAATTAGGTTCGCTGTCTTAGGATTGGACAAATTTTGCCAGAGAGCGATATAAATATTTATTGCAAAATGAACTTCGCTTCGAGAAAAAATCTGATCCATTGAAAAAACGGAAAGCAATAAAGAAAGAAAAATTGGAAAGATTTGTTTAACAAAAGGGAAAAGTAAACAATAAAATAAATTTGACATTATCATCGTTTAAAATAATAATTTATGAGCATTTCTTTTATAAAAAATCTATGAAACGAAACAATTTCAAAAGATTTTATAGTTTTTTTGAAAAAAATATATTTTTATGATTTTTTATAAAAATTTTTATTTTGCAAAATCGCTTTGCGAAAAATCGTAGAAAAAAAATAAATATATTTTTGAAAAAATGATTTATAAATTTAGAAAATTTTTGTAGAATTCCGGTTTCCCATTATATTGTGACAGTTTAAAGAATGATAATATGGTGTGTCATCAGTCATCATTATCTTAGTAGTAATTACAGGTTCAAGAGAATGATAATATGGTGCATCACTAGCCATTATCACCTCGGTACTACTATCAACTACAGATTCAATTTAATTGGATCAAACCCGCGAAGTATGACTTCTTAGTCGAAACAACATACCTTATCGGCAATGCTAAGCTATTATGAGAAGCTTTAAAATTTATGATTAATTTGAAAAATTGAAATTTATGGAAAAATTTAATGGAAAATTGAAAAATTGCGGCTTTGATAAAATTTATGTGGAATCCATCATTATTTTTATTATATAAAAAATCCTTTTCTCATTCTCTGTGGATGACAAGGATCATTTTCAACTTCAGATTCTCTACCAGAGACCTTGGAGTTCTGTGCAATATCTATCTTAGCTATGCAGTCTTCTGAATAGAGACTTCTGATGTTGTTTCTGAAATTTGCTGAAGCAACTTTTCTAGTTTAGGGGCCACAATTCCAAGTACTTATAAGTAATAATAATTGTAATTGTAATAACCTATAAATGCCAGAAAATGACAATAATTAGAAAATTAAAAACATTAACAGTGCTGAAGAACCATTTGCATTATTTCTATTCTCAAATAATTCTTAGGCAAAACGTTTTTAGACAAAAAAAAGAAGAGTATAAAGAGAATAAAACGAATTGAAGAAATTTTTTAATGAATCGAAAAAAAAGCGAACAGGTATTTACAACGTCAACATTTGTTATCTTAATTAAAATTATTTAATATATCAGAAAGAAAACAAGTTTTTAAAGTAATTTTAGAAAAAGAAGGAACAGAAAATGAAATTTCTTTTTTTCTCAAAATAAAATTTCAACAATTTAATATCACTTTTCGGTTCGATCAAAAAAAAATTTCCAATTGATTAGTGATAATACAATGATAATAGAATAAAAAAAATCTCTTAAAAAAGCTTCTCTTTCATTTCATATAAAAATTTTTTAAAAATATATAAAAATTTTATTATTTCATATAAAAATTTATAAAAATATATAAAAATTTTATTATTTTCTTTTAAAAATTGTTCCTTTATAACTGAAAACTTCAACAGTGCTGAAGATCCATTTGCATTATTTCCATTCTCAAATAATTCTTAGGCAAAACGTTTTTAAAAAAAATAAGAGTTTAAAGAGAATAAAACAATAATATTAAGTATTAATAACTTAATTTTAGATATTTTTCTTTTTCTAACAGCTCTCACCATTACTGGTTAGGCTGGCTCAGCTGGCTATAAGGGCAAGATGTCTCCAAGCTGTTCGGTCCGACGCCATCTCTAGTAGTAATAGAAGCCATTTCTTTTTCCATCGTCTAAGTCCATATATCGTTGGTCCTACTATACATTCAAAATCTTTCCTAACTATATCAACCCAGGTCATGATTGTCTTTCCTCGCTTTTGACGCCAACCATCATAGGATTCGGCAAGTAGCGAAATATGCATCATCTATTAGATATTAGTGAATTAATAGTAATTTTAGCGATTCCCTTCCTTCGCTTCTCATTTCGAACATAAATATTTGATTTTAGGCGTACCTTTACCCAATAATTTTTAAGATTCTCGAAAGATCGTTCATCAGTTAAATCATAAACGCACATAACGCCATGTGCTGAATGATAATATGAATTGTATATTGTTCGATAGCGTTCCATACCTAAAATTCATTCAAATTCATTTATATTATTTATAATAAATTAAATAAGAAGATAATAAATATAATAAATAAGACGATAAAAAATTGTAGAAAATCGTCGAATTTTCTTCAAATATTAATGGAAATAAAGAAATTAGATAATTGAAATAAAAAGGACTTATCCATAGTTCGAGCGTGACTTTTTAGTCATTTCGTTTAATGAGGGGCAGATTAGCCGAATGCACGATAATTCAGATCATTGCATTGATAGAAAGATTCAATCCCAGTCCCCCCATAGCAACAAATTTCTGAATACTGGCTACCTACTCGTAGCTCTATCGTAGACTCTCTGGCAAAATCTCTAAGCGTACTACAGCAAGAGAAACGAGTCTAACCAGAATCAATTGCTAATCAATTACTTTCCTTAATTTCGTTTTATCAAATCGATTAGAAAAATTTTCAAAAAATGAAAAAAAAATTGGAACAATCGAGATAAATATTCGTGAAAAGAAGTTTTGAAAAATTTTACTAATTAAGAGAAATTTAAAAATTTTTATCGGCAAATTTTTTCTAAGAAAATCATCAAATCAAGAAATCCAAAATGTTTTTAGAGGAAAAAAATTAAAAAGTAGATTAAAAGTAAATTACGATTTATAAAATAATAACTATGACCTTGAAGAAAGAAAATGGCCGAGAAGGAAAAATTCTAGAAAATTTAAAATTTATATTAAAGGCAATAAAAAATAAAAATCAGTCAAATAAAATCATTTAATATCTTCAAGGAAAAGTGAAAATGGCTTAGTGGATTCGCGCTTATATTTCAGCAAATAAGTCTTCTAGAAAATCGGAACGCTTTTGATCCAACTGTATTTTTACCGTAAAGCCACTCTCCAGGAAAAATGCATATGGTCGGACGAGCCAGTAGACAGAATTTGACCAAATGATTAGAGTTTTTCGAAATAAAAATTTATAAGACGAAAATCTTAAAATCTTTAATTATTATTTCCCCCGTAGCATTAGCATCTCGTGTAAATGGTCGTTGATATCGACTTCAGTTATTCAGTGTCTTTCCATTTTTCATGAATTTTCATTTTTTAGATGACTAGTGGTGATACATTTGTTCGAGTCCAAGTATTAATGTGTTTAATCTCTGCCATTTTCTCCTTTTTCCAACAGCTCTCACCATTACTGGTTAGGTTGGTTACACTGGCTACCCCTCTAAGTTTTTCGGTTTTTGCCACCGAATGTATAGTCATAAAAATAAAATTCGAATATGCAAGAATTTTACGACCAGCCTGGCTCAATTATTTGCTTTTCTTTATTCTTTTGAGATAAAATTAAGGCGAATTCCTTTTTTCAATTTTTTTTTCCTCCGAAGAGAAGAATAAATTTTATTAAGGAATTATCCGATTAATATCGTTTAACTTGACGAAGAGAAATTATTTTATTGAGACAAAATTATTTATATTTTTTAAGATTTAAATAAAAAACAATTGCCAAACAATGACTCAGTGAGTTGGTTGTTCTCATTTCGAAACGCTGAAATGCAGGAATTCTATTTCCAGATACACGATAAATTTGTGTTTTAAAAACTCGACTGTTACTTGGCTACTCATCCAAAGAACTTCACCTCTCATATGACTCTTTGGCAAAAAAATTTGTCTAACGCGATTAGGCAGTCGAAGAAACCATAACTGATGAAATGTCTTCGAAAAAACAAAATATTGCAAAATAATGAGGGCAAATTTTCGGCCAATAATTTATATTCACGTAAAAAAATATTTAATATGGAAATTATTATATATAAATTATTGGATAAATTATTCTCATTAATTCCGCTATGTATTTTCATCAATTTTTTTTTATATGAATAAAGATAAAAAATAAAAAATTAATACTGTAACACGATGAACTCAATAATAAAAATAAATTACTAAATTTTTAGAATTTTGAAAATTCTTTTATAGATTATTAGTTATAAGCTTTATTTTTATAGTTATTTTTATTATCATTACCATTGTTTTTATTATTATTATTACTATTTATTATTATCAATGATAAATCTAGCGAGATAAATATATATGCCAGATGGTCGATAGTCGAAGATAATTGAAAAGAAAATTGATCTATAGAGAATTTGTTGGTTTGTTACAATACAAACGAATATTAGCGAATTCAGCAACAATGAAAAATTCGATTGATGATGGTATATACTGCAATAATATTAACAATTTCAATCGAACAAAGCGATTAAAAAAGTTTTTTATAAAATTGTTACAAAATTTACGAATTATTATAAAAATAAAAATCATAAATTTAGAAGTTTGGTTTTTTAAATAAAAATATTTATTTTTTTAAATAAAAATATTTCAATATTTTCTTCCTTAAATACTTCAGCAACAAAAAACAAAATAATAAATAATATTTATTAAATAAAATTAATTTATTAAAATTAATAAATAATATTTATTAAATAATAATCAAAATTTAGTAAAACATTTAAAATTGTTTAAAATGATAATTAATAGTTAAATTAATTAAAATTTATTAAATTTAATTTAAAAAATTTTAATTTCAATGAAAAAATTGAAGAAAAAAATGAAGGATAAAAATAATTAGGTACGAATACAAAAACAAATAGTAGAAATAAAACTTATAATTAGTTTAATTAATTTTCACTTTTAAAATATTAATATTAAAAATATTTTATTTAGTATTGATGAACGTGTGGATATTCGCTAATTAATTAATTAATTGATAAGGTTCATTGAGCCATAAATAATTTAAAGCGTAAAGAAATTCTTAAGACAATCGATCATTAACAAATTTTGAACAAAAAGTAATTAAATTTTAAGAATTAAAATTTAAAAATTAAAATCAAAATAAATGTTAAGGATTTTTATTATAAAAATTATGGTCATATAATTTTCATTTGATTACGCAAATTGGATCCATAAAACCATTTGCTTTTTTTTTGAATAGTTTATTATTTCCAAAAAATTTTTAATATAATACATTTTTATATTTTAAAAGTTTTAAAACTGAAAGTAAAATAAAATTTTAAAATTATATTTTTTTCTAATGTTTATTTTTTGAAAAAATCAGCATGATTCATTAAGAATCAGCGTTATTCTCATATCATTACATATTCTCATTATCACTAATCATTGAATTATCACTAATAAATAGTCGAATTATCGTTTTTTTTAAATATTCACCATTTCTTATAGAATATTTATAAATTTATCAATAAATGCTGGGAATGAATTTTTTAAAATCCATTTTTTTTTTGATTTCTCAATAGCTTATAAAAAACATTAATATTATTATTATTATTAATATTATTAAAATATTATAATTAATAATATTAATATTGAAAAAAATGATTACCAGCTGTATCCCATAATTCAAGTCGAATTTTATCACGTCCAATTTTAATAGTTTTTAATTTAAAATCAACGCCTAACGTCGTTATATGATCATAACGAAACGTATTCTCGGCGAATCGTAACAATAAGCACGATTTTCCCGTATTATGATCGCCAATTATTACGATTTTAAATAAATAATTATAACTCATAATTATTCGCTAAGATGAAGAGATTAATAATAATAATAATAGTAATAATAATAATAATAATAAAGAAGAGGGGTCAAAGGTGAAAAAGCCAATGATCGAGGACTTTCCGAATTATGAATTCTTCGTTTGTATTCGTATTCAATTCATATACGATAGTAATTTATAGAATAGAATACAGCATAGATAATATATTTGTATTAATAATAATAATTATTCATTTATTCATACGTACGAGCACAGCAAGCAACCACTATAATCGCTGTTCATCATTTTTATTGCTCGTATACGTCCGTCTTTATAACACAACAAAACTAAAACCACACCCTTTCACTTATCAATCATCTCTCGTTGTTTGACGTGATTCTTTTTTTACGCGAATTTACGCGAATTATTTAATTAAAATAAATCAGATGATGGTTACTGCATTTTTATTCATTTAATCCTTCGTCTTTCTAATATAAATAAATTGCTAAAATTGCTAAAATTTGCGCTTAAATTTACATATTTACCGCAATGATTTATTATTTATTAAAAATGCTAATTGTAAACGTAGGAAAACTACCAAGGAAAGGAGTCAAAAAAATTAATACAAATGACAAATTCGAATTTTTAATCGAATTAAAGCGATGCGAACCAATTTATGCTAAAATTGTAAGGATTAAAAATGGTTGGTGAGTTGTTGCTCAACTCGAAGCGCGCTGACGCTGAGGTTTTGCTCCTGGCGGCACCAAATCTATCCAAAAATCCGGGTGATGCTGGCGAATCACTTGTACTTCGATCGTCAAGGGGACTCTCTGGCATGCGATAAGCCAACGCTATGAGTTTAATCAGTAATGATGAGGACTTTATAAAAAAATGGGCTAAAATTGTAGGCTTCGAAAAAATTCCTCCACTATCATTAAATAAAAAAAAGAAGTAAATAATAATTTTTTTATCCAAAACGTCTAAATCCAACTCCAATTTTCCTCTAAACAATCATTATTTATTTATAATTTTCATTACTTTCCTTTTTTCCTTTTTTCTTTTTTCCTTTTTTTTTTTCTAAAAATGCTAATTAGGTTCGCTACGCCTTATTTATTGAATCAGAAAAATTTCGTTAAAAAATTCAAAAATTTCCGATTAAAATAAAGAAAATAAAGTGAATAGTATCGTATAGATTTTCGAAAAAAAACAAGTTTACTTCCTACGAATAAAAACTTCGAAATAGTTATTTCGAAACTCATTGAGCTATTCGATTTTACAATTTCTATTATAAGTTCATTCAAATAAAAATAAAATAAATAATTGATAAATGGAAGAAATAATTTTTATTGGGAATTTTTTTATTCAAATATTAAAATAACAAAAAAATTTGTGGCACTTACGACATTTACTATTCTATTTGTATTGTATTGTATTGTAGTAATTATTGCGCGGATTTTTAATAAAATAATAAAATAAAATAAAATTATATCTAATTTTTAATTATATAAAAAGGATTAAAACAGAAAAATCTTTAGTTTCTCATTCATTTTGAATAACTCGCACACCACTTGAATGCCTTATCGATAATCGTTCTTCTTCTTCTAACGGCTCTCATCATTACTGGTTAGGCTGGTTCCAACGGCTATAAGGGTAAGACGCTTTCAAGCGCCACGGACTGATGCCATCGATAATCCATTCTATTATATTTATACATTGCAGAAATGACACAAAAATTCTTTTCGTTGATAATTATGATGAATTATAACGGAATTTAAAGTAAAATGCATTGACCACTATAGCGAAACTTCTGCAATGGATTTTTTTTTAATAAGGCTAAACTCTTTTTGTTTTCAACATTCAACGCTAAAATTGATAAAACCTTTTATCAAATGGCCAAGCAAATTTTAGGGTCGAATAGCTTAAATTTGGAAATAAATATCTCCTTCTTTCAAAAAATTATGCATACGATGACGGTGAATTCAACATCAAAGTGAATCAATTTGGCCAAATTGTGTGTAATCCTGTTTATCAGAAATCACGAAGCTATTTTTCCACTAATCATTTAGACATAATCTTCCCTCACGATACGATAAAAACTTTGCCATAGAAAATCGCCCACGTTGGATAAACCATGCTTTTCATTTCTTATTTCAGGAATCTCTTATATACTTCCTTAGTTAAATCTTATTTTGGAGGAGTCAAAAGGAGAGGATTAGAAATCCTTTAATCGTATAATAAGCGAAATCTATCTTAGTGATTAAGCTCAACTAAATAAAAGAGAAAATGGCTTAGTGGGTTGTTGCTCAATTCGAAGTGCCAGTATTAAGGTTCTATTCTTCGCAGGAATAAGCTTGTTTTTGGACAAAAATCTAGGTGATGCTGGCGACTCACTCTGTGGGTTTTCTATTACCAAAGAATTCTCTGGCATATTTGTCTAGTGCGACAAGCAAGCAGAACGAGTTTACCCAGTAATGGTGAAAACTTTAAAACTTTTAAAAAAAAAAAACTAAAAAAGGAGCTAAACGTTTTTATGCTGAATAAAATTAAAATGCTATTTTTATTGTAATAAAATAACAATTAAAATATTCTCTAATTAAAGTAAATCATTTTTTGGCTATTTTTATACAAATCTCATTTGTAATTCTCATTTCAATCAACTACAATTTAGTTGAATTTGATAAGTACAAAAATATTTGTTAAAAAAAACCGGTTTTCGCTTTCTTGTTTTTTTCGAAACAATCTATTACTGAGTAACGAATTTATTTATGCAAAAACTAGTTCCAACTCTTTAAGCCTTTAATTATTATTAGAGCGTCAAAACGACATATCATAGACCGCGATATATCCTCCTGACTTGACAACCTCGCAAAAAATTCATTTTGCTCTCCCTAATTCTTTTCTTCGAACTCTAATAAATAACTCGCATCAAGTCGTCGTTACTTGACCACAGCATTTTGTTATTTAATTTTTTTCAATACCCTTATTCCTCGTCATATTTATCACCGTGAATTTGCAATTTATAACTGCCATAGGCGAGCATACATAAAGCATGAAGTGAAATTATCAAATTTGGATGGTCGCAAGGATAAATTAAGTCGGAATTAATGAATCCATGATGGTACTACTATATATTTATAAAGAGAAAATAGGCTGGAGTTCGGTGGGAAATTAAAATCAAATAAAAAAATCTTGAGAAATTACTAGGGAAATATTTAATAAATTTAAATGCAACAAATTTTGAGGGTTTCAATAAGTGAGAATTAAAAATTTATCCGAATAGCTTTTAACATCGCACCTTGAGGTAGCGGCTTGCCAAAAACATTTAAATACTGAAAAACTATTATCTGCACGACAATTAATCAAAATTCGCTAGCAAAATTTCAATTGGCCCATTAGGAGGTACAGCCTAATTCTTTTATGCATGCACGTTTTAACGACTTAGCCAATGTATTTAATGAAAAATTTTTTCCCCATTTTCACCAACATCATCATTGACTTTTAATGGATAAAAATAGACATTACAAAAATTTTTTGATGAATAAACAACTATAAATCAAACACTATACAACCCTGTGATCCTTACGATTCAATTTCTATTTGCTTCGTTTAAAATATGAAATATAAAACTTACTAACTGCACGCATACAACTAATTTCTTACAACGATAAAGCAATTAGAATGATAAAGAAAGATAAAAGAATAGTAAAAAATGCAAATATAAAATATCAATAAAACTTAGAAAGTTATTAGAAATTAGAAAAATTAGAAAGTAAAAGTGAATGACGGAATTTTACACTTTTTGATAGAAAATATATGCTAATAATATAAATAATATAAAAGCAAAAGCTTGATTTTACACTCTTGATAAGCATTATGATAAAAATAAAGGAACGAGTTTTAAAAATTGTTAATAAAGATTCTTTATAGCAAAATTTAAAATATTTAAAAATTTAAAAAGTTGCATTATTTTTTTGTTCACAATTAAACAGAATTAATATGAAAAGAAAATAAAATATTTTTAAAAAAATATCAAATGTGTATAAAAACGCAAAAAAATATTAACGCACTACTTAAATTTACAAATAAAACAACGATATTTATAAATAAATATATAATAAAAATGTAACAAAACAATGAGAATAATGAAAGAAGATAGCAAAGGTGAAGTAGAGAAAACCTAATATTTTAGCCAAAATGAAAGCACTGCAAATGATACAATAAATTTAAGAAATTAAGAAAGAAAAATATTTAAAATTGAGACAGCAAATATAAACAAAAAACACTAACAATTTTACTAGTCAATTTTATTCAATATTCAGCTTATTACTGACAGAAAAACTGACTGTTTCAACTAACAAAATAATCATGCCTTTTGTATTTCGAACAACTTCACATTTGTATCGAACCAAATCGGTGGATCCACATTTCTAAAATGAAAATCTTCAAATGAAAATACGAATATCATAAATTAAGGGGGTAAATTCAAGAAAAATTGAAACAATTCTGGTTGATAGTATTCACATGCAACTACGAATTAGGTAACTAGTTTTACATATGTTCTTTTTTAGCTATTTTTTATTGAAAAATTTACTTTATTTTCGAAGCCTTTCAAGAAAAGCTCATAAAAACCATAAAATCCTCTTTAACACATATCATTATCAACAAAAAGCTCATAAAAACCATAAAATCCTCTTTAACACATATCATTATCAACAAAAAATATAAAAGCAATCATACCTTAAATATATAATTCCCCAAAGGTACGTTTGAAACCACTGCTCTGTAGCATTATTTGCCTGATATTTTCGGATTAAGATTGGATGAGGTACAGGCAAAAGACCAACAAGTGTCCCATGTTGCAAGAACTTTAAAATCTCACTTTCGTCTGTTAAACCTCTGAAAATAACCAGAATCGGTAAAGATTTTATAGATATATATATTTATTTATTGTCAAAACGTATTTTTAAGAAAATATTTTCAAAATCTGGCTTGTATCAATAAATTTTTACAATGAAATTTGTGATTTGTAAATTTTTATTATTGAATTATGTATTTTTGTACGCAAAATAAAAATTGTATATTTTAACTGTTTCTGTGCTCTACTCGTAAATTTGGAAATTCGTAAACTTGAATTTGAAAAGGAAATTCTAGCCTCCTCAATTAAGTCAGAATTTGAATTTGAATGAGTCAGAAAAGAATTTAGAATTTAAAATGGAGGAATTTTCAATCAATTTTCGACTCGAAATTTTAATGATTTGCAATTGTCGCGGTTTACATTGAAAATGCGCAAAAAAAATCAAGAATGTGAATGTAGAAAAGAAGAAAAAGGAAAAAGGAATAACAATCAACAATAATACAATATAGCAATCAAAAAAACTAACTTGTCGATGCAGATTTGCTCGACCTGTGGCACTAAAACTTGCAAAAGTCTCATGATTGTTTGCAAAGGCAATTTGCTTTTCCATGATTCAACCCATTCGGTGGTCGGTAACCATGTATTATCATCATCACCACCTTTATTCTCTAAATTCGAGCTATGCGCGTCTTTTTCTGTCATTACCAAAACCTGCGGTGTAGCCGCCAATGTCGTGTTAATTGTTCCACTCTCTAAAGAAATAGATGGACAAAATGCATTCATATAAACAAATATATTTCAAACAAATTATACCGTATGCATTAAACTAAGAAACACAAAAAAAGGAATAATGAAAAAATTTACTTGAAGTAATTTCCTTGGAATCGGATGTAGAAGATTTTAACGAATCGACCACGTCAATTTTTGAACGACTCTTTCGCGAAGAAAGAACTTTTGTAATTGACTCAGAATCTGTGGCCAAATTAGATAACTGATAAAAAACTTGTCGTTTTCGTATAATCGTATACACCAGATTTGCGTTTCCTAATAAAATATAATAAAGTTGTCAAATATCAATCGTAAAACTAATTCATTCAAATATTTATTTTGCAATATTAACATGTTTGCAATTTGTCCATTAAGATTATTTCATTTTATAAATTATTTCCCACTGAATTATGTTAATTGAATTGTTGTGCAGATATAAAAATTAGATTAGAGTACAATTATTTTCGTTAAACTAACATTAAATTAAAAAAAAAACAAACCATCGAACTGATATTGTATTATATTATTAAACGCTTCAAGCAGGAAGAAAATTAGGAGATAATTATTAGGAGTGGAATAAAGGAACCACGGTGTCGAAAATGCTTCGACGAGATGAAGTAATTTGTTTGCAGCGACCATAGATAACGTTTTCAAATAAGGTGAAACTTAAAAATAAATATATGCAAGGATGAATGCGAAAAAAAAGCCTTCTTTAACATTCTTTAAAATCCTAAATTAGAAATATTTTTATAACATAAAATAAAAAACAAGGAAAATAAGGGAAATATATTTACCATTAACAATAATAGTCAAGAAGCAATCGAATAAACTTTGTAGTCGACAATTGCCAGTTGTAATCAATTTGTGAAAAACCTGCAAAAAAAGGTAAAATAAAATATTTCTATGAAGCTGTGAAGTTCCGGTGAAAATTTCAAAAAACTGGAAAATATTCATCTAAAATTTGGAATTCGCGGCAAAAAAGAAAAGAGTTATTTGATATTTGACGAATAAATTGATAAGTGTAGTATGATGGTAATAAATTAATTTACAATGATCAAAAGATCAGCATAGGTGCCAGTAAAAGGTTGAATATCAATGACTGTACGAGGAATATATGGTTTATTCAATCGTACACCGAAATTTCGTTCACCACTAAGAAGTAATATAATGAAAACACCCATATGAATTAAACCGACTCGTGCTAAAATAATCGAAATTATCATGGAAAAATGCCTTTAATTATAAAATGAAAGGCTCAATTAGTTCGGAGAATTACCTGGATCGAATCGAGCACTGCATGCATGATACAAAATTGGAACTAAAATTTCCAGCACTTCAGCAGTTTTCAGAAGGAAAAACATAAATTTCTAAAAAAAATATTCTGGTCAAAACTTTGAAATTAAAAAAGCAAAAAATTCAAGAAAAATTATGAATTTTCAAAAAGATGTAAATCAACTTTTTTCCGCAATTTAACAAATAAATAAGCCCAATTAAATAAAACTTTAAAGTAAAAGAAATAAAAAATTGTGAAATGAAAATGAAAACAAATGCTAAAATTAGCACCTAGATATTTGCAATCCTGTTATAAAGTAACGAAGTATATGAGAATGAAGAATATCACTAAGTTATGTACTTCAGTCATTTTTATAGGCATTTGCACAGCTGTCGCGAATAGATCTTATTATCTTCGTTTCAGAAGGAATGCAAAGCGATGCTTATGCTGAGAATTTCTTCATCATCAATTGTAAGAATTGATACACTTCTTGCAAACCCTTCTAATAAATGGCATTAAAAGTAAGTATGCCCAACCAAAAAATATGCTGGTAACGTGGAAGAAAAAGCACAGGCAGAAAAAAAAGTAATTTCAGAAATTTAAAGAAAAAAGAAAGTTAAGACGGTCGAAAGAGGAATTTTATCATCCAGGCCAGTCTAACCAATAGTGGGAAAACGAAGAATGGGAAAAATAATTAGTTCATTATTATAAAATAACCTGATTATATTCACAGCATTTCCACAACAACACCAAAAGTTCTTGATGGAACGAAATTTTTTTGATAGAATTAGGTAAATATGTTGTCAAAATAGTATTAGAAAGCAATCGCGTAAAACCTTTTAACATAAACTCAAAATCTTCTTCTCGATGAATCCTCGATAAATAATTAATAAAGAAATTATCCGTATAGCCATCTGACTGAAAATTCATTCATATTATTTATGGATTTCTCATTTAATAAAATATAAAACAAAAAAATTATAAAAAGGATGAAAATTGATTTATTGAAATTAGTTACTTTAGTTACTTTCATTCTATGTAAAAAATAATTAAGAGGAATAAATTAAATAAATTTACATTATTATCAGTAGATTGGCTTTCAATATCCAAACAAACAGTTAAAACTTGAACAGCTGTTTGTACAAGAGGTTCTCTTGTATCAGTAAATAACAAATAATTATATGGAACTCCATAACCAACAGGATCGTAAGAGCAAACAATATTCAATAACGATGTAAAGAGCGGTAAAACATGTCTATTCTTAGCAGATGTAAAATAACTGATCCAACGCATTCGATTTCCCTCTGCAAATTAAAAGATAATTTCTTTGTCTTTTTTTGTCAATCATAGTCTTCTTTTTAATATCATCGATGAAATCACTAACAGTAGCCAAGATTTACTTACTTCTGTAAAAACTTTGGATATAAAAATAGCAAAATCAATGATTTCAATGAGTGGACAATGTAAAAATACCTGTTTCAGGTGCGTAAATTATTTCTGAAAAACATGTTAACAGAAGTTTAAGAATTTCCATGCGATGACTATCATGATCTGCATTTTGACTTATTTTTGTGGCGAATCCGACACCTGCTTCCCAAATATATTCACAACTATCTAACGTAGCCAAATCATCTGAACTCTCCTTAAAAATGATAAATAAATAAAGTTAACAAAAATTCTAAAAAAAAAGATATATTAAACTAACTGGGCGATTTGAGAGTGATGCCACAGTGAAATCAGGACAAAATAATAAATCAGCAAGTGTTGAGAGTAGAGTGTACGCAAGCGGCTGATTAATAGACTGAGAATTATTCTGTGGTGGAGGTGTATTCCAAAAAAATCCACGCCAGTCGGCATCTTCGAACAAATACGGAAGTACACGAGTCAGTAATCGAATACAGTTCAACACCTACAATTAAATCAACTTTTAGTAATAGAACTCAAGAAAAAACATTTCTATCTATATTAACTATATTAGAAATATTAGAAAGTGAAAGAATTTTATAAATATAAATTTTTTAAACATAAATTTTTCGAAAATTATTCAAGAATTAATTTAACCATACGAAAGATAAAAGATAAGATAAGAAGCTATTTCCAAAATTTGAAAATAAATTTACCATATCGAATTTTATAAAAACTATAATTTGTAAAATTTCCAAAATTATTAATTATTAAGTTAATTATTATCAACTAACTTTGTTAGGATTTAAATTAGCTGGAGAATCGCAAGCTAAAGTGAGACGATCGACAGTTTTATAACAAAGTGCCGCGAGATTATTTGGAAAATTATCACGCAAATTTCGAACCTAAAAAAAAATTTAGATAGATTTAGAATATAGATTTTAGATTTTATTAAAATAAATAAATTTAGAATAAATTTTTTTGGAAGTTAAAAAGAAACGACAAGTAAATCAAACATCTTCAGCTGGAATCAACACAAATACATCGGCAGCCTTGCTAACATTATTTGCCCAAAGTTCTTCCCAAAATGCATCCTCTTCACCTTTTGTTTTTTTTGATGTCAGTTCAATAACTGCTTTACGAAAATTTAATTTACTATTCGAACCACCCATCCCTTAAATTTACTTTTATCTTTTATTAGAAATATAATGAAAATACGCTGATGCACGCAGATCGTGAAAAAATGAATTAAATTTAAATTTATAGAAAATAAATTAAATAAAATCAAAAATTAATGAAATTTATATTTCTTACAATTATGAATAACCTTAATTTATTCAAAAGAAGTGAAAAATCCACTAAAATGGAAAAAAATTTACGAAATTTTCGCCCAAAGGCATTATTAGACTACAATTTTTACCATATTAAAAAGATGCAATAATAAAAATTTAATCTTTAATATTTAATATATGTGGATTTGAGGCATCATTTTGTTTGAAAGCAGATGATTGAAAAACGCACAATCATGATTTCGGCTATGGTGATTACAAATGGTCCAGTGATCTACTAATAAATGCTGATCACCTGGCAGTGAACATGGTGCATTAATTTTTTAAATTTTTTTTAAACCAAAGAAATCTTAAATTATTCTCTAAGTGCTATAATAGAATAGAATGGCACAGTGGGTTGTTGAATAATCCAGAGCGGTGATGCTGAGGTTTTTCTCCATAGAAGTACTGGCGATTCACCTGTATTTCAATCGCTAAGCGACTCCATGACATATTTCTCTAGTTCGGCAAGCCAGCCAGAGTACTTCGATCGCCAAAGAACTGCCTGGCATATTTGTCTAGTGCGATAAGCCAAGTTGAGCCAAATCAGCAATAATGAGGGTTCTTAAAAAAAGCAAGTTTTGGAAGCTAAAAGGATAAAACGTTTTCGAAGTCGATGCTCGATCCGACGCAATGAATTGATTATTTAATAGAGAATTAATGAAAAAATTAATTTAAATCAAATTTTTATTGAACTGAAAAAAAAATTTTCATATAAATCAAAATGTACGGAAAAAAAAATTTGATTAAAGAAATCATATAAAAAATATAAAATAGTCGAAATAATAGATCCAATAATCTTCTATAATTGAGTGGCGAAGGATAAATTTTAATTCGCAAAGGTCAAAAGGTCAAAAGGTCAAAGTGTCAGTCGAAATTCAATATAAAACACCATTAACTCAATGAAATATCGAAACATTTAACAATATAAATAAATTTTAAACAAATAAAAACAGGTAAATAATTTACACACGCATTCTCTACCAATAATCATACAATCGTTGTAATATTTAAATAGAGAAATTTAACAGCTAAGTATTTCTTTTCTTTTTTTCTAGAAATTCCTTCATGTATTGATGCTTAATGGCTGAATGGATAATTCTATCGCTAAAACTAAGTTAATATTCATAAGCAATTGAATTTTTGCTATATCCGTAAAATTTAGTGGCGCAATCGCTCAATATTATGTTGTTGTGGTTGTACTTCTGTTATGAGAGAGCTTGAAAAAATCTAAAATCGGCGTGGTACTTCTGCCGCTAAATTTTTTATGGTTCGACGAGTCAATATAGCGAGTCTATGTTTCAGAAAACAGAAAAAAAAATGGAAAATAAATTTTAAGAACAAAATATTTTAGTAATAATACAATATTTCTGCGTAATAATTAAATTATTATCATTATTATTAATCAATTATCAACTATCAGTGATTATTAATCATCATTAATCGATATTTTTTAAAATTTCTGTTTCAAAAGCTTATAAAAAAAAGATGAAATCTCGTTATAACGAAATTATATTAAAATACAGGAAAACTTGGAAAAAATTTCGAGGCGACAATTCGATGATTTCCTTTATCTGCATTGTGCTGTTAATATTTCGGCCATTATAGGCCAATTAAGATTTTAGAAAATCTTCGTTCTAATACGATTTTCATTATAAAGAAAATTCATCGTAACGAGAATTTCATTGTCTATTAAAATAATAAATGAAAGAATACGGTAAATTAAATAAAATATCGGCGAATATTTATAAAATTTTAATTAATTAATATTAATTAATTAATTATTTAATTTCTATGTACAATAAATTTTTTAAAAATTTAATCTTAAAAAAATTCATTTCAATGAAGAAAAATTTTTCTACGAAGAATGAAATGGAAAATCAATTTCGTCTCTCCTTTTTAATAATTTGTTCAACGAAACTCGTTCATCAATTGCTAAAAAAAAATGCGATAAATGATAAAGTTAAATTATTTTGAAATTTTCAAATTTTTTAATACTTCTTAATCTTAGAAATACTTAAAAATATTTATTGTTAATATTAATCATTAATAAAATATTATAAAATTAAAAATAAATAAAAAAATATTTAGTAAAACTATTTTTAAAATTTAATTATATTTAAATTTGAAAAAATTATAAAAAACATATAAAATAACATATAAAATATATTTAAAAAACATTGGAAATACTATAAAAAATCTGGTAAAATAAAAAATTTAAAAATTTTACTTTTTGATTATAATTTTTTTGAGAAAATAAATTACCATATGTTCGATAGAATCGTTCAGCGTATGGCCAACCATTTCGAATTTGCTCCATTAAAAATTCTCGTGCTAAATGTTTGCTATTATCAACTTTTTCTGTTTTAGCTGCGAAACTACGTGAAACTGCATATCCACCGGAAGAATGCGGTGAATAATTGAGAATTTCAACTGAGCTTTGAGGTGATTGCACAGGAAGTTCAGCAATTTTTGCCTAAAAATTAAAAAATTTCTTTTATTTTTTCTTAACAGACCAGTTAAATAGCGAAATAAGATAAGCTTAGATAAGCATAGATGAAGCTTATGCTTATGCTACTCGCTATTTCCTATTCTATCATTGCTAATACAGTGAGGAACTTCAGTGAATTGAAATTTAGATCAATCTGTATCACTTTTAATAGTATTTAAAGTTTTGTGCCTATCAGAGAACTGGATTAGGATTTTTAATGGCTTCATTTTAGATGAGCAACATGCCACTCGACCATCTTGACCCTGAAGATGTCTGCTATTCTCTTATAGTTCTCGAATCGTTCTCGAGAAAAAATTTCAGCCTGTTAGGCCAATAAAACAAGAAGTTCTTGCATACGATATAAATTCGCAAGAATAAAAAAATACATGAAAATATGATCAAAACTATGAAATTTTAATTAATCAAAATATTGACCTTATCTGGTATCCTATATATTGTGGATATTGTGGTTCTTTCAGCCGTTACATTATGACTAATCTGGTGCTGTTCATCCTTAGCAGTTGTAGGTTGCGTTGTCGAACTAAAATTAAACTTGGGTGGTGCAGATGACGATGATTTTGTTATCATCTTGTCCACGGCCATTCTATTTACATTAATAGCAATTGGCAAGTTCATTCCTCGAGACCATTGGATATTATTTGATTGATTCCTACCAATCTAAAACATACGATTTTATTTTTTCAACTCATTCCCAATAATTATAATAATTTCCTTTTAATCTCAAAAATAAAAATACACTATAAAATTTTAAATGAAAAGTAATAATTGCTTTTGGATGGAGTAGATTGGCTCAGTGGTTTATTACACTCTTCTTATTTTATCAGTCCAATACTGCGTAGGAGTAGTAAATTCTGGCCTTAAAGTATTTGCATAGTCCTTGCGATCCACACGGCCTGGTCCAAAAGAGCCAGCAAATTAGTAATCAGTCAGTCTAATGAAGAATGGATTTTAGAGAAAAAACGTTTTTTGAATATTTCAAAAAAGATCTAAAACCTTGGTTGAACTATCGAAATAATTCCACCGATATAAATTTTTGACTTCTTTCCTCCGAACTGAACCAATATTAAAGTGTTTTTTCGTAGGCTCAGAGAAAATCTCTTCATTTACATTTTCATTTTCTAATTCTCTCTCGCAACAAAAACCATTATGGCAAAAACGACCATTCTATAAGCAGTATATGTGGCGTTAATTCAGTTATCACTGCGTAAAAAAGTTTCTAATGCAAAATAATTACATAGAAATTATATAAATTATATAGAAATCACTTATCAAAAAGTTGCCTTATAAAAATATAAAACAAATATAAAGACAACCTTCATGCATGCATCATCATCGCATTTTATTGGCTTATTATCACTATCAACCATAGTGAATGTGGCTTGAGGGCAATCAATTTTCAGTTCTTCGCGGTTACTAGATTCCGAGTGATACTTATTATTAGGTAAAATATCTTCGCAGCAAATGGAATCGGAAATAATTTTCATGCATACCATCGTTTCCTGAAATTTTTAATGCTTAATATTTCATATTAGAAATTTTTAATGGAAATCAATAATGAAGAATTATAAAAATCAACAAAAAAAAATGATAAGCATTAATGATAAGTGTTAATCAGTTGAATATATAATGATTATTGTATAAAAAATTTTCATAAATATTGGAAGAAAAACATTATAATATGTTATTATTAATCAAAAAGAGCATCCTAAGGAAACGTAGAAAACCTTAAACCTATAATATGCTACAGCATAGATACAGTGTAGAGAAGAGAATATGTGAGTACAAATGAGTAGCCAATATGGCCTTATCCTCACAACTAATCTAGATTTGCCCATGTATTAATGATAGCCAGAAATATATATTTGTAACAAAATAATATTTATATTTGTAATAAAATAAAATGAGAAAACTAAAAAGCGGTAGAAATAACCGTTGGACAACTGCGGCTTAATGGGTTACATTTTATTGGATTTTCGTCTTCATCGACTACGGTTAACATAGGTGTAGGACATTCTAGGACTTTTGAAGGCGATTTTATATGCTTGTTCTCTAGAAGTGGACAGCACTGGTAATTAAGGCCCGAATAATAGCATGAATGGTTCCTGCCACATTTATCTTGGCCTTAATTTTATATTATTTAATTTTTTTTTCGGAAAAATTGTATAAAAACATATTTGTAAAAAAACAGTGTAAACTATTTTGTTAGAATTTTTGAAACTTTTCTACTTTCTTTATTTAGTTATGAAAAGAAAATTTTTTAAATTTTATTTTAAATAACAAAAAGCAATATTAAAGAATACGTATAGCTGCAAGCATCTGTTTGATATAAAAAATACCTGGCAAACAGTGAATCAATTCACCATTCACATTTACCTTTGGCCGTTGAGCATTTGGACAATATGGATAGTTGCCTGAAATTTGGGAAAAACAAGGAATAGAAGGAATTTACTATTGTGGAAATTTAAGAGTTTAATTCAAATAATTGAAAGTGGCGATTCCATTTGGATATTGGTACATATTTTTTTTGAATTTAAGAAAAATTGCTGAAATTTTTATTTAATTAAATTGAAAGAGAAAACTGAAGAAGATTGAATAAAGTTATGCAGAATAAGAATTTTTTTTTCTAGTAGCATGCTTCATTTTTGGCTTGGCTAACTCCATTGTCCACTAGGCTGAGGCTCTCTCCTGAGGTAGTTCCACAACTCATAGAATCATAGTCGGATTCTAAGCACCACCAAGAACTCGCATGCATCAATGAAGTTTGTCTATTTATATTAAAATCTATATTATATTTATATTAAAGTTTCGGATTACTAGGATTTTTTTTGTAAATAGCAATTTCAATTTCTCTTCTTTTTTTTAGCCCAAAAATATAAAATTTAAACCTTGCGCATGAACAGCGATAAAAATAGGAAATATAGCAATAAGCAACATCAAGTAGAAAATTTTATTCGGGTAAAATGCATGCGTAAATTTGTTCCACCCAAATATCATTAAAGAATGCCCTAATTTATTAAGATCGACCCCTTTATTGCTGCCAGATGGTACATTTTTGTGGTGATTCCGGTTTTTCATTATCTTATCACCTTTTTAGATCAATAGTTTATCATATCTTTTTCCACAAATTTCCGTCTGCAGAAATATATGCCATCCCTCTTATTTAATTATTATTCTTATAGCAGAAACCATCATGAATTTTTATTTCCGTTTATAATCGTGTATAAATTTCAAATGGATATTCTTCTATTATCTTAATTATATAACGTATTTTTCAATCATTCCATAGTACTAAAATATTATGCGAAGTAAGAGCATAAGTGATAATAGTTTATATTTCTGATTAGTTTAGCACCAGCGACTGATTACTTGGTTGTCCTTGCTCCAAAATGCTTAAATGTAGAATTGTTGTGCGAAACTATCTTCTTTTTTAAGAATGGTGCATGAATCGAAATCGATTTGACTACAATTCTTCTCAAATTGATTAGAACAAGCGCAAAAGATCCAAAAATTTTTAACCACGCATTATTCATTTGATTAATGTCCGAGGAAATATTCTCAATTTAATGAACTCGAAAATTTATTTCAAGGATTTACCAAGAAATATTATAGTTTTTCTCTATAATTCATTTCGTAAAATAAATGAATAAAGTTAATTCAGCTGTTGCCAATAGGCGGGTAAATTTTAAAATAATAACCAAAATTTATTTAATTTTAATAAATTTGCTATAATGTCGTTCAAATATGATTCGATTGCAAATTTAGCATTTTTAATTCAATTATAGGCATTTATTTCATTGTTGGTGGCAGATGGTAACGTAATACTCAACTAATCAGCCTATATGAAAGGTTTTTGCTGGAAATTCATTTCGGAATTCATGTAGGTAGATGGAACATGGCGGCATAATACTCAAATAATCAGCCTATGCCTATCTGAAAGCAGTTAGCTGAAAAATTTGAAACGATTTCGAATGATTTCAGTTTTTTGTATTAAATGAAATGGCTAGCAAACCGCATTCAACATCCATTTAACTATACCATTTAAAAAGCACTTATATCACTGAAATATTAAAATTAGCTAATATTTTTTTTACTGCCTGAACAGTTGTTCTGATGTTTATATGGAAACTAGAAGAAGGAATAGGGACATTACGGCCATTAAGGCTCAGTGAGCTATTGCTCAATTCGGAGAGCCAGTACTAAAGTTCCATTCCCCACAGGAGTAAACTTATCCGAAAATCCGGTTGTTTCCAACGGCTCACCTGTACTTCTATCGCCAAAGACATTTGTCCAGTGCGACAAGCCAGCGGAGCGAGTTTAACCAGTAATGGTAAGGCAAATTTACTACTTCCACTGTTTTTCTCATTGTTTTATCCATCTCATCGTTTTATTTATCATAGATTGAGGAATATAATTTTATTAAGAAAAATTTCGAATCAATTTCAACTAAATACATGTGCAGCATATCGCCAATCTTCGATGAAATATTAGGTGAAAAAATTGCATTGCTGGATCACTGGAATATATAATTTTCGCAGATATTGGTAATTTAATTGGTTATTTAAGCGGATTACCAAAAAGAAACCAAAAAAACGTTGTTTCTTAAGAAATGCTCTTCTTGAAACGTGGAAATGCTGCATTCGCTATAAAATTTGAAAAAAAACGAATGCAGAATTTTTTTAAACTCGATCTGCGAATTAAAAATGCTAATTTTTAGTAATTTCTGAAAATTTCTGAAACGACTTCTGATGATAAATCAAATTAAAAATTATTCTATTACTGGATCGAATTTCTTTGCTGGTTGAGTACCACTTCTACTGAATTACTGATATAAAAAATTTGAAACGATTTACTAAAACCAATCAACGCCTATCTTATTTACGATCTTATAAACATTAATATGCAGTATCATGCAACATGCACCATTATTTCTATAAATATATTCTAATTTTTTAACGATGATATTTGGAAAATCTAGAAAATCCATATATTATCGTAGATCTCTGAATATTTTGCAATAGAGGAAGAACGGATGATATTTAAGGGTTTTAAATGAATTTTTTTGCATATTAATATTTATTTAAAATAGTTTCTTCAAAAAAAAAATACACAAGGAATTTCACTTTTCCGCTTTACTCATTATTAGTTCAAGTCAATGACTAAAATTTTTACAGAAGAATAAATTTTTTAAAATTTATAATTTATAAATTATAAATTAAAATTTATAAGTTTATAAAAGTAATTTTGATAAATTTTTCGCTTATCACTTTATCACAAATACCGTAATTAGACGATAACAGCTCAATGCGTTCTTTTTTTGAATTTTTTGAAAGAGTTGAATAAGTGAATAAGTGAAAATTAGAAAAAAAAAAACCACCAAACAAAATCTGGTGATAAGTTCAATTAAAAATTCTGCCATTCAAAATTGTTCGTGATAAATCCAAAGAAAAATAAGAATATGAGATGAAAAATTTGATACAAATTTAGTGTGGAATTATACCACGGTGCAAGATTGGATACAGTTCGCTCATTGGTCCTTTCTTCGACATTTTCCATATTGCAACAATCGAGACCACAACAGTAGTGAACATAACGTAAACACCTGAAAATTTTATTTTTATAGATGATATTAACTTACCTATAGGCCAAGTAAATTATAGGTCATAATTTTATTAAGCCAAATGAAATGAAAAAATGAAAATTTTGCTAATTTTTTTTCTTCTATAGCACCTCAACAGGTATGGTTTGCCTGGTTCCAACTGACCTTTAAAATGAAAGCCTTGTGCCTTGTCATAAGAGAAAATAGAATAAAGGCCTCTTAAAGATAGAAGTACAGATGATTTGCCAGTAATGCTCCGAATTTCCTTGGAATGAAAAGTTTACTCACAATAAGCGACACGAATAACTGATAAATTAATCAAACATTTTATGGATCCATAGATGGATAAATTCATTAAAAATTCATTCAGAGTGGCAAAACATAGATACATACGCATGGCCTACTTGCCACTTATAAGAGCTGCAGAGTTTTTCATATTTTTTTGAATGAATGAACCTTAACTACTCCATTAAATAAATAGGGTGACAAGTGCATTAATAAGAAATCTCAAATGCATAAAATGCATATGGAAGTCCTTCTTTCTATTAAATATTTTCTGGCTCAATTTTCTTAAAATTTTATACAAAAAAAGTTCCAAATTAATGGAAATGCATCGAAAGTACTTATTTAAAGAAGCATATTTATATACGAATAGGCATTTTCAATAATTCACTAGCACTAATGAAATTTTACCGTTGGCAGTCCTTCCAATTGGTGTTTCAGAATGCAATAAGGTTGCTAATGGAAAAGGATCTTGTTGCTTAAATGGCTTCTTATTAAAACATTCTCCAATTTCGTTCGCCATTTGAGGTCATTGTGAGAGATGCATAATAGTCTTTTACATTCAAGACTGATCGAAATCATAATATACTGATAAAATCGATAAAAGATTACTGATAAACGACAGCATCAATGGGGAGTCCATCTTCATATTCCAGATTCTCTCGTTCAGTGGTGTTCAAGTAAAAGATGCAAGTGTCTCTCGTTTTTAAATAGTAAAGATTATCCTGAAATCCATTTAATCTATTTGCCTTTTTCGTGGTTTGCATAGTATATTGGTTTCCAGCTTTATTTTTTAAAGAAGTCAGTAATTAACGCGAATGATTTTAAAAATAAAAAACGATTTTTCCTTGTTTTTTTAAGAATGCTCATCATTTTTGATTGGGGTCGTACCGCAAACTTATTGGAGCAATTGCCCAGAGAGTCATTTGACGATAGAAGAATATGAGCAGTTGTCATAATCCGGATTTTTCAAGGATATTAACTCTATCTGAAGTCGAACTCTGATATTAACATTTCGAAATGAGGGCAACAACCCACTAAGCCATTCTAATTCACATCGCGATTATACGATTAAAAAAAATGGATTTTCAATTATAAAATACTTTTCCTGTGCTAAAGATAAATTTATAATTAAAAATGATCCTGAAAATTCATTTATTTTTAGCGATCATCTTCATCTCTTAATAATATTTTTGATTTAGCTGCCTCCAATAACTGCGTGGAAACGATATTCGATCGAAAGATAAAAATAAAAGTGAGCCTTTCGAGATTATTCGGATAATAATTTCTGATTTTTTCAATAGACTTGGTTTTATCAAAAGATAATTTTGCCTCAATAGATGCAACTCCACTAATATCGAACTTATTATTTTACTAGAAGTTATTTTTTTTCAAAGAGACCTCACTATTACTCGTTAAACGCTAAACTCGCTCTCCTGGCTTGTCACACTAAACATGTCAGAGGAGTCCCTTGGCGATAGAAACATAGGTAAGTCGCCAGTATCACCCGCATTTTTGAACAGGTTTACTCTTTTACTAAATTTATACTTAATGCTCAGAAAGGTAAGAATTTATTAAGTGAATCTCGATATGAAATTTGGTTATTAATTACTACAATTAAAACAAAAAGCTATAAAATTTCTAAGATTTTTAGGTAAATAAAATAAAATAGATTGTTCAGTTTTCTAAAATATCATCGTTCTTACTCATTTTATAACTTACTTCGTAATAACTTACCATAAAGAAATATCGCGTTCCTAACCAATAGCTTCGACGATATCTCGACAAAAAAATTCTATCATTGTACGCCTTTATTTTTCGTATTGCATATCCGCCAAGTAAACCAACTGTTATTAAATTTAATACATCTTTATTTATTTCATCGTTACCATTCGTTGCTTTGCCTCCCGAAAGATTTCTATGAATTTTTTTAATTCAATTTTTATGATTTTCATTTAAATTGTAAAATATCAAAAAAAAAGAGAAAAAATTAGTCAAATATTATAAAATTTTCAATTAATAAACATAAAGTAATTTGGCAGAATTTCTAAATAGTAAAAATTAAATATAAAAAAAAAGTTGACAAATAAATTTAAAAAATGTACCTTACGCGTATTTTATCGTTGTTTTGCCTGCAAAAAACGTAATAAAATATATTTAACGAAAAATTTTATATATTTAAAAAAAAATTTATATTTTTTTAAATATATAAAAAATTATTTTACATATTTAAAAAAAATTTTTATTTATACACCATTTTTTCATTTACACCTTTTTATACAATTACTAATTCCTTTTTCTTCTTCTTTTAACCAATAATCATTCTTTTCGCTGAACCATCTCTCTGAACCGTCTTCGCCGTGAATTCACCTTGTTACCTGCGCCGTTACCGAATTATTTATAAGGCGTTAAATCAAATGTTTGCTATTTCATAGAAAATTATTGGATCGAAAAAAATATTTGTATTAATTGTATTTATATTAATGGCGTTTTAAAATTTTTTTTTTGCTTTTTGCATGTGTATTAATTGTATTTATATTAATGGCGTTTTAAAATTTTTTTTTTGCTTTTTGCATGAAAAATTACGAATGAGTGCATGGATTCCATAAAATATTATTACATAGTGCTTTACGAGTCGTGAAAAGTCTAAAGGTGTGATCTATGTCATGAAATATAATAAAATTTTATGATTTCATAAAACAAAAGATGGTTTGATGGTTCAATGGCTGAGAAACTAAACCTCTAATTACCTTTGGGAAATTGAATCGTTAAAATGTATCTCTCTCTATTAAAATAAGGCCAAGAATGCTAAATAAAATTATGGCATAAATATTTTCAATTTTTTTTGTTTGGAAAGAATTTAATGCGATTATTTAAAGTCAAAATAATTTTCGAAATAATTATATGCAGCGAAAAATAATAACAATAATATAGCACAACGGCAAAATGGTATAATACAATATAGCCGAAAGTGTGTTACTTAAATTATCATTAATAACATTTAGGATTTGTGATTTGGCTAATGTTCATGGCAAAGTTATTTCATCTTATTTATCTATCATCAAAACCTATATAAATCTATCATCAGAAAATTCAAGTGGAAACTTATTCATAATTTTATTTCTAAATTTATTTTAGTAATAAAATTGATAATGATAGTGAATAACAATGACAATAACAGTGATAATAATGATAATAACAATGATAATAAAAATAGTAATGAAAATTAAATGGTAACAATGAAAAACTTATGCAAATAATAATTACATACTTTAAATGCCATTCATCAGCGATTTTGTCAGCTCTTAACTCAGAAACAACGAATAACAATAAAATTAGCATACCAATAAATATTTCCAACTATAATATTCGTGACCGATATTCATTGTTCGCTAAGTAAACTGTCTTCAATCAATATCAATAATGCCGATAATTCTATTTAATGACTCATTTATAATATATTTAAAATTTAAGAAAAAATAAACGAATGTAATAAAATGCAAAAAAAAGAAAAAAAACTGAAGGAAGGAAGGAAATTCGTCCTTCGCTTGGCGGATATTTTTGGTTATTCCCGTTTGTTAGCCAACAATTTTCATATGGTTGCATGCATCTTCGTTCGAATGCCATGTGCAGCATTAATAATATCGCTATAAGGCTGGTCGTGCGATGTTTTTCATAGTCCATGAGAGGAATTGATGCTCATCTCGCTAAATGCTAAATCGAAAAGGAAAAAGGCCCAGCCTAGATTAGATACAACGACTAAATATGAAGGAAATGCATAAGCAATCCGGCGACAAATTAGATTCGAAAAAAAGGCTTAGGCAAAGGCAAAGCTTCAATTATTTTCAGACATTGGAGATTGAATTGTGGCCAAATAATCAATGGTGTGAGACGCTAGAAAATAAGAATAATAAATGGCATATAAATAAAGATATAATATTTAAAATATTTTGTAAAATTTGGTCTCAAATTGGAAAGAAATAAATCGAAAAATTTGACTATCTTATTATGGAAGGGTATTTTCGGGTGCATTTGAACGACTTCTCTCGTCTCATTAATAAACTATTATAAAAATCGTTCATAATCGTTTTAAAATCCAATTCAAATTCCTTGATTCCCTATAAATCAATGTATTAGCGAATAGATAAGCTATAAATCGCATAAAATTAAATATTTATACATATCTAAATTTTTGAAATAATCTGTAATTGGATTTTTTGATGCTTCGCTTTTCATTGAAGCTTGAATAGTTCCAATAATTCTAATAAATTTCTGAAAAATGCTCAATCGAAAATTCGATGATCCTCGAAATTTAGCACTCTTTGTGATTTATGCAAATAATTTTTAGCTTTTTATCAACAAATATTTTTAAAAATAAATATAAATTTTATAAGTGACAACAATTATTTATATATTTATTTATTTTTTTAAATCAGAGTTTTAATTCATGTAATTACTTTAAATTTCTTTAAAAAAATAACTAAAATAAGCATAAAAAAATTATTATAGATAAATTATTATTGATAGCCATAAAAATGCTTAGGTCGATTAATCAACATAATTTATAAACGTTTAATTTGGTTGAAATTATGAAAAGACAAGCAAGCCGAATCATTACTACACTATTTGACTAAACCAAGTCGCTTTACTACTAATGAATTTTCACCATTAAAGAATTGTATTAAACATAAAAAAAAGAAAAAAAAATTATAATAACTTGTGGAAATTCAGTGTTAGGAAATGAAAAAATTTTTTGCCTTATGTCATACAATTCATATAATTTACGGTGATTTTTTGCAGAATATTTGAAAAAAATATATAAATTGTTTGTGCTGATTTTCAGGATTTACTGACAGGATGTTCTTAAAAAACGAGATTTTAATGATTCAAGAATATTTTTTGGGTTATTTGAGTTGATTGAAGGAATTTCAGTTCAATTTAAGGTGATGTGTAGTAATGGAGTTTTGAATGCAAATATGACACGCATAAACACTAAAAACAATACGCTTTTCAAGAATTAGAAATTTCTATAAAATTCCTTCAGTGGTACTTCCGAATAAAAAGATAGACTAATATATCCAAATATATGCCAAATAACTCATTTTCTAGTGAATACTATTGGCAGATATTTTTTCTTCAATGTATTCTGCATATGTATATGATTCTTTTTATAGGGTTTTTAAAAAAATTTTTTTGCAAATTTAAAGTCAACATGTTCGGGAAATTTTTTTGTCGATCATTCATTAAATATAAAGACAAATTGAGAAAAATTCTTTAATTTCATGAAATGTTAAAAAATTGCGAAAAAAAACGATGGGAAGTAACAAAAGGTTTCAGAAATATCTCATTTTCGGTATTTGGTAGTGCGAAAATGCCCTGAACGAATTCTTCGAATAAAATCTAGGTCATAAGGCAAGGAAAGAGGTCACATAAGTGGCGAGGCCTCGTTTACGACTATCGTCTTCATCGTCTACCTAATATTTGCATCAAACAATTATTCTTATCTTTCTATTAATCAAATAAGACTATTTTTTGAAAATTATGTCAGAGAAATGAAATTTTTAAAATTTTCTCGTATTTAAACCTCTTATTATTTCAGATGCAAGCAGCTATGCTCTTCTTAACGCTTATTTATATTTATTTACTATTTATTGAAAAAGGTAAATTTTCTATGCATATTCATCAAAGAACTTCGATTATTTTTAAATTTTCGAAATAAATAAGATTTTTGTTTTTTTCTTCTAATCATTATTAGCTCGTTGATCATTTCTTATTACTTTCTGGCCACAAGAATAAAACGTTTCTAAGCTGCTTGGTTCTTATTTGAAAGAAAAAAAACCCAATGAATAAATTAGTGATAAATTAGTGATAACTATTGATCACCAAATTTTTAATTGAATCGCAATTATTTATTTTTGATTTTAATAAGGTTTTTTTATTATGAAAAGTATTATATATGTCGTTTTGAACGCATTGTTAGTTCATTTTTAAGTATTACTCCGTGAAAAATTCTAAGAATAATATCATAAATGGATAAGTGATAATTGAAATCCAAAAAAGAATTTTAAGCAATGGACTTTCAAATGGGAAAAAAACAAGCGAAAGACTAGGCTATTAGAGCTTCCACTTGGCTAAAGTTTTGAAAATGAACATTATAAATAAACATTTTTTTTGGAATCCAAAAAAAATGAAACATTTGAAACATTAAAAAAAATATATTAAAATATATATATAATAATACATATATGATATAGAATAATAAATATATATAATATATATTAATATTAAATATTAAAATTGAAAAAAACCTATATTTCGATTCTATCTTGTGATGTGTTTCAAGAAAATGTTTATTTTTTAAACAATTAAATCATTTAATTTCAATAATAATATTAGTAATAATATTATTCAATTATATTTAAAATTGTTTTATGAAAGTGTAGCAACTTTTACTGGCAAGTTTGAGTAAAAAAATTGCTAGTTCTCAAATTCGTTATGCAAAAGACTTTGCATTTAAATTTATATTAAGGTTATAGTACTTGCTTGCAATAGTCCAAGCTAACGGAAAATTCTAAAATTATAAATTGGATTCTGTTCAATCCTCTTGACTTCTGGGATTTATAGGACATTTTTCTTTTTCTTTCTTTTTCAAATAGCGCTGAAGTTTTTATGCCAGAGCTAATCCTGTTGTCTATTAGACTCCTTTTCCAAAGTACCATTTAAGGATAAAGCATTTTGAAATTTTGCGTTTTTATATCGTAATAAGTATGAACTTTTGGGCTGAATTCATTCGTTAATATTTTAATAATTTTATTAATTCAATTCACTTAATATCATATCATATCATATCAATAAATTATGCGCGATAAAATTCTACGTGACATTAATATCATATTGATTCATATCTTGTGTTTGAATTGTTGGCTAATTGATTCGATCTCATAGAATTTATTTCTGTTTGAATATGCTTTATGTCTATTTTTTAAAAGAATTCTAATATGATCCGTTATTATTATTAATCGCACAGAATTTTAATAGAATAGCAGTGAAGTATATTAAAAGGAAAATAGCTTATACAATACAAAAAATCTTATCTGCATTGATATATTATCACTCGATAGTAAATAGATATGAATTGGCGAGAAATAAAATTTGCCAATGGAATATTTTTTTAAATCCTATTTTTTTTAAAATGAATATTTTAAACATTGTTATCACAATATTTAAATGTATTTAAATATTTTTTTGAAAAAAAAAATACCACTGTCAAATCAGAAATTTTTCATATTTTTAAATTTTTTATTTTTTTACTTTAATTAATTTTAATAATTTTATTTAAATTTAAAATTAAAAAAAAATTTAAAAATTTTAATTTTAATTTTAATCAAAATTTTTGCATATTAATAAAAAATCTTAAATGAGAATGCAGAATTTTAATTTAATTTAATTTGATTTAACGATATTGGTTTATTCTAATTAAATTAAATTATTTAAATATTGCATAAATATAATAAAATATGTATTGTATAAAAAAATAAGTAAATAGGAATATTTATGCAAAATTTCTAGTTAGACTCAATTTATTCTTTGTACAAATAATAAGACGATTGCGCTAGAATAGACTGCAGAGAGATTGGTGAATTGTTGGATTGGATTTGTAGAGCTACCCGGATAAGATGACAGACCCCTAACATGGATAGCAACTAAAATGCCTGGCATGATAATTTAAGAAATAACCATTCGATTATTCTATCATTTGCTAAAATATTCTAATATTAATTAAAATAATTATCTAAAGGCATATTTATTTTTATTTCGAAAGAAATTTTTTCCAAATTATTAAATCGTTTAATATTCATTTTACATATTTTTATGCTATATCATTGAGATTTTTCCTAAAAATTTGGATTTTAAATGAATTAAAATTTCTGAGATTAGGTCAGAAAAAAAAAGTTTTTCAATCTAAATGAATGAAAAATGGATTAAAATAGATTCAATTTAGATTAATTTAATACGATAAAGATTGAACAGATTTTGCGTAATAGAAGAATGAAAAAATTATTGTTGCGATTTTTCCTGCTCTAATTTGTCGTTCATTCGTTCACTTTATTATCCGACATTTTCTCTTTTTTTTTCCTTTTTTTGTCTTTTATCGAATCATTTTCATTAAAAATTTTTTCTTAATGAAGCAATCGCGCAATTTTCATCCATCAATCGTCTTTTATTGCGGAAAATATTGTTTTTTTTTTTTAAAACCACATTTATTATAAAAAATTATGGCAAAATATGAAATATTTTTAAGAAATTAGTGAAATTTTCTAATTTTCTTATATTTTTTGCCAGAAAAAAATTATCCATAAGAAAATATTAAATAAAAATTACGAATCATTTACATAAGTAGAAAAAAAATTTTTTTCTAATTTTCTAATCGCTAGAATCATAGAGAAAAAGTTTTCCACTAAAAAAATTTTTTTATAAATTTCTTTATTTATATGAATATTTTTATTTTATGCGTTATAAATTAAATTTATATAATTTTTGGAATGATAATCACTTATCACATGAATTATTATTATCAATATATTTATTATTTTCTTCTCGATTCCATACTCATTAATTTGCTTATTTTTTCTTATTTTACATCCTCCTTATTTTTTATTTTGTCATTAAATGATTCGCCATACATAAATATCCAAAATATATTGATAATACCTTTGTAAATTCTTTATTCACTTCTACTTTATAGTCGTTTCTTTTTTTATAAATAATACTTACTTTAAAAATTTCTTTCATGGTACTCATTTTTTTTTTTTCAAAACTACAAAATTTTTTTTTGCTTGCTATTCGTCTTTAAATAAGCACACACCTTGGGCTCGTTATGTTCATTTATGTGTGAAATATGTGCTTTTGAAATATTTAATTGTTTGGAAAGCAAAAAGCGAAATATTAAGCTTAATGAACCATATTATACTTTTTTTTTTAAAGAACATTCGCCATTATTGGCTAAATTCGCGCCGCTAATTTGTCGGACTAAATATATATGGCAGAGAGTCGTCACCTGGTGATAGCAACACAAGTGAGTAGCCAGCATGACTCGGATTTTTAGATAGCTTTACCTTTGCCAGGAGTAGAAAATGTCGGCGCTGCGAATTAACCAACAGCCCACTGGACCATTCTACTTTCCTTTGATTTTCTCCGTTAGGCGATACTGCCCGATGAGCACTGGCGGATTCGAATCTATGCTTCGATTCTCGGTGGTAATTTTCTTGTCAGTGATCCATCGATACATTATATACATACATACATTTATTTTTTTTTTTTTAAGAGTCCTCACCATTACTGATTAAACTCGCTCCGCTGGCTTGTCGCATTGGACAAATATGCCAAAGAGTCCCTTGACGATAGAAATATAGGTGAGTGCATCGCTAGCATTACTCAGATTTTTAGACAGTTTTACTCCTGCAGGAAATCGAACTTCAGCATCGGCAGCAACTGCTCACTGAGCCATTCTATCCCCACATTACCTTTATTACTTTTACTGAATTTGGAAACAGCAAATAGATGAATTTAATAGTAAAAGCTGTATTTTCCACAAATTTCATTGATTTCGGAATTATTATTCCATTTTAATAAGAGCCTAATGTTGGCTTTTTGAACGATTTATTTGGTTGCAAACGGTTTCATATATTACTAAAATTAGAAAGACCTTTATTTATATTATATTCATATTTAGAATTTAATTTAACTTAATTCAGTTTTTTCCTGTTTTAAATGATTTAATATTTATAATCTATAATTTATTACTTTTCAAATATTTTAAAAAATTCCTATTTATATAAATTACAGGACAAAACTGTATTAGTACAGTCCCGAGGACATTTTCAAGTGGACTTACACAACAACAAGGAGGATTCGCACCAATACCGCCTCCACAAGCACCACCAGCTGCTTTCGTTAGAGAATCTAGTCCGGCCAGAGTTGCAGCAGCTAATCGTGGACCAACCGCTCTAATCGAACAAGCATTATCACCCCAAGAAAATTTTATTAATTGTTAGAATATATTCAAAATTTATTTAATTTAGTTCTAAAATTTATTATTTAAAATATATTATATCAATTTTAATGAAATATTTCAAATAAAAATATTTCATCTTTTTTTGCAGAAAAAAATTTTTTTCTTTTTAATATAAAATATGATATTACTCGCTATAATTGATTAGTTTTGCATAGTTTTATTTTAAATTCAAAAAATTCCTTTTAAATCAAAAGTCTTAATTTGATAAGGACGAAATCATAGCTCTGGTACCATTGACAATCATTCAGTTTCATCCCTCCATATTTTAGTAGTTCTAAATTCTTCCATTCTTGCGATTTGTTTACTGGAATTAATAAGAAAACTTCGATTTTCTGTCAATTGTCTCTGGTTTCTGACTGATTTGATTTGCTTCAATATTGAAATATCTCTTCCAATATATTAAATGAAAGCAAATTCAGATCTATTCGGAAAGAGGATACAGCTGCATGAATTTGATTCAAACGGATATAATGCTGAAGGTGGTGGTCCTGTTGCTTCAGGTAGAGTTTTTTTTGCTCCTTAAAAATCTAATATTATAATATTTCTCTCGAGTGCTTGTTCATGTTCATTTAATCTATTTTAATTACAAGATTTTTATTTGGATGGAAATTTTCGTCATAATATTCTATAATCTCTCCTTAATCAAATCAAATCGCGTTAGCTTCCTAGTTTTTTTACATATTTTTTTTATTAATTGCTTATAATGGCTTCTTTACAAAACTTTGATCCGTTTAATTCTATTTTATTTCTATAAATTTTATTTTAAAATTTGTTTCAATTTGGTTGCCATAAATTATTTATAGCAACTAAATTTTTATTTGTAAATTTTTTACGATATTATTAGAGAATAAATTTATGAAATTATAATGTGGTTATGGGGTTATTTTACAAAACGCAATATAATTATGGAATATTTAAATTTATGGTTTTTTGCCGTTTTAAAACCAAACAAATATTTCTTTCGAGTGTTTATTTACGCCAATTCCATACATTTTCATTTTCATTTTAATACATTTTCATATAAAAAATACGATAAATGAAAAAGTATTATATATTTTTGCATTATATTTTTATGCTAAAAATAAAAAAATCTTGATTGGATTAATAAATAAAATTAGGAAGAAATTTTTCATAGTTTCAAAAATAATGATGTGAATGATTGACAGAGAAAAATTGGTTTTGAAAAAAAAAAAAGAACATTTTAAGATCGTCTAATTCGGTTTTGCATAAATTTAGTAAATAAATGATTTTAAAGTAATCACGTTTTTATTTTTTAAGAGATATCTGAAGTGATCTGAAGTTAAAGAGATTTTTATCAATGCATACGATTTCTAATGTTTTCATAAAAGTTTGTATAAAAAATTTATCGTAGGTGACGATCTTTCATGCGATTTTGATCAACATGCATGCTGTTGGGCGAATGTACCGCCGCCAGATGACCAGCTTGATTGGCAAATCGCTACTGCCATACCAGACCAAGAATTAGCGAATGATGCCCCCATACCAAGTAATAAACTTTTTTGTTTTTCTTAATCGTAAAATTTGGCCAATGAGAGTGGAGGATATTAAGAAGTTATCTATCTTTGATCATTTGTCTAAGGTATATATTACGGATGCATCGAGCGGATAAGATATCACATGATCACATCCATCTTCGTCCACTTGCATAAATAATGTTATCACAGAGCGTCGCCTTCGCTGGTTAGGGCACATACTTCGTCGTCCACCATAGGAGTTGACGCTTATTTCGTTATTTGCTAAACCGTGTGATGATTGTCGTCAAAAACGAAGTGGGCCAATCAAGACCTGGACTGATACAGTGAGAAAATATTTTGAACGTATAGGTGGACCAGCAATATATGGACTTAGACGATGGAAAAAAAATGGCTTCCATTACTGTCGACGATGGCATCAGACCGCGCCGCTTGGAAGCGTCTTACCCTTGTAGCCATTGAAGACAGCCTAACCAATAATGGTGAGAGCTGTTAGAAGAAGAAGAAGAATTGTGAAATTTAAGAATGATGATTATGAAATTTAAGAAAATGATTAATAATGATTATCATTATCATTATTATGAATTGTTAAAATATATCATTATTATATTTAAAAAATCATTATGATTTATATTCTGTCTAATAAATTTAAGACAAATCTGAAGCGACGACTCAGTATTTATCATTATTACTAATGAATTTTATTGTATATTTGCTATTAACAAATATATTCAGATGGTAATTATCTCATAGTATATGCAACTAATGCTGCACCATCTGATGAAGCACAATTTGCGTCGTGCGCAATTGGATGTGCATCATCAACTATTATTGTTCGTGCAAAGTAATTTTACTTACTATATTATTGCTTGGAAACTATCGAATAATCTTTGCTTTAATAAAAATTTCTTTCCAATTTCAAAAATTATTTTTCCATTTGTTAGGCCTTTCCCCTGGCTTAGCCGACTAATTTTGCCAAAAAATCGTTTAATAATAAAAGCAAAAGTCACTAGAACCACACTGATTTTTAAAAAATAGTTCTCACTGGAAGTGAAATTCCAGAGAACACAATGAGTCACTCGAATTCAAATTCATCGTATCTTTGTTAAACCTTTTCTTTCCACTTTTTTGAATATTTATTGCTTTTTAAAATTAAAAAACAACCTTAATAATTTTATTTTATATATTTTGCATAAATATTTTTAGACATTGGCAAACAGCAAATGTATTATTACAAGTGTGTCAACGTGAATCTTTCCCTAATACTGTCAACTATAATCCATTATTGAACTGCCAGGAATTTCCATTAGTATCCGGATTGGCTTTAACTGAACTGATCCTTCCTAAGGCGTCTTTGGTTGATGTGCGATTTTTCTATGACTTATTTTATAGTTTAAATTATATCTAAATTTAAATTAAGTTTAAATTATTTCTAAATTTAATCTAAATCTATATTTAAATTATATCTAGCAGAATTTCATAGTTTATAATGACCGCAATCTTCAAATTATTGTTTTTTTTTTGCCATATATTTGACAGAAAAAAAAACTTTTAGTAGTATTTTCAGATTGTTTTTGTTGCTAGCAATTTTGTGGGAGAGAATGGTGATGCAGCAATATTGGATGATATTGAAATAATCTACGAGAGCAATGGTGGGGATTGCAGCCAAGAATCCGATGATAAAGTAGAAGTACAATCCGATGATAAAGTAGAAGTATCAGAAGTTGAAATTAATAAAGTTGATAAGGTTTTTTTTTTGCATATTTTTTTGCATACTTTTCATATTTCAAATTTCCGTAATTTTCGAAAAAAAATATTTTCTTTTCGAACCAATTAAAATATTATTACACTATTCCCATATTTTGCAAATTATTGGATTAGCCACAACCTTTTAAAAATTGCTCTTTATCAATTACCCAGAAAAAAAAAAAACAATGAAATAAATGAAATGAAAAAATAGATTCTTTGTTAGAGACGGAAAATTGCACAGAATTGACCCAAATTCCACAGATAGTTGCACCATGTGAAAAATATGCATTTCTGGCTCCCTTGTTACGAATCTCCGAGGATGACATTCTTTTCGATGGTGATTTTGGAAAATGCGTGATTATTTATATGTCTTCAATTGCCTGGAGAAAAATAGATTTTCTTGTACGAAAACAACGATTAAAACAACAATTCTAATGGGTTGAGAAGCGTCAATTCCGAAAATTCCAAGTTCAAAAATCTCGCGGAGTTGAACTTTTCTTGCACTTTCCGTTAATTAACGACAAAATATAACAAATATGAACATTTATCATTAATAAAAAAATGGATTAAACTAATCAAAACAAAATTATCATCAACGAAGGCAAAACATTAATAGTGTTTTCCTCGATCAAAAAATAGTGATTTAGGATCTAACAAAAGGTGAAGGGCCAAAAGAAGAACCGAAGAGAATCGCGCTTCCTCAAACTGCTGTAGCCTCCAAAGGATTCGGTAAAACTGGTTCGGTCTGCGAAACTGTTAAATGCTCCTTTGAATCAAGTAAATATAGCCAAAAATTTCAGCCTATTTCATCAAGTCTATTGATTTCGAAACCATTACCATTTTCATAAGGAGATATAGAAGCAACGAGATATTAAAGCAAATAAATAATCAGTCACTCATCTTCCTGGTTAGGCTTCCTTAACTGATGGTCATCAAGAAGAGAGAATTCTGTAAGAGAATCATTTGGGAGCAGAAATACTAGTTGGTACCCAACAATCATGGGTTTATTTCCTACTAGGTAGGATCTGAACTGAACAATTTTCGAAATGATAATCTAGGAACTACTAAGTTACACCTGTAATTTTGCAGGCCTCATTAAAAAATTCAACAAATTAAATTAAATTTGATTTTTAAGAAAATATGTGTAATTATGAAGACGTTCAACAAGCACAAGCGTCTAGAGGATCAACGACAGGATTTCAAATTGTGAAGGGACATTTCATGAATAAAATAACCGGAGTTAAAGAAATAACAGGTTAATATTTGTCGGAACTTACTTACCTTACTTAATTTTGGCCAAAAAATTGTGAATTATTGAAAAAGACAATGCAGCAAAATTTATTTAAGATAACAAAGCTATTATCCAATAGTAATAGCCATATAAATTTAATGATATAATTGAAGAAGGATTGGGAAATAAAAATATTTTTCAAATTGACAATAGACAAATTAATTTTTGCAACAACTGAATTGTATTTACGCTGAAGATTTTTGGTGATCATTTATTTTTTAATTTCAGGAGGCGATTATTATGCAGCGACATTCTTGTTTCCAAGAGAAATGGCTGGATTTGCGATTAATATAAATAAATTAAAAAATCCTATTAGATTACGCTTCAAATATTATGAAGGAACTCATGGAGTACAATTGAAGGGTTGTTGCGATAGCCTTGAGCATTGCTTATTTGCATCCGATAAATATGTATCAATTAGCGATCGAATGTGGAAATTAACTGAATTTAGATGTCCTGTTGGTACTTCCAAGGTAATTTAATTTCTTCCTGAAAAATAAAATTAAGCTAATTTATCTAAATTGAATTATGTTAACTGTTTACTTTACATGCTGAAAAATTCGCGCACAATTCAATTAATTCGCTAGCTGACAACACTGATAATCGATCCTTTTGCGGTTATCATTTAAAATAGCATTTTATGAAAATATGAAATTATATTATAAAAAAAATTAAAAATATTCAAAACTATGAAATAATAGATATTTCTATATTTTTGTCGCTAATTTTTTTAAATTAGCGTCACATTATTATTGTTGTAGATTTTATTTGTTTGCGAGAATACAAGGACAAATCAAGGTGCATGTGCTATCGATGATATTCAAGTTATTGATAACGATACTGTTGATGTAAAGACTGCACGACCCTTGTGTTAACTGTTTTTTTTTTGTTAATTTCCCTTCTGTTGCCACTGTTGCCATATAATATTAAAAGAGTTTCGGAATAGAAAATATTGCTTCTACTAGCAGAAAAGATGAAACCATCAACTTTTCTGTAATCTAAATATTTCCCAAATTTATTTATTTTCCTAAATTGGATAATAAAAAAAGAATGTAATAATATATAATAAATAATATAAAAAGAATAAAAAAAAAAGATAAGCCGAATTCATTCATTCATTTTATTCATTTTTCAATGTTATCAAATAATCAGATAATGAAAACTGTGAAAATTTTTTGAATCGCATTTATCGTTGTTAATAATAAATTAATAAATTTATTTGAATATTTTCAAAAAACAAAATTAAAAATGGAAATTATGAAAATAAAATGAATCGACAAAATATGTTCTTTAAAATTTTTTATTCTGTTTATTCTCGTTTTGATTATTTATTTTTGAAATTCTTTTTTTGTTTTTTATTTTTTAGTTTTTGAACTAAATAAAATCATGAAATGTGTCAATCAACGATGATGCCATTTTAACATTTTAACATTAAAGTAATCGAAAATAAATGCAAAAGTGATGAAATATTAAAATCCATCTCAATGTTTTCTTTTTTAATGCACAAATAACTGCCAGCTTTTATCGATAATTTGATAAAGAAAATAACTAAATGAATTTTATATCAAATTTATATCAAAATAAAAATAAAATATTCGTTCATAGAATCATAAAACTTTTTTTTATCAAAAATATATTTGATTAAGCGTTTTAAAAGGCAATTATTGGAAAAATTGTGATTTAAAGCACCACATAAGCTGTAATAAAAAATAACCTACAATAAATAAAATATAAATACAATTTGATAAAATAAAAATGTATAAAATAATATAATAAATAAGAAATGGCATATGTTTACAACTCAAAAATGAGATTTTAAACAAATTGGCTGTCCAATAATATAAGAAAATTTAGATGGTGGAAAAAAAAAGAATAATTTCGATTATTCTCAAAAATAACAATGAGCGACTTTAGCCGTCGCTTGCAGAACGGAATTTGATCAGTAAAACTATGAACTATTGAAAAAAATTATTTAAAAGGCTAATGAATTTTTAATTAAAAAAAAATTTAGGAAGTTTCTTATAAATTTTCAAACGTTTGTAAAAAAATAGAAAATAAAATGAAAAATTACATACTAAAAGCCTAAGGAATAATATAATGAAACAAGAAATATGAGTTAAAAGATCAGAGATTAAGAAATATTAATGCAAAAAATTCTATTTGTCAACATGAGCTTTTTTAATTGAAATGACATCGCTTGAATTTAGCGCATTTGATATTTGATTATGTTCTTGATCTTGGTCACCTTTATTGTTATCCATTTCGTTATCGCTATTAGATGTCGCATCTTCTTCTTCTTCCTCGTGACAAAACTTTGCATCAGTTACCATTTCTCGAACTTTAAATTTCAATTTTGTTCTCTTATTTTTCTTCTTATAATTTATAAATTCTTAAATTTATAATAAAAAGTATTTAGAAATACAAAAAAAAAAAATTGAAATTCGATAAAGTTAAGGAATTCATTCGTTAAAATTTTTATAAATGTAATAAGTTGAAAATTAAAGAAATTCCTTTTTACCATTTCTCGTACTTTAAATTTGTTGAATTTTGTTCCCTTGAATTATCAATTTTATTCAGTAAAATTATTTTCAAGCATTTTAATAAGTATACCATGATCTGCAATAGAATTTTCTTTGCCGTTTATGCATTGTTGTTCGGTTAAATCTTGATCGAACGATGTTTTTCTCATAACTGATGCATGATCAACGGTTGATTCATGTGGCATTAGTGTCATTGGTGCGCGAAAGAAATAAAACAATGGATAATGGGCAAGATTACAACAACTTGATGCATATAAATCAGCATATCGTTCTACCTAAAATATTATTTATATTAATTGAGCCTAAGAAACGAAAAATATTAACATAATTAGTTTTAATTAGCAAATATTTTTTATCAATTATCCAGAAATTAGACAATTATAGAGTTTAATTTTATTGTCTTAGAATGAAGTTTTACCTGAGAAGCAAAAAACGTAGTACGAGATCCACTTCGAAACAGCGATCCAAGAATTCCGTATTCACTATCCATTTGATGAGTTAAAGCCTGAAGAAATTTATAATCTATATATTGTTTTATACTAGAAAGTTTTTGATCTTGCTTATTTATTGCGTTTTTTAAATAAATATTTGAATAAATCTAAAACAGACAGTAAATGAATCAAGTATTTTATTGATGGCTGGCTTTTCCTTCGAATTACTATCGAGATTTTTATATGCGTCAGCTAGTAAAGTATCGAGATGAGTCAACTGTTCAAAGAGTGGCTTTCTTTCGGTCCAAATTGTCAATTCATGCGCTAATTCGGGCACAACAAGAAATGTTCGCCATCCTCTGGCCTGTAAGATAGAAAAAAAAAATCCATTAGATAGGAAATTTTAAAAATTTTAGATCCAGCTTTTTGATAAAATTGGTACTTATATTATAAAGGACCAATGTACTAATGAAATCGTTACTAGACAAACTTTCTCAAATTGTTGAATAGAAAGAAAAGTTTTTTTCATGGAAGATGGGTGATTTAAAGAAAATATAAAAAATGCTTTAAAAAAAATTCGAAAATAGCTGAATCCAGCTGCTAATTTCTAGGCGAAAACCATGCAAGCATATTTAAAGAAATGAGCTTATTTGGCCACATACATTTAGTAAAATCGATATTAAAACAATAGGAGAGAATAAAATTTGGTAATAAAAATCTTATAGGGAATCCAATTTTTTTTTCGAATATTCAAATTCATTGGTGATTAATGGCAAAATTTCCACCGAAAATCAAGACTGGTTTGGTTCAAGACCAGCCGAAGTTCTATTCTTCATCAGATGGTAATGTCTCCGAAAGGCGAAGTTCGAAGCGCTGGTTCTACGAGATCCTACGCTCGACTGGAATGAATCTGTGCCCAAAAATCGGGGATAATGCCCGTGATTCACCTGTATTCACCTGTATATCGTCAAGGCATTCCTTGGCATATTTATCTAGCGCGACAAGTCAGCGGAGCGAGTCTAACCAGTAATGGACTCTTAAAAAAAAACTATTTGTGATTTAAATAAGGAAAAAATAAAGGAGAATACCTTTTTTGACCTTAACACATCGCCAAATATGTGATCGCCAATGTATAGAACATCTTTGCCTCGTGCCTTTACTAATCTGCGAAAGGCATCACATGATCCTGAAATATATTGCGGATAAAAAATATTAGCTTACAATCGAAACTTTTTTCCTTATTTTATTTTTAATAAATGACAAATACGTAAAAATTTTTACCGCCAGAATATACTTGGCCTTGTTTAAGTGGCCCAGTATGGGTGCCGATTTTTAGAGACCCTGTTTCTCTATCAACTTCACGAAAAACTGTCCCTTCAGCGAACCAACTAGGTTTTCTAGCTCCAACAATTGTAATATCGAAATATGATGTCCAATCATCACCAAGTAAATATTCCATTACACCCTAAAATAATTGTATAAATATTTTTCACAAATTCGACGAACGAAAAAAATTAATGTGAAATACGATTAGTGTGTGGATTTATCAAATTATACGACTGAGATATTTTTAAAATTTCCTTTTATAAAATTTCTGAAAATTTTCTGAAAATTTTCGATAAAACAACGATCGATTTACTTAAAGGGAAAAATAATTAAAATATTTTTACACCACAAGAAAAGAACAAAAAATATTTTTCTAGTAGAAAGAAACGAAAAAAATAAAAAATTAAAATAAAAAGTATAAATGAAATACAATAAGTAAATGAAAAAGTAAATGAAAACAAAATGAAAATAAAATAAATAAATGAAATAAATAGAAAAAAATGATGATTTATGAATTTTTGACAAGCGATTTTTGACAAACGAGAATAATTACAATTTTTTTTAAAAGCACAATGAATGAAACCTTCAAAGTTCGTAAATTTTAGAAAAATAAAAATAAAAATTGAACAAAAATAAATATCGCTTAAAAATATTTACAATAAAATAAGTAAATAATTTTTAAAAAACGAAAATCAAATTAATATTAAAAATTTAGAGAATTTATTATATTCTTCTTCGAATAGCACTCACCAATTCTGGTTCAGCTTTCGCCAAAAAAAAAAACTATGGTTACTTATGGTTAAAACTGTAGATAAATCATCATTTAGCATAGCCGATTACAAAATATATTTGTCAAATTAAGTGAAAATTAAATAAAATAATTATTTCTCATTTCTAAAATAGTAAACGAAGAAAGAAATTTTTAAATTATTTTTCAAATAATAAGTAAAAAATAATTTTTTAAAAAAAATTTCAATAAATTTAAATAAATTTTTTTTTTTTAAAAATAAAGCACCAACATTCGTATAAAAGTATTCGCTATTTGTTAATAAAAACGACTGCTTTCCACTATTTCTGATTTGTAATAAAAATTGTTTTATTCTCGGATCTTTTATTATATATTTTTGTCGATCATTTAAGACTATTTCTTTCATACTACTCTAAAAGAAAAAAAAATTAAGTTTTTAAAAAAAAAGAAATTTTTTAATCGAAGAGAAAATTATCTGAAATTTTTCATAAGATTCGAAAAAAATTCAATAAAAAATTGAAACGAAAAATGAAAGAAGAAAATTTTAAAAATTCATCTCAATAATTTATTATTTTATTTAATTTCAATAATAAAATGTTTGTTAAATTGTTCGAATTTCCTATTTGTTATAAAAAACATTGAAAAAATATTTTCAAAAAAACTGCTATAAAATTAAATTTCTATGTGTCGTTTTAATTTATTTAATAAATTTTTATAAAAAGTGTTTTATTCATGTTTAAATTTATGATTAAAATATTGTTTGAACTTATGATTAAATTCTTCCTTGGCTAAGCAAAAAAAAAGAAAATCAAACCTGAAAAATTGATTAATTGTTCGTAATTTTTTTAATACTCCTTATTACTTACTTTTTTTTTTAGACAAAAATATGGATTTTCCACTTAAAAAATAAAATCGTCTAATATCGACTTTCTCTCTTTTTCTGATTGCACGAAAAAACTAATAAATTTTTAGAAATAAATTTTTTTTTTTAAAGTTGAAATTAAGAGATTTCTATTTCAAATGGTCAACAAAATTTTTAAAAAAATCCATCGAATTGATCTAATTTATCGCAATCATCGAAGTTAATTTCTGCTAGAAAAAAAAATGGAAAAGATTAGCAGAAAAAGTTGGCAAAAAAAAAGGCAACGAACATTGTAATGAACCCAATCGACTGCTTCTCGAATATCCAAAAAAATAGATCTATAGGTCATTAAAACTTCACCCATTTGTACGCCGCTACGATTTTCAATTCTAAAAAAATATTATTGCAAAAATATAAAAAAATAAAAAATATTCTATCATAATTGTAAAATATATTAATAATTTTTTTTTTAGAAAATCTTTTTTTCGTTGGAATATTGAAATTTTTTTCATCATTTTAATATTTTTGGTTTAATTGGCTATTTGAATTATTGCTTCCATTTGCCAGGAAGATACTCGAAAATAGAAGATATCACACGGATCACACTAACTTTATCGACAAGTTCTCTCCCAACAAAAAACTAAAGGAAGTCGAACTTATGATGATTTGGCTAAAGCCAAAGGCACATTTTATCTGTACCACTCAATTTTTCTTTCTGTGCTCTTTATAAATAATTATTGCTAAAAATTTTTCATTTATCAAATTTAAACGCATTATTTTTGCCGCAACAAAAAAAAATAAGGCATAAATAAATAAATGAAAATTTATGAAAAACTACGGAGGAGACAAAACATGTTCGAAATTTTTGAATTCCTTTCACTATCGAATTATCACATTTCGCTATAAAATAAAATTCTATCAAAATTATATTTAATTATTTTAATTTTTGCACATTTAGAGTATTTCAAATGTTTTATATTTTATAAAGTAAAATTCACGGTGAATAATTCGAATTATTGTCGAAATAATCGATAATGCATGCGACTAAATAGGTTTCTGGAAGATTGAAAAGGGTATTAAGTACATAAATGCGATCTTCAACCAAATGAATAAATTTATTCGGATAAAGTTCTTCAATCTCGGATCTAAATTTACACTCCTTAATGATGATAACAAATTATCAAAGAATATAAACTGTGATAAATTTTATAAATATTCATATCATTTTAGATGTTTAATTTCAAAAAAATATTTGAAATCCATTCATGACTTTTTTTTTTTAAAACGGCGTTCATTTCTTGTCAGTTAAGCATTCTCTGCTGGTTTATTGGACAAGATCTTTAAATTTTGCCGGCTAGGAAAATCTTAGCACTGAATATTTATTATTTTTACTTTTACTAATTGCTTTACTACTTAAATATTTCTATATTTCTAAATAAATATTTTCAACATTTCAAGAAGACGCTTCGCATCAATCATCGAAAGAGTGAAAAGAGTGAGTGATATTTATGCCCTCCAATATCTTTTAAATTTGGCGAATAAAAAATTGGCGAATTTACTTAATATTTCATTAATTTAATCATGAAAAAAAATTTATCGATATAAAAAAATATTATAAATACGAACGGTTTCATATATCGAAAACCATGAACTCCTATAAGAATATTTCCAAAACCATCAACCTTTAGAAGATTTCCATATAAAAGATCAAACCAAAGACCACGAACGGGAAACAACGGATTATAGTGAAATTTTCGTATATTTTCTGGATAACCAATGTTAATTAATCGTTCGACAGTCATATCAAAAGCCATTTCCAAAATCGGTGATTTATATGCTAAAAAATATCGTTTTTTTTAAGCTATTAATAATTTAAAAAATCAAATGAACAAAAATTTTGCTCTGCAAATCTAATAGACTCGCATTAATTATTTGTATTTTCAATTATTATTCTTCTAGTCACTTAAATCCATTTTCCATTTCAAAATCCATTTCAATAATTTATTTGAAAAAAAAAGAAAAGCAAGAAAATATAATAAGAAAAGGAGGGAAAACATGGAATCAAAGTTTCATAAATTAGAATTTCAAATTGCACCTTAAACGGATGAGAAAAATTATTAAAATTAGGATCTGAACCATTTTTGATTACAAAATTATTATTACTATTACCATTATACTAATTATTCAAACTATTAATTATGATTAAACTTAACAGTGAAATTAATTTTTTTCAAAATTTATTAATCTATGCTAAAATTTACAAATCAAATATTGTAAATTATAAATTCCAAAATTCTGAATAATAATAGAATAAAAATTGGAAAAAATAATTACCTGCTAAAGTGTAATCCATATCAAATCCGAAAAACTTGATCTTTTCCAATCGTAAATTGCGATTAACGAACACTCTAAAAATTACAATAATACAATAATAATGGCAATTGTGACAATAATTATTAATAGTAATAATACTAATGATAATAACTACAATAATAATAAATAATAATAATTTGCAATAAATAATAAAAACAAATAATTAACATAAATAAATAAGTCTATATTCTATTTATGTTTTTTTTTCCGAAATTGTTTTTTATTTTGAAAAACTTTTGTAAAAATTGAAAACTGAAATAAATTGCGACGTATCAATAAAAATCTATAAAATTTGGGTAAAAATTTTCTTTCATTTTATTAGAAATAAAACAATTAAGCGAAAAAAAATGAAAGGGAAAAACAAAAAGACGAAAACCAATCTGCATATTTTGCGCATTTTACTACAAAATCGCTATTCGTTGCGATTTGAAAAATCAAATTAAATATTTCGGAAAAATTTAAATAATTTTTTTGTAAATTTATTTGTAAATAAAATTTTTTGTACCTTTGACTTGGCGGTCTTTTGAATTGATCAATTTGGCTTATCATAGTTATTTCAGATAATTTTTGTATTAAAATAATAAAGCAGCAACTTATATAAACCAACGAAAATTTTAACGAGTATGAACTAACCGATGGGCGGGATCGCGTTTATATATACGACGAATTTCTCCTACCATTTTTATATGAATGAAGGATATTTTTATTTTTCTAAAATATTTTATTTTTATAAAAATTTTTAAAAAATTTAGACAATAATAAAATCGAAATAACGAAAAAATTTTAAAAAATTCATAAATTTTCGAAATGAATTATATAGAAAAATTTTTAAAAGAATTTTATAAAATATCCAAAGAAAAAAGTTTATTTAGCTGTTGTTTGTTTAAAAAAATTTATCAGTAATGCAATAAAACTTTTTAATTAATATAAATAAATTTTTAATATAAATAAAAAAATTAAATTTTAGATAAAATACTACATAAAAATCCATAAAATAAAAATATAAAATATTCAAAATTAAACGAATGTTGTAAAATTAGACAAATGAAACAAATTGCAAAAATAAAAAAAATTCAGATTAGTATAGATTTATAATAATTAAAATCCTTAATGAATTAATATTCCGGCTACGATCTCTTGTAAGATGTTTAATAGAGCGATGAATACAAGTAGGCCATAAGACTGAACGACTGGATTTGTATGATAAGAAATCCTGAAAAATATCGTTCTTCTTCTTACCTCATTTTCATTAAATCATTGATAATATTTCTTATTTTTTAATAATTTAATCGCTATATTGGCTTATTGATCATCATTGATTATTATACCTATTAATTGTTCTTTAATTTAATATGTCTGGACAAATTGCTATCATCGCTAAAATACTTTAATAATTTTCCAACAATTTTAATTCATTTTAATTTTATAAAATTTTATAATTTTTAATTCATTTTAATTTTATTCATTTAAAAAATAAAAAATTTTCCGGAAAAAATAGATAGTGATAGATCATTTATAAACTCATTTATATATACAAAAAAAAAATTTAACTCTAAATATGTCAAAAAATATAAATAGAAAAAATTAAAATGAAATAACTACCTCCCTTCTCCATTTTCCCTAAGCCCTTCTTCAAAAGAATCGACATTTTAATTAAATTTACATTAAAGATTATGAAAATTTTTTTAAAAAAAAAGTTAGATCCATTTTTAAAATTCTGGCGTCGATCAAAGAAAAAATTTCTTATTCCTATTTTTTCTACAATCAAATATATTGAAATATTAATAAATAGCTAAATTAGTGGATTTTTTTTGTTTTGCAAAAATCTAAAAAAATTTCTAACTATTTTTTCTCATTTATATTATTCGACAATGAAAAGTCCTTTGAATTCTGTGATTCAGAACTTTAGCAATACGAATATGGTCATGAAATCTTTTTGAGTATTTTAGCTCTTAACTGTAAAATTGATATTCAAGAGAAAAAGCATGTCGACATGTTGTTGCTTCGATTAAACTCAAGTTATCATATGGTGAATAATTTTGGCAAAAAAAATGAGAAATCGAAATTCTGAAAAATTTCTAAGATTTCTGGAAGTAAAGAAAAATTCTCCTTTCTTCCATTCAATTATAAGATATTATCAATTTGTAAAAATATGATTTTATCTTTTAATAATTTTTTTGACATAAAGATCTGAGGACATTCATCGAATATATCTTTTTTTTGGTATAAAAATCTAAGAAAATAGGAAAATTTGTCGGATCCTATTAAGCATGCCATATGATCGTTGCGATTGCCATCAAACATACTTTATCATTTCTGATAATCACTAAAAATGAATAATGAAATAACGGAACAGGACCTCTTATCACCCAACTGATTTATCAGTGATTTTTAAATTATTCTTAAAAATAAATCAATAACCAAAAAAAAACAATAATTTCTATTGAATTTCTAAATTAGTTTGGTGAATATTCATTGCATTAACGCTGATAAAAAAATCTTGGCAACCAGAGTGCCAATCAAAATAGGACTGATAACGTACTCTTTAAAGAAGAAGTGTTCTAATAAGAGCCTGAATAATTCAATTTTTTAAAAGACTGTAAAAAGTAAGCAATGGTTCTTACTCAGAGTGTGCCTTTGATAAGAGTAAATGTGTTATTAAAACAGCCAATCCTTCTGGTAAAGATTCTTGGGAGAAATCTTCTGAAAACTTATCCACCTTACCTCAATCTCCCACGCCTTATTATAGATGATCCGAAATTGAAGGTGGCCCCATATCACCCAGTACTAGGATAGAATATCATAAAATTAAACTATATTTCTACCTCCAAGCGACTATCTAACAAAATTTCCTCACTGGCCAGCCTTACAGTCAATGCAAAGGTACAGAAATGCTAGGAATGATAAGCGCTAATTTGTTTTTTAATTTTATATTTGATAAATAAAGAATAAATAAAATAAATAAATAAATTTTATCCAGAAATCTCGAAAACAACCGTTTCAAAATCATTTAAATTCATAAAATAAAAAAAAAAAACAAATTTTCTTATTGCGAAATCTATTTTATTATATTCAAATATTATTTTTTTATGCGATAAAATAAGAAAAAAATTTCACCGACTAATTTCTTAAATGCAAAAAAAAAACTATATAGTTGGATATTTAATAGTCAAATTCACTAATTCGCTAAATTTTCCATATAAAAATACCAATTACACTCAAATTATTGCACTCAAATTGCTGCTCATATATATATATATATTTATTTATTTATTTAAACAAAAACCAAAAAATGCAAATAGAATTCAAATAGAATCCAAGTCGATTAAAATTTCTAATACAATAAGAAAAACCATAAGAAATCATATAGAAATCTTTTATTATAGCTACAGATGAAGATTTTAAGAAAAATTTTTTATTAAATTATTTGGTATAAATGAAAATCTTGAAAAAACTTTATCTCGATCCACCATTAAACCCTTATATCACAACATTTAGAAAACTCATATTTAATTATACCGATTTTCGTTTAATTTATACAATATCCATCGTCCTTCATAACGCAATTTTAAAAAATTTATTCGATAATATAGAAAAAAGAAATAATAGCAGATAACTGGAGCAAAGCATTTCTACACCCATTTCTTAAGAAAAGTGATTGTGGCAATTATCGAGGAATTAGCCTGTTAGATATCTCATGGAAATTCCTATAAATAGACTTATATCAGTATGAGATAGGTGCTTTCGAGGATGAAGGAACGGTGTTCCAGAGAAGATCACTGGACTCATAAAGACATTTTATCAGCATACATCGCCACAGTTCTATGCATATATAAATTATATATAAATATAAATATATAAATATAAATATATATATATATATAAATATATAAATTATATATATAAATTGACAGACCATTTCGAAATAAAATAATTTGCATGCAATTTTAAAAATATATAACTTTTAAACAATTGCAAAAAATTTTCAAACAATTTTCTAAAGGAAAAAAATTCGATATACCGATGAAAAGAAAATTTTTTATATCCATTCCAGTATTGTCATTTCATCTTTCATTTCATTAATTCTACTTCATTCAAATTAAAAAAAATTTTCTATTGGAAGAAATTTATTGAACATTTAAAGAATTAAAATAGAATAATAAAAAATGAAAAATTCGATTTATATTTTCAATATTTTAAAATATTTCAAAAAGAATTTTAAAGAATTAAAATAGAATAATAAAAAATGAAAAATTCGATTTATATTTTCAATATTTTAAAATATTTCAAAAAATGAATATTTCTAATAAAAAAGGTTTTCGGTATGATTCGCGTATTATTGGAATCGTTAATTCTTGAGAATCCTCCCAGCCCTATTCGATGCCTATTTTATTCGCTCAAATAGGATGGATAAACGAATCGTTTTAGAAAAAAATAATAAATTTGTATTTGTCGATAGATGAAGAAATTTCAAGAAAAAAATAAATTATTTTAAAACATTTGGCAGAATCAATCAGTTTAAAACGGATATTTTAATATCCGTTAATTTGATTTTACCTGTTTCTTATTGGTAATCTTTTATAATTTAAAAATGATAATCTATTTCCAGGGGAAATTTATTTCAAGCGATTTGACCATCTGAGAGCTTACTTCTAAATATTTTTAAAGAGCCCTCATCAATACTGGTTAAACTCGTTCCGCTGGCTGCCTGCACTGGATAAACCTGCTTACAATAGAAATGCTGGTGAGCCATCAACCGAATTTTTGGGCAGGTTTATTCTTGTGGCGAGTAGAACCTTGGCATCGGCGCTCTGAATTGAGCAACAACCCATTGAGCCATTCTGCTCCTTTACTCTATTCTCCTCCTATTCCACTTTTCAAACTCTAAACATTCTGTTTATGGTTTTAATGGTTTTTATTTATTTTTTCATTGTATCTGATATATTCTAAGCGTATAGAAATATTTAATGGAGATAAATTTGCGAAAGATGCGATAAGCGATAAGCGACAATCGATTTTCAAAAAAAAAAAAACTTACTAAAAATTAAAAATTTGAAAAGCATTTTATAATTTTAAAAAAGTAATTCTATAAAAATTTCAAATATAAATTTAAAAATTTAAAAAACATTTTAATTGAAAAAGTGGAAATTTTAGATTAATAAACGCAATCGCTTTATCAAATAATCGGATTATAAATGAGAAAAAAAATTTTTCAACAAATTTAATTCAAATGCGAAGGAAGAATTGTGCAATTGTGCAAAAAAATTTAAATAGTTATCAATAAAAAGTACACAAAACTTTTTCCCAATTATATATGAATTGTTTTTATATTTATATTCATAAAATATATTCAAAAATTGCTTTATTAATTGTTAATATTAATATTAAACAAATTTATATAATATATTTATATAATATATTAAATATATTTATTAATTGGTCGAATTTAGCTTATAAATATATATTTTTATTATTGAATATCGCAATTTAAAAAAAAATAGCGAATTTCATTAGAATGATATTTGATAATAGCGGATAATATATATAAATATCTTATATAAAAATAATCTTATATAATTAAAAATTCTAACAAAATTCAACTGAAAAATTCCGGTGGAAAAAATATTTATATATACTTGTAAAATATATTTTAAAAAATATAACATAATGGTAATATTAA